TGCCTATATACTCCCCCTCCATTCCTCCACTGTCCTCCTCCATCTTCCTAATCCTTACCTCTGACTCTCCACCACACCTGACATTATTCCGACTCTCCTCACGCCTGCCTGTTGCTCCTGTCTATATATTGCTCGAGTGCTCTTATCCGATCTCTTCACTACTTTCTCCACCTTTCACCTTGGCTGCCGTAGGTAGCCTCCACTCTTCCATACCCATCTTCATCCAGCCCTCCACCTTTTCACATCAGACATAATGGCCGGTCCCGGTGGTGGTCCTCCTCGCAAGAGCCACACCAAGTCCCGCTTCGGATGCAAAACGTGCAAGAGACGACATATCAGATGCGACGAAAGCTTCCCGCAATGGTAGGTAACCCTTGGAGATGCGACTCTGCGGTTTGTGGTTGCAGAATACCAGATACTGATGGCTAGAATAGCCGAAACTGCACCAAGCACAACTGCCGCTGCGATTACATGGACGTCGCTACCGTCCACGACGAGACGACCGCTTCCCGCAAAGTCCCCGACCTTCTCATGTCCGCCGAAATCGAGGTGGAGATCAAGAACTGGCACATCACCGGCGTGCCTCCCTTCCCCGAGCTCGTACACTTCCCACGCAGCGGTTGGAGTCGGCTATCACGAACCGACCTCCGCCTGATCCATCACATCATCGGTCTGTCGATCGATCTCCATCGTCGCGGTTTCAGCAACTGCACCATCTGGGCGCAGAAGATGCCATCGTAAGCGGGTACCTTGAACTTGGGTGGGTTTCAGGCGTACTGAACAGTCGAGCAGATTTCTCTCCATCGCGCTCTCCCACGATTTCGTTATGAGTTCGATCTTGACACTATCAGCTTCCCACCTCGCCTGGATCACTCGAAATAAAGAAACGAAACAATTGGCCTATCACCACCGCGGTGTTGCAATTCAGGGCTTGCACAAGGCTATCGGCGCCTTTTCGAGGACAAACTGCGAGGCGATTTTGGCGGCGTCTATTCTTCTGTCTTGGCAGGCTTCCGAATGGTAGGTGTCACTGCGAGGTTTATTCTGAAAGAGCCGAAGTTGACGACCGTTTTAGGCAAAGTTGGGCTTCTCTGCAGCAGGGCCTTACGACAGTTTTGAATTCGATGCCTCCGATGTGGAAACAGGAATCGGAGCTGGCCATGTTCTTGGAAAACCAGCGCTATCTGGGATGCACAAATACCCCGGTCATGACTGGCTATCAGTTCCAAGATGAGGATTTGGTCAGCCTCGACAACACTATCTTGGCACTTCAAAACGTACAGAAGCGCGTCGCCCACAATCCCGAACATTATCGCCGGATCGGAGAGCTCCTCGAGTTTGTACGCCACTTCCAGAGAGATCTCTTGTCGCAAACCCCCGAACAGGCTTTCGAGCGTGTGCAGCCGCTGCGCCGGTGGCTGTTTTGGTTGCCCCCGGCCATGCTTCGTGGCGGAAATGCAGATTTTGGAGCTCTTGCCATCATAGCTCAGTTCTTTGGCATTGGGGTGACGTTGGACAGCCTGTTCCCCGACTTGGGAGGGGCCTATCTGGGCCCGCTGTCTGTCGCACCGATTGAGGAGATTTACCGGATCATCGTCACACGAAGCGCGGCGGATCCATTCAACCCCGACCTGCAGGTTGCCTCCGCTTTGATGGAGTTGCCACGACATATTGTTGCCAAGTACAAGAGTCGTCTCCAGTGGTCGCCGCGGACTTCGATCGACCACTACTCGCCGGCACCCCCGAGTCCGTACCATAGCATCCAAGATTACCGTCTCGCCTCTTCTTCCTCTCCATCCTCTACTTCCGCCACCTACGCTCCCTACACTCCGCCCTTGCAGTCACCTCCGGCAGTCACTATTGCCAATTCTCCATTTGATATAACGGGGGCCTACGTCACAGCTCCGGGCAATCAGAATCTCTATCCACCGTCACCTCGGCTACTTTCGGATCCGCGCGAGGATCTTGCCGATTATAACCACAACAACGGCTCACTTCAGCATTCGCCCGCCTTTCCACCGCCATATATCGACGAAGTGGTGTGCGGGGGAGTGGATACGTCGTTGGGTCTGAACCTCGAGCTTTACGAGGAGCCCCATCCACTGGTCGGAGGATTCAGCGGGCCCGAGCCCGTTTGGAACGGAAGCATCTGCACGTAAACAATAGTGCCGGTGATGTTTATTTTTAGCGCATACTCTTCTCTTTTTTCTTTTCTTCAATATGTCTATTTATACCATCTGACCGACAGGGCATTTTGATTGGGTCTGGGCTTGACTTGCATTAACTTCTACGGCGAATAGAGAGGATGGGGGTTATTCTATCTGACATGGGGCTTGGGTGGTAACCCGTGTGATGGTTCTTTTTTTGTTTTGTTTTTCTTGTGGTTTCCGGGATTGGAAATTATTTGTTTGATTTGCCTGTGAACTTGTCTCGCATCTCTTGAATACTCGTTATGATACCGCGATGATCTCTGGGGTGTGATTCAAGGAAAGGAAACGACACCGATGAGCGCATGGGATTGATGGATACCAGGATTTAAAATGTCATTTTCAATATTTAGCTAATTTAGCATATACCCTACTTTGGCGCCAGGATCTCTTCGTGTTCGATATGATTATAATTATGATCTTCATAATGCAGCAGGAATCTTCTACCTTCCGTTCCAGGACGGAGTGTTGAGTGCGAGGCCAGTAGAACTTAGGATAGGATATAAATAGCCGAATGGACCCTGATCTAACCCCATGAAGACCTGAAACGACCGGATCGACATTCAGCGGAGACGATCTTTTAGACTCGGAATGGCTGGGGGCGGAATGTGTTTGAACTGTGAACTTATGAACGCTTCATTCTGGAGTTAGCCCGTCGACTCCTTCTCCTTTTCTTCCCTGTGCTCTTCCCCTCCCTTGGCATGACCACGAGATGGGGGCCATCTGGAAGTCGTCATGATGATCCGCACCACGTGGGCATCGGATATATTTAGATCCTGCACTAACTCAAGTTCAAGGCGAGAGGGAGGGGGGCATTATCTCCCCGTCCAGTCAGAGTACACCTACATTGCATTTCCCCTCAGAACTTAGTTTAGTTCCTTTCATCCACCGGGCGTATACTGGACACTAGACGGAAAGTAGGTACTCACTAACCACGGGAGAGGCAAACGAGAACTAAGGGATGATGGGCCCTGCAGCTCGCCTGATGTGATGATTGCGATGAATCATGTATTGCGTCTACGCTAAGGTAACTAACTATACACATACACATACACGCTACAGACTAGTACTGAGTAATTAGTCTGCACACGGGGGATTTAGATCCAGGAACGACGGGGCCAGAGAGGGGGTGAATACGAGGTCTATCCATGACCTTGCTTGACCTTGGCCTGACCCTTGTAGGTTTTTTAGCACCGAATGCACTATGCAGAGTTGGACTTGGACTTGGACTTGGACCCCACGAGGCGAAGAATTCACCCCCCCCCCTCCCCGCCCCCCCTCTTTTCTTTCCTACTCTTGATACTAAATACTGATAGGGTGGTCATATGGGTAGGGCACTATACTAGCTACATATGTACATACCTAGAGAAGAGGAGGTCAGACCAGACCAGGTCAGGCCATGTGGTTCATGCATGTATGCATGTCACTCCTTCCCTTCCGGTCCTTTCCTTATCTTTTCCCCTTTGTCCATTTGAGCAGGGTATAGATTCCCCGGACAGGGATTAATTCGTCGATTGATGAGGGAAAGCAAGGCAGGAATACGATGGTCTGCCGGAGGGGAAGGGGAGTCGGGAAATTAAATTAGATTAAATCAAATCAAAGCAAACCAAATGGAAGATGAAGATTACTTGCTTCTTCTTCTATTTCTCTTTTGGTGCTTCGCTTTTCTGCTCGTATCTGCAGCTTGCACCTGTAGGTATATGTCGGATGATCATGCACAACTATGGTTATTTGCAGCTTTTATAGAACTACAGTAAATACTATATATGGTCTGACAGGTGGAGACATCACGCTTAAGCAGACAGATACCTACCTACCTGCGTAGTTAGTACATAACAGATAGATTACTTACTTCCGTACTTTGTCAAGACATGGATAACTACCTACCGAACCACCCCCTCTGCTCAGCACTCACTAGACCAGAGTGAACCTAGTAATCCTTACTTGAAAGCCGGTCGGATCACCTATAGTTATATCACATCTACCCCGTCTATAGTATGCAGCCTTCGGGATAATCGGATACCAACCAGACCAGCCTTGAATGCTAGACTAGACTAGATCCGGAGGCTCGTATCCGGGCCATCGTGTGTTTATCTGATCCAATCAAGTGATTTTTCGATTTGGAGTAGTCTGCGGGCCTTCTTGACTAGAATTGGGGATGTTGGGGCGGGGGAGTTAGGACTGGTATAGTCTTTGGATCTTTCTTTGTTTTGGGGATAGGGTGATGATATCGGGGGTTGTATGTATATATTGGTGTAGATGGGTTGAAAGGCAATTTAGATTCTCTAGACTACTAAGTGAGGGTAGGTGTAGAAGTACCAGGTATCGGTATGACTTCGAACTAGACCAAAAGATCATTGAGCTGATGGCCAGCCCTTGCAGTACCTGACATGTCAACAGTAGGTTATCATAGGTCTTGTGTCTAATCGCGCAGTCGTATCTATATTTTTGAACGGAGCTTTCGATCGATTGATATCATACTAAAGACACTCACAACACCAACTCCATAGTGCCGCTAATGGTATTGAATATCCCAAAACGCATTCCCAACTTTATATCATGCAAAAGATAATCAAAATCCAAATAGTAAAATGAGATCCCATCACTGTCTGTCGATCACCGCTTACATAATCACAATGACGTCGCTTAGTAAAACCAGACAAACATCCGGCGTTAACTCAATTCGGCAAGCCAGTCGGCGTCAAGTTCATCATTCCCTTCAAGCTCCATCCTGCCCACCATCCATCTTGCCGTCAATAGATACACCAACCCGTACGGTCGTATCGAACAACTATGGTTGAAGCAGCTGGCTGGAGCACGATTGAATCAGACGAGGTATCCCTCCTTTTCTTCCCCAGCTTTTGTCTCAGGAACCTCGAGTCCGTGTACTTTTAGCGCTGGGCGTGTGACAACAAACATGGTCGATCATGGCTGACACAGAGATATAACAGGGTGTCTTCACCTCTCTGATCGAGAACCTCGGCGTCAAAGATGTTCAGTTCGAGGAACTGATCTCGTTAGATGCGGACACGATTCGTTCGTTAAGGTAACATCCACCGACGCATCGTCCACCTCGCCTCACCTCACCAACACAACTAACATCTACAACCAAACCAGCCCCGTCTACGGCGTCATCTTCCTCTTCAAATGGCTCCGCTCGCACCAACCCGAATCAACCTCCGCCCCAGCAGACGGCACCTACGACCCCTCCGCACCGGACTCCCTCTTCTTCGCCGCGCAAACAATCCAAAACGCCTGCGGCACGCAAGCCATCCTCTCCATCATCCTAAACCAAGACACTCCCTCCTCCTCCTCCACCTCCACCTCCACCTCGCAAAGCAACACCCTCCCACCAATCGACATCGGCCCTGAACTCCGCTCCTTCAAAGACTTCACGACCGGCTTCCCCGCCGAGCTTCGCGGCGAGGCGCTCTCGAACTCAGAAACCGTGCGGACCGCACACAACGCATTCTCCAAGGCCAGCCCGTTCGTCGACGAGGTCGCGCGCGGGCCCAACGACGGCGAAGGCGACGTGTACCATTTCATCGCGTATACGCCCGTGAACGGAAAACTGTACGAGTTGGACGGATTGCAGCCGCACCCGATTAGCCACGGGGAGTGCACTGCGGCTCAGTTCCCCGAGAAGGTGATTGAGGTGCTGCAGCGGCGTATTGCGCGGTATCCGGAGGGGGAGACGCGGTTTAATTTGATGGCTGTGACGCGGGATCTGAGGATCCGTGCGCGTGAGTTTGGGGATCAGGAGATGTTGGAGAGGGAGGAGCGGAAGAGACGGGATTGGGCGTGGGAGAATACGTTGAGACGGTCGAATTTTGTGGGGTTCATTGGGGAGATGGTCAAGGGGGTGACTGCGATGAAGGAGAGGGAGGGGAAGTTTGAGGAGTGGGTTGGTCAGGCGCAGGTGGAGACGCAGAGGAAGTTGATGAGGAGGTCGTGATTCCTGTCCTCTCTTGTTTCTAGGCAGATGTGGTGGTTGGGGTTTTGGGTTATGGGGTGGATGGGTGAGATCGGACGGATGGTGGATGTTAAACGATACCACGTACACATTATGGTCCCTTGGACTACCGATGCTTGTTACATTCTCGTATTAAGACTAGAGTAAGACTAAAAGACTCAGTTACTGATGCTATCTCCCAAGACTCCTGTATGTACATGCACCGTTACCAGCAGAAACAAATAACCGTGAGATAAGCGCCGTATACCATGCTAATGAATCCTGTTGAAGGAAAAGAAAAGCATTCGTCATGATCATAATCATCATCACATCGACATCCCTCCTTTGGCAGCCAGTCAATTAATACTCGATGATTCGAGATTTGACCTGTTCGACCAAAGCTGCAGGCAATTCGTCCTCGCGCACCAGCTTCATCGCCAGCAGGTCTGACCAGAAGAACATGGCCCGGTCCTGCGCATACGCCAGGTAATCGAACTCATCCGACTCTTCGGCCTCGGCCTCGGCCTCTGCTTCCGTGACAGACGACCCGGTTGAGTGGGTGCGTTCCGTCTCCGTCGCCGAGTCGTCATGGCTGATGTGCGCGCCCGCCTCGTCGGCCGCGATGCCTTCCTCCATGCCAGGGGCTTTGGCTTGGACGATACCCCATGCCACCCACTGCGCCGAGTTGAAGACCCGCCACTGTCGCATTTCTTTCATCAAGGCTTGGATTTCTCGCTCAGTCTTGGTCTCATGAGCCTTTTCAGTTTCAGCTGCGTTCGGAGCCTCCATGTCCGGGCCGTCGTCTAGGCTTAATGGTGCCATGGATGTGCTGGTTGAAGACATTCCACGCATGAGCGGAGTGATGGACGGCGAGGCCTGTCCGGCCAAAGCCGGTCGGTGAGTCAGGTAGGCGCTGATGAAGCGACGCTGCTGCTCCGGTGTTGGGAAGGCCTTGTTGTTGCATGCCCAGGACCGTTCTGGATCGTGATAGTTATAGCACCACTCCGTCTGGGCTGGTCAGTCATAACGGTTTCATGCAAGAGTTCGAGGTACACTCACGAAATGGTTGGCGAATTCAAATCCTGGAGTGTTCGCCGAAGCATACTCGAAATCAATAACCACTAGCTGTTTATGCTCATTCTCCGGGCGCAGCAGCGGTGATTCGGAGCTAGGTTCCATCCGCAGAAGGTTGCCATATTGAGTCTGTCAAATCAGCCATGTATACATCAAACCCAGCAAGGTCACTCACATCATTATGGGCAAAAACGAGCTGCCGCTTGATCTCACTGATCCCCCCATGGCTGGAGACGAGCCACTGGCGATAGTTGTCCACGGCCTTCCTGAAGGTAGGCCATGGGACACCACAAACGAACCCCCGCCGTCTCCACGGCTCTGAGACTGCCTTGATATCGTTTGTTTTGGAGCAGATCTCTTTGTCCAACCAGTTGGTGACCTTCTCACACCGATCAACCCATTTGTCCCAGTTCTTGAACACCATCGGCCCGCCCTCTCGCTCCTCCTCCAGCAAGTCAATGCCTTCGTGGAGCTCTCGCATACGCTTGGCAATCTGTTTCATGGTGGCAGGATCCCGCAGATCTTCGAAGGTTAACGGACGGGCATTGAAGTATTCTTCGAATCTGCCATTGATGAACGTCCCAAGCACTTTCGGCCCGATGTTTTTCTTTCCGAGCCGACGAAGGATCTGCAGTTCGTTATCGCGATCAATCAAATGATCCACCTGTGGGCCGTAGATACGCAGGAGTAGCTTGCTGGAGGAGAGTCAGACAGTGGTTGAAAACGACAGAGAGCTGGAACTCACGATGGGGGTTTCCGCGGCACCAGAGTGTACGAGCCATCTTCGGCCTTCGGAGCCGGGATGTTCTGCGGCGGAGTGACAACATATACCGCATTGGTCAATGCACCGCTGAGCCGAACGACCTCAATGTCACCGGCATATTCCATGGGAAGCTTGCGCCACCCCTTAAGTTGCAGCGTATGGGTCAGGCGCATGATTTCAGTCTTGAACACCGTCCATGCATCCCGGTCTTTGGATCGCCTAACATTGGCGCCGCTCTCACTCTCCTCGTCGTCCGCAGCGCCGCCACTGTACGCGAGTGTCTTCGAGTTATCTAGCACCGCATCGACACTTGGGGTTGCGGAGTCAAGGTCCGGAAAGTCCGATTCAGACGCAGACCCTCTCCGCAGCCCCTTAGACCGATGACGTCGGCGGCCTGTGCGTTGCGTAGGTTGCTCAGACGCGCTGGTCTCGCTGCGAGTGGCGGCGTATTGAACGAGAATTTTCTCCAACCGGTCCAAGGCAATGCCATTTTCGGCCTCGGGAGAAACGGTTTTTTCCAGGGGATATCCATCTACGACGGCCTCGTCATCCTCGTCATCTCCGTCGCTGCCAGTTCCATCCGTTTGTCCAAAGGCTCTCGGCTTGAGGTTCTTGCGCTTCGCCTGCTCACGTCGCAACCACTCGTACACCTGGTAGAATAGGATGCCCTGAGGATCCTCATTGCCATTCTTCACACTCGAGTCTTTTTCATCCCGTGTTACAGGTTCCGTTGCGACGCTCGGGGTCTGGCTGGTCAATGCTGCGGGGGAATACATAGGCGGTCGCGCCGACGATTTCTTGCTCAGCGAAGTGCGGTGCTTGCGGGGGGAGGTTCCATCCGTCGCGGGGGTAGAATGGCCATTTCCGGTGACATGTCGGAATCTCTGGTACGCAAGGTCTAGACCGGTTCCTAGAATCGGTCGATGTCCTTGTTGCGATTGATCAGAATCCATGAACTCTAGGAACTAAGGAATAGAGAGTGGAAGGAAAGATGGTTATGCAGAGGGGGAGAGGGGACGAGGGAAAGGAAGCATGTGGAGAGGACACCGATAAGGAAATTGGGTAATTATGAACAGTCGCGATGGGCCATCAGATCATCTGATCCGGTGCGGATCTCGGAAAAGAATGGAAATGCTACTCAGGCTACAAAGGAAAGGCAAAATTGAGAGGAAAGGAAAAAGGGGGTTGGAATGATGCACGGGAGAGCCAAGGCAAATCCAATTTCAACCTACCTTCAACGTCAGGACCAGAATCACCGTTCTGGTCAGTGAAGGAGGGCATGTCCAGTCGCACAACAGGCGGGGACAAAGAAAAGAATCCAGATCGGAAGCAGACCGAAGCTCTTGCCAGATGATTCGGGGTGTAGTGTGTTGCACAGGGGAGCGATGGCTTATAAGGACTGGAACGGAGGCCCGCAAAGAGGACACTTGGACCAGGGACGGGATTGCGAGGAGACCCTGAGTAACTTGCGGATAGAATTTGCTTGACCGAGAGAGCGAACGGGTGGTACCCGAATGATGATTAGGCAGGCAGCCAAAAAAGAAAAGACAAAAAAAAAGCGAAGACCGGCTAAGTGGGGTGGATCGATAGGAGCGATCCAGAAAAGAAGCCAACGGTCGGAGATAATCCCACAAAAAAGGTGTCCACCGGTAAGTCAGAAGCTTGGTAGGAAATTAAGAATGGAAGTATGGAGGAGACAGAGCCCGAAGTTGGTGATATCACAGAACAGGGACAGATGCAGGAAGAGACAGATAGAAGTTCAGGTGGCGAACTGACGAAATGATTCCTTAATTCCTTATCGACGAAGAAGTCGGTGAGCTCAGGTGACTTGCCGCCACCAATTCCGGCAATCAGTCACGGGCCACTTTGTACCCTCGTTGTTTGTTGCTTTTGCTCCCTTTCTCGCTTGGTTTTGCTTCTCGTCCACTTTTACACGGTCATCTTCAAGCCTCAAATCTTACTCCGCACATAAGGGTGCATATGACGGGTGGTTCCCCTGGTCGTAGTGGCTGACCTGCCCGACCAAGTGTGCTGCTAGATCCGCTTGTTTGTCCCCCCTGGAACTGACCAGGATGCGGAGGGGAATAGGATGTCCCCTGGTTGGTTGTCCATCCCTGACTGGAACCGAGTTATCATCATTGGATCGATGATAGTATAGATAGTATAGATAGACCACTGGATCCTTTGAATAGACCCAACAACCTCGGCGATTTTCCATCCGGCCCGTGGTACGGAATCAGGTACGCATCCGGTCATGTCGCTTGGGGAAAGACGCTGATGGAGAAAACACTAGCCCTAAAACAGCCGGTCTGATTTGTATACTGTGAAGTTATTATTATTATCATCAACAACACTCCAGTCCCCCCGCGAGGACATGAGGCAGTCAGATGCTAGGCACCGTACACAAACTCGGTCGCGCAGGAGTCATACTGGTTAACTAGGGATCATCATCCCGATGATCCAAGTATGGAGCAAGTACAGACCGGTTCTTGTCGCACAGGGAAAATGAGCATCTTATTCGACGGAGTCATACTGGATTAGGCTGCAAAGGGCATTTGATGGTGAGTTGTTGCGGAGAGAAGAAGGAAAGGAGGGGAGGAGAACGAAAGGCGCGCGGTCTTATTTTCCTGGCGAAAGCGGGGAAGGCGGCCTGAGGCTGGCATTCCTGCACATGATCCCCCCTGGCCCGTCTGCACGTTGACGCATTCCTGCATTTCGTGATACTCTTAGTCTCGTTGCCATTTGCCTGGCTCAGTCAAAACCACGAGTCATCCATCCCTATCGTTCGAGCCTTAGTGATACGTCACGCTCCACACCCGATACCCTTTCCCGGCCTCGTCGACTTGGGGCGCGCCCTCAACGAACGTGGAATCCGCATACTGCAGAGTATACCCCTTTCCATTCCCAAGGAATGTGATTGTGATGTCGGCTGCCTTCTCGCGTTGATCGGATGCTAGCAACGCTCCATGCGACCCTAACCATTTCCCATCGAGGGCGCTGGAGACGTGGAAAAGTTGACTTTCCTCGTTGCCAGCGTGGTGAATCACCCAGCGTTGGCTCTTTTCTCGGTGTTCGGGATGAGCACGACTGATACTGATCCGACTGGCATTGCCTGCGTTGGTGAGGGCTTGTCCGAATCTCTCAAATACCAGATACCGGCCTTCGGTCAGGTATCCTACACATTCCTTGTATCCGTCCTCGAACCACAGGGATTCGCTGATGTTTCCCTGCTTTCCATAAGGCACCGGAGGACGCTGAACAGGGTGTGCGGCCACACATTTGGCTGTACCCACGTATTTTCCAAGAAGCGTGGGAGGCTTTTTCACGTCAGGGAGGTTCGGGATACTAGTATCGGGCTGATCACGGGAAGGTTAGCCACGGCTTGGTGTCATGGTTCGAACTATCTGAACCTACATGGTTCAGATCCAATGCGTTGACAAGATCGGACATGTGCTCCCGACGCCAGTGAACCATTTCATCCGTGCGGATGTTCTTGTATCCCCTGGCCGTCAGCCATGCCTCGAGGAAGAGGATTTGGGAGTTATGGTCGGCTCGTTCGGTGAAGACTCGATTGCCACGAGTCCACGGCGACACCATGTAAAACGGAACCCGGACGCCTACGAGAATCGTTCATAAGTGTCATCTTCTGTATGTCCAACCAGACATCGGAAGACTCACCAGGTCCGACGTAGATCTTTCCGAACTTCCCATATGGATCCTCCATCCACTCGCCTGGAGTATCCTCGGGAGAGTGAAACGGCACAACATGGTCTCCAAAGCCACCGGATTCTGTCATAGATCAGTCGACGGTCAAGCAGAAAGCGAATCAGGTTCTTACCGTCATAGCTAATCATCAACAACGTGGATGAATACTTGGGGCTCTTCACCACTGCATCCACAACCTGCTTCTGAAGCCACGCGCCCTCTATCGGCATGTATGGCGGATGCTCTGACAATTCTGCCGGGCCGATGACAAAACTAACCTCTGGGAGAGTCCCGTTAGCAGCGGCCTTGTAGAATGCCTCAAGTCCTAATGTTGCCAACCCCTTTTTGGCTAGAGGAGAGGTCTCGGACGCGTTTTGGAACTGTTCAAACCAGGCCAGAGGATTATCATCGAAGTTGTCGGTTTCTTGGTATACCTGCCACGAGACACCTTCTTTTTCGTATATGTCGAAAATTGTCTTCCACCTAAGAGGGTAGCAGTTGATCTTACGGCTATCGCAACCTGATAGGCGTCAGTTTCGAAAGAGAGCCACACCGACACCTTTTTCTCACCGGGAGTTTCGTTATTGTCAAGATAAACCCCGCCCTGGTCTGGCGTTTGAGGACCGCCCGGCACATTGACGGAACCGCTGACCAAAGTGACTCGATTGGGGTTGGTAGAAGTCACTTGAGATTCCTAAAGACAATCAGCTACCGTGATAGTATTTATCCTATCCTCATTCACCCTTACCTGATACATATCACCCGTGGTCCAACCCTCGGCAATGGCAAACTGAACAGGCACATCATTCCGTTTGAGATAGCCCCAGCTCCAAGGAGTGTTATTCCGCGCCCAATTGTCGTTCAAATCATGGTTCAAGGACGCCTGGTTCTCTTCGTAGCCGTTACTCCCGGCTACTAAGCACTGAATGGCATCGGCCCAATATCCGCCCTTGTACCCAAGGTACCATGGCAACAGTGTTTTCGCCTCCGTGGACATATCGGGGTCCACCTTTCTAAGTAATCTTAGCAGCGTCCTTAACACTCTAAAGGCGATAGAACTGACTGGTACCAAACAGGTATACCATCGTCATTGGCCTGTACGTTCGGGTCATTGAAACCTCGGACTCCAGCCATGGTACCGAAATACTAAATTCATCATTAGTCCGATCGTATAACACGAAGAAAAAAAGGAATTTTAGGGCCCGTACATTATTGAATGGTCGGTTCTCCTGCATGAAGATGACCACATGCTCAACGTCCTTCAAAGTATCGGCGCTCACCGGTCCGCTCCCGAGAAGCAGGACTAAGGCGCCTAGTAGCATCGACATGATGAGACTGGGCTCTTTTGTTTCCAGTAAACAATGAATCTCCGAAGTGCCGATTGTTCAAGCGGAGATATTATTTTGAAAGAACGGACCGACAGGGTGGATGGTTTAAATATCGACCGGATGCATAGTTACAATGCAGGCATTATGCATTGGTTATAACCGATGCAACAACGTTCTGTCGATTCAGTCAATAAGACAAAACCAAGAATTGGATGCAACCTGAATGAAAGTGATGCGCATTGTAAATTGGATTTGACGCGTCAGAGGGAGAGTAACCGAGACATATTACTTACAATGCAAGGTGCTAATTAGGTCCGATGGAGTCCTCGGAGACCCTGGCGAGCCATTGAAGCGCCAAAGATTGGTTAAGGGGAAGGAATCATTTGTCCCTGGCACAGGCCTAAGCTTTGAAGCTAAGGTAGGAGGAAAGCGACGATGTGAGGATGGAGACGCCGTCGCCTCGGTTGGAGTTGGGGACGGGCACGTGCTGGGATGGATGGTGCCTGAGGACTAAGTCAGTGGATTCCTTCATCTCACGGGGCAGCAGTGCCCTGATGGGTTTCACTGCCGATCAACGCGGTCAATGTAACCTTCTCCACTCGGTCGGACGACTGGAGATAAATACGTTGATAATGAAAACTCGATCCTAGATTGAAGACGGTAAAGTCAGGATCATGGTATCGATGACTGTTTTGAACAGGCAATAATTGGACTTGTACAACGAGGCCCTTTAGCGGACATGGAAAGAAGACCCAGTCGTCGAAAGAATGCCCGCCAGCTCAAAGAACATTCTACATTAGAGGCATCACAGTTCAATGGCAACGAGAATCGAACAGCAGAGCGAGGAAGCCGCAGAATGTATAGAATATTGCTCTACCCGTTGATCGTCTGCTTTTTCATAGTACTTGTGTTTCTGCATCAGTCCAATTTTGGGGCTTATATGTTCTCACAGCTACAAATCCCTGCTCAAGTGACTTCTCCACGAGTTCGCGATCCAGACGCCTTTCGTCCAAGAATAGAACTCCATCCAGATGATCATGCATACCGGGATTCTGTCACACAGCACTTCGAATGGAACGTGACGTCTGACTACCTGCGTCCAGACGGAGTACTCAAGCAGGTCTATCTCATCAATGGTGCGCATTCCGATTCCGTCCATTATACTAGCACTTCTAATTCAGTATAATTTGATAGGATTATTTCCTGGTCCCACAATCGAAGCTCGTTCCGGCGATACTCTTACAATCAATGTCACGAACAACCTAGAAGTGCCTATCTCAATTCACTGGCATGGTCTACACATCCCGAGTAATCCACGCCGTCGCCTAGCTTCATGTCTACAATAAGAACTGACAACGCGCTAGATTATATGGATGGCGTACCTGCCGTGACACAATGGCCCATCTCTCCCGGGTCAACCTTCACCTACCACCTTACCATTCCCCTCGACCAAAGCGGTACCTTCTGGTACCATGCCCACTCAGGCGTGGCCAGGGCAGATGGTCTCTATGGGGGAATAGTTGTACATGCCCCCGCTCCAAAATCAACTGTTCGAGGGCGCATGACTAGGCAATGGCCTGTGTACGAGAAAGAATTCCTTCTCTTAGTTGGGGATTGGTACCATCAGCCTGCGAATAAGGTTTTGGCTTGGTTTATGAGCATTGAGTCGTTTGGGAATGAGGTATGCACTTGTAGTCAGACTCAACTAGTTATCTTCATGCTAGCAATGAGCAAGAGCTGACAACAAAGTCTAGCCGGTTCCCGATTCCTTGCTTTTGAATGGAGTCGGGGCGTTCAATTGCTCAATGGCAGTTCCTGCTAGGCCGGTGGACTGTCTTCAGCAGAGATTGAACCTAACATATTTGAATGCAGAAGCTGATATAAGATATAGGCTACGAGTAGTTAACACAGGGTTAGTGTGCTTATCCACCCAGGTGTTCAACCAAAGAGTATGTACTGTACTGTTGTTGGCTAACTTGGCGGTATGAGCACAGCTCTCTAGCAGGGTTTACCTTATCTTTTGAAAACCACCTATTCCACCTTCTCCAAGTCGACAATATAGACACTGAGCCCCAAAAGCCTAGCTCGGCGGTCGGAATCCTTTATCCAGGACAACGCATGGATGTCCTCGTGGAGCCGTCTCAAAGCAAAGCCCACCAGTCTTCATTGACAATCCACTTAGACGAAGAGTGCGTAACCCTGTATAACTCTGGCTTGAAACTACTGACAAAAGCACTGTCGGTACCTCAGATGCTTCAATTTGCCCAACCTAGCCCTAACCCCTACCCAAACATTCCTTACATCCTCCCTAGATGAGAGAGACCACTATCATCCTCGTCCTCGTCCTCGTATTCTAACCTCCGCCGATGTCCCACCCCTCGACATATCTCGCATTCCATCTTCCCAAGAAGCCCTCTTCCACCTTTACACATCCCGTGGCGTGAGCCCCCAAACCCACGTCGTCTACACGAAGGTCGAAAAACTGTCGATAAAGCACAACATCCCTTACGGATTCTTCAACCGTACGAGCTGGGCTCCGCAGCGTGATCCTCCACTCCCACTATCCTTACTTCCGAAAGAGAAATGGGACGAAAATCAGTTCTCGATCACTACGACATCGGTGAACGATAGCAATGCCGACTCCGTTTGGGTAGATCTAGTCGTGAATAATCTAGATGAGGGAGGGCATCCGTTTCACTTGGTATTTCCCTCTCTCTTCATTCCCTTGTCTCTCGTTTCAAATCAAGATCTTTCCGCGAGGATGAACAGATGAAGCATATCCCAAACTAACCAAGACATGACAAACGCCTAGCATGGTCACCATTTCTATATCCTCCGCGTCCATGAAGCCTCGGTTGGATGGGGCTCATTCAATCCGTTCGAAGCCAAGAACGCAAATGGTCTATCCGATCAGGACCAGCACCCTGATGGGTATGATTACTCGCGTGCAATGCTCAGAGACACGGTATATATTCCCCGACGGGGCCACGCAGTTATACGCTTCCAAGCCAAGAACCCCGGCGTGTGGATGTTTCATTGCCATATTCTTTGGCATTTAGCGAGTGGTATGGCGATGCTGGTACATGTTGTGGAGTAAGACATCCTTGCTTTATAAGGTCTGGCTAGGGTAGAGGGAAAGTATTGATTCCTTACACTTGTATGTGAATAGAGGCTGGAGTACATCAATCAGGGAACATCCGGAAATCATACAGAAATCGAGAATCAAAATAGGGTCAATTCCTTCACCAGCCGCCAAATCGTAAGTTTGTTAGATGCCCTAAATGGGTTGATCCATCCTCTTTTACACCCTGCACCTCCAAGTCTTGCAAAATCTCATCGAGGTATGTAGCTACGCCACTCAGATGGATAATCTGCGCAATAGCATGATGAATACCGAGAAGCCGCGGGGAGGGCGCGTCGATGGTAGGACTGAGCGTCAATGTACGGGTGACTGGGAACAACGAATCACGCAGACAGGCAAATCGTTGGGTCGTCTCAATTGTATATTGATTGGGTATCCCTGTCGGTTCGAAGCATATCTGAAAATCACCAAATAGGCGATGGTACCTGTGCGCTAAAGTGAGAGCATTTGAAGGGCTGTGAATCTTCGCGCCATCAAGGAGGTCGGAAACGCCGGGGTCGAACCAATCCAGCATGCGGAGTACGTTTTTCTTCGATTCGCTCTAGAACGATCCATGTTAGAAAAGAGCAGTGGGCGAACTTTCTGGTTTAACACATACTATATCCAAATCCCCGGGAACGACATTTGTTATGCGATAAGGCAGAATGTGGCTAATCTTCAGGTATGCAAATCGGCTATGGGATTCGTTTTTCAGTGGCTCTCCGTCATCGTCCTTGCACTCCTCTCCTTGTTGGTCAAGCCGCCTTTCGGCCTCCTTTTTATCAAACTTTCGAGAGACCACACAGCGACAGCGATCACGCTCAAGACATTGTTGCCGTAGGATCGAGATCGATTGCGGTGTGTCGGGAGATGAAGAAGGCTCTATCGACTCTGATGTGGGTTGTGGTGTCTTTCCAGACGAGGCTTTGACTTCAATAGCGCAGTTAGTAACTGAATGACCTTTGTAACATGACCATGGGAGACATAACGTACTTGGAAGAAGAAAGTGTGTAATGAGATTCTCAGCGAAATCTTCAACGGCGTTCTTGAGTTCGCTCTTCCGTTGTGAATCCCAGGAATCCGAGTCGTCAAAGTACGATACGAGGGTGGCCATGATATCCGACCCAACGGAGATATCCGTATTTGCAAATAAAACATTATGAATGTAAGCAAGAAAGAACATCAAGAAGGCATCTTTCGAAGTGACCTGTTGAAATGTGGACTGTATCAGTATTGAAGGCTTGTAGCGATTTCGTGTCGTTCGCTCGAGGCCATAGTGTCGGATGAAGGTATCGAGGAGCGAAGTTGCCCGTAGGCTTAGATGCGATGGTAATGACAAAGGAGGAGAAACATCCAATGCCTCGATGAACGAGGACGGAAATTGTTGAAAAGGCATTCTTCTGTACCCCGCGGACTCACTTGTGGCACCTGAGACAAAAAGGACAAAACAAAACAAGGCCGGGGACTCGACTGCACGTGTCAAGTGCCCTTTTCAGTCTCCAAGTCACACCTCCCAAGCCCCTTCCTTCCTCCTTCTCTCTCTCCCTCTCTTTCATTGCCTTCATGTTTTCTACTTTCTTTGTTCTCGGTGTTGGAGGTAAAGACTATTTACAGTCTTGCTCAACATACAGAGAGTCCTCCCATCGTCAGAAATACTGCCATTGCAAGAGCTATACTTGTCTTCTCTACCACGGAAGTGAAAAGTATGTTGTATTAGCCATCAAGCCCTAACGTGCTTCAAGCTGGTTGCTTCTTCCGGTCACGGTTGCCTAATCGAGTAGGCTCAATTCCCAGACATCTCAATAGAAGGCATCGGATCCCAATTATGCTTGTTGAATGTTGGAATCGTGGTGGCAATTTTTGTCTCACTGAGTCAGCTTCTGACGGATGAGAGAAGCTCGCTATGCCGCAGGAGGATTCCGACGGGGTTTGGGGACTGGAGCTAAGTTGCAATCTCCGAAATCCGACGGGATTCGCGCCTTGTCTGTGCCCTTATCCTTTCCTCGACGTGTCAAGTAGTCTCACGTCCATCTCCGTCATTTAATGCCCCGTGGTACTTATCCCGATCTTGAGCTTTCTAAATAACCATGGATTCCGATACAGCAGCTGTATCCGTGAAACCCGCGGCCTATGGCCAAAGCTGCACAAACTGCGCCCGAGCAAAGTGCAGATGTATGGTTCGAAATGTCAATGATGGCTGCGAAAGGTAATTAACAGCTTTCGTTGTGTATGCTGGAGATTTCGTTCCTAACAATGCCTCGCAGGTGTCACCGGTTAAGAAAAGATTGCCGGCCGTCCCCTACTATCCGCAAGCGGAATACCAAGCGCTCAACCGCTCCAAGATCCGCTTGGTTAAAGGCGAATGTCGACACTGTCATTTCTCCCTTGAATGAAGATCAAAATAGCTCTGATCAGCTGGTCCTTCACAATCTTACACCCACAACCTCTGATGGCCCTGCTGCCCTGGGGCAGACAGTTTGGGGAATTGACGATTCGTCCGCCACGGCAACCAGTACAGCTGGGCCCAATTCCGCATCATTCTATCAGTCACCGGCTTTGAGTCCATATCATGGCTCGTCAGATATAGAGTCATCGTCTTTTGAAGCAGAGGATGCACTCAATCGATTCCGTAATTTCAGTGCCACTCAATACCCTTTCATATACATTGCCCCAGATATCTCGGTCCAAGAGCTTGAAAAGACCAGACCTTTCCTTTGGTTGTGTATCAAGGCTGTCTCTTCCCTGTCATCGTCTAAACAAAAAGCACTCGGCGCCCGGGTGCGAGAAGCAATTGCTCAAAGAATGCTGATTGAGAATGAGAGATCTGTCGACCTACTCTTAGGATTGCTAGTCTATATTGGAAAAGCCAACCCTCTGATGCAGGGACATAGGCCCTACTTCTCTCTCTTTACCCAAATGGCTCAGGCCGTGGTATTCGATCTTGGCCTCAACAAGCCGATTCGAACAGAACCAGCCAATGTCCCGATATGTAGCCCGAAAGATTCCATCCAAAGTGGGCACAATGTATCAGGAGCGCATAACCCCTCGTTAATGCAAGTACGGACGATAGAGGAAAGGCGAGCTGTACTTGGCTGCTATTATATTACATCGATGTAAACCGTCTTCTTCGCCCCCGTTGATTGAACTATATACTGATCATTTTGAAGTATTGCAGCGTATGCACAGAGGATTGATGGGCTATGCTGGACTTCCCACATGGCTGAATCCCTTCAAATGCTGACTGAGAAGCCCGAGTGCTCTCAGGATACAGCACTTGTTCTATTGGTTCGTACCCGATTGATCGCCGACAAGATGATCCAGCTGGCGCGCAATGGTCAATCTTCCAAGACTTCAACACCCCCTTTATTTTTCATGCGGGCCTTGGACGCTGAGCTTCAGGAGATACAAAACAACATTTCCAAAGAGACAGAGCGAACAGGTAAAGAACAAACCCGTATTCGCTTGGATACAATTAGTAACGCCAAGTAGTTTCTTACGCCAGCCAGCTCAGCATTCATCATACTCAGCTCATCGTCTGGGACAGTGCCCTCGATAGTGGTAGCTCATTGACCGATATGCTTACAACTGATCCTGCACGGTTGGAAGGCCTTTACAAATGTCTCGAGGCCATCAAGTCATGGTTTGACCTAGCTTTCAAGCTACCAGCCACCAGCTACGCCTTTCCTCTGTTCTCTCCTCTCACAGATTTTATCTCTGCTCTACACAAGCTTTCGGCAGTGCAGATGCCTGGATGGAGCATAGAACTTGTCAGAAATACATTGGATTTGTCAGAAGTTCTCCAAAACTTGGCTCAAAAGTTTGAACAAGCCCAGTCCCAGACAAGACTGGCTGGCGACTTTGTCGCCGGTGAAACCTACGAAAAAGGTGTCGCATTCGTGAAATACATGAGAAATATGGTGGAATCTCGCTCGACAGAAGATGTTACTCCTAGCTCACAGGCTGGAGGCGTTACCGCACAAGACGCTGGTGCCGCATACAAAAACCAGATTGATGAGGCAGTGATGTTTCCTATAGTTTATTCTGACGATTCCTGGTTAACTGAACTATTAGCAACAGTGCAGTATTGATATAGAATAAACTAGTATCTCAAATCCTTCCCACCATAACACCATATTACAGATCATACTCCATGGCCATAATATATGTGAGGAAACATCGCAAACTTATTTCGTGCTATTCCCGCCCATATCGCTAAACCATTGTTAGCCAACTAAGTAAGCAGAAAATCCCGACGGATTTCGGGTTTGGGGATCATCAACTCCGCCAACGATTTGCTGGCTAAGGGGAGAATGATCAATATATAACCCCAGATTTTTGATGTTACCTTGCTTTGGATGTACTGACTACTTTCTGCATCATTCAACAATGCACGTTAACTGCTCCTGAAACATCACCATGACCGAGTCTTCTAAAGACTGCGAGAAGCATGAGCTTCAATTGGGAGAACATGTTGAATCGAAATCCTTTCCAGTTGACTCGGAGAATCCTGCTCATACAAAGCCCGAATTTCTCTTGGGCGTAAAAATGACCATGGTTATATGTGCTGCGACTATGATGGCATTTCTCACCCTGCTAGACCAGTCAATCATTGGGACGGTGAGTACATTCAGGGCATCCACGCACTGTTAAGCTAACAGAATATAGGCCGTTCCTCGAATCACAAGCCAATTCCACTCACTCCCCGATATTGGGTGGTACGGTAGTGCATACCAACTAGCCAGGTAGGAAACGTGACCTTCGAACTTGGGCTAGAGCATTGATCCCTGCAGTGCCTCTTTGCAACCTCTTTCCGGAAAGCTTTATACGTATTTCCCCTTAAAGGTAATGTTGAAACTTCGCCCACAAAGAGACAGTGAGGGTATAGACGCACTTTTACTGATCATTCGCGTTGACCAGTGGACGTATCTAGCCTTTGTGGCGTTATTTGAATTGGGCTCCCTCCTATGTGGAGTTGCTACATCATCAAATATGCTCATTATCGGACGTGCTGTGGCTGGTATGGGGGCTTCGGGCTTGAATAATGGTGCATTGACCATCCTAGCAAGCACTACTCCACCGGAGAAACGACCGTGTGAGTACGTATAGACGCCTTGGACAACATGAAGGCTGACATTCTGGCAATTTAGTTTATATGGGAATCATTATGGGCGGTTAGTCAATTATCAATCATTAATGATTATGATTATCAACTAACTGAAAGCGAACGCCAGTCGCCCAACTCGGTGTCGTTCTGGGTCCGTTGCTAGGAGGAGTGTTCACGGAGCATGCTACCTGGAGATGGTGTTCGTCTGCGTCACATCCTTTTCCTACACTCGTCAGGACTGATATGATTAGGCTTTTATATCAATCTTCCTATCGGTGCCGCAATCGCCGGCAGCCTTCTGTTGCTCAAAATCCCCGAGCAAACGACCAAACCCCCTTTTTTCTCAGTCTTCAGAAAACTACCATCCAAGCTCGACCTCGTTGGTTTTCTTCTCATTGCACCCTCTGTCATCCAATTGCTCCTAGCTCTTGAGTATGGTGGCAACCAATTTGCCTGGAACAGCTCGACTGTCATCGGCCTCTTCTGTGGGTCTGGTACGACCTTCCTGGTGTTTCTTTACTGGGAGCACCGTCGAGGCAACGAGGCAATGGTTCCATTACATATGCTCCGGCAGCGGATTGTCTGGACGAGCTGCGTCAACCAGACCTCCATCATGATCATGATGATATGCGCATCCTATTTCTTACCGACGTACTTTCAAGCCGTAAAAGGCGTTTCTCCCACAATCAGCGGGGTGGATCTTCTCCCTAGCATTATCGGTCAGTTGGTAGCATCGGTAGTCTGCGGAGCTCTAGGTATGTCTTTCCTCATGTAGCGCATGGTCTCCCTTTGCTGAACATCACGATATTTGTATAGTCGGCAAACTGGGCTATTATCTTCCATGGTCCGTCGCCTCAGGGGTTATCACCGCTATCGGCAATGGTTTGGTCTCCACGTTCTCGCCGTCCACATCAACCGGGAAATGGGTCGGATATCAGATCCTTCTAGGAGCAGGCCGCGGATTAGGATTTCAAGCAGTACGTCTTCCACCCACTTACGCATACCCTCTTCGACTAACGTCTGACAAGCCAATAATCGCCATTCAAAACGCCTTGCCACCCGCGGAGATAGCGGTGGGTATGGCTCTGATGATGTTCTCCCAAACGCTGGGCGCCTCCGTATTCTTGGTTGTTGCCAACGTGATATTCACCACGAGCCTTCGAGCGGAGATTCCTAGGTACGCACCGGATACTGATCCCGGGGCAGTTATTGCAGCAGGAGCATCGGCAGTGCGAGATGTGGTCACTTCTGCGGCGGCATTGGCTGGAACGTTGCAGGCGTATGCGGTCGGTGTGGATCGAGTGTTTTACCTAACCGTTGGGTTTTCCGGAGTTTGTTTTGTGTCGGCATGGGGAATGGGATGGAAGGATATTCGACGAAAGGACACTTAGATGATAGAAGTGTTGCAACTGATCTGGGCTCTATATACTTAGCTATTGATGCTTTAGTCCAATATAACCAGCTGATTGGCCATGCTTGCCCCACCAACGCTGAGTCATCGAGTGCCCTCTCGTGACATCGAACGACCTCCAGTTTCCTTCTCGCTGCATCATCGCCATGGATGATCATTGGCGCTGGGTTTCTGCTCAGGACCTTCCTGCTTCAGGTCCTGATGCCGGGTCCGTCGATGGCGCTGCCCGTCCGGACATGGATGGCTTCAACTGCTATCTAGGAGAAGATGAACCGCTCTTCAACTTGGACGGAATCGACCATTCAGGACTATACAACAGCGGTTCTAATAACGCCCCGTACGATCTCCACGAGGGTGCATGGCCTTCTTCGTGGACGATATTTGATCAACTATCCGATCCGACTTTCGCGCAGCTACCTGATAGCAATCTTCCCATCCCACTACCGGACAATATCCCCGATAATCAGTCCGTGGCGCAAAGGCCGCTTACGGACGTCTCCCAGTGGCTAGACGGTGCCTACAGTCCGCCTGTCCCCTGCACTTACTGTCGCAGGCATCGTCTGCAATGCCTCATCATCCGCACCACCTCTGCAAACCCCAACCCAGTCACCGCATGTTCAAGCTGCGTGGCGCTCTTCCGCGAATGCAGTCTCGCGCTGGGCGAGAAGCGACAACCCTCGCGATTCGAGACGCTTTCGCCAGTCCTCGGCAATCTTCATGGCCTCCGAGAGATTTGCGAGGATGCCTCTACTGGTACTACCAGTGACGCCAATCGCTCTACTTTGCCGGCCCTCGAGGAAGGCAGCAGCAGTCGCAACCCGGAGTCCAAGCAGTTCGTTCGCAAAGGAGCACGCGTCCTCCGTTCTTGGTTCCTTCAGCATCAGTCTCACCCGTACCCCACCGATGAGCAGAAGTCGGAGCTAGTTCTCGAGACGGGGTTCTCGAGACAGCGCATCTCAACATGGTTCGCAAACGCGCGCCGACGCCAGAAACAGAAGCAGCAGCAACGAGAGAATCCCAACCCGCCCGCTTCCTCCGCGCGCATCTTCCGCGCGGGATCTCCGATGCCTTCATCCTCATGGGCTTCCATGACGCCGTTAGAACGATGGCAGGCGTCTCCGCCTGAAGACGACCCAGTACCTGAATCCACGATCCGAGACGCCATCGCCTCAACGACCCCGGCACCAGCACAAGGATCGGAGCCCCAGTCCCGGACCCAGCCTCCTTCCGCCTCCTCCCAAGACGACTTCTCCTTTTTCTTCCCCTCCCCCCAGTTCGACATGGACCTGGATCTGGACCTCGGAGGGACAGCCCTCGACACCTTCTTCAACCTCGACGACCACGAGACCTCGTCTCATCTGGATTCCTCGGTCTCCGGCTTCGGCAGCAGACGATCCGAGGTCTCGTCCGATAGCATCTCCTCGGCATGGAGCCTCCAATCAGATGGCGGGGTTCCCTTACCCGTATCAGCTTCTTCGCACCTACGGCGCAATCGAAACCGTTCTTCTTCCTCGCGACCCCTTCACCGGCGTTCCTCCTCTCGTCGGTCGCTGAATTCTCAAACCGAGTCCACCCAGACATATACCTATCAATGCACTTTCTGTCCGCAATCGTTCAAGAAGAAAAACGACTGGTCTCGCCACGAATCAAGCGTTCATCTCACGTTGGAGTTTTGGGTTTGTACACCTAACTTATCAGATCTGTTCCCTCCTCCCCCACTAGAACAAGACCCAGACCAACCGCAGTCACAACCCTCTCCAACTCCTCGCCATCCACATCCCCAAACCAAACCCCCATACGAAACCACTCCGACCCAACAACCAAAAGAATGCCGCTTCTGCAACCACCCCTTAAACCCCTCCCACGACCAAATCCAAACCCACGACCAAGACCACGACTTCCCCACCTGCGCCGCAAAACCCCCTTCCGAGCGCTCCTTCCCCCGAAAAGACCATCTCGTCCAACACCTCCGCAAATACCACGCGTGCACGAAACCCCCCGTGCCGGATCTTTCAGCGTGGCGGATTTCACGACGCGGTGCTACCCGCAGTATCGACGCCCGGGCTGTTAGTAGTGGGAACCAAGTTAACCAGACCCAGACGGGCGAGGACCAGAGTCAAGGCCACGTGCGCAGCCGATGCGGATTCTGCGGCCTTGTGCTCGAGTCCTGGAATGAGAGGGTCGATCACCTAGCGGGGCATTTTCGGGAGGGATGGAGGATGGCCGAGTGGATTGGGGATTGGGGATTTGAGGAGGATGTGATGAGGGGGTTGAGGAGGGCGGTATTGCCTGGTTTGAGGGGGTGATTCTACTTGATATGGTGGGGACTGTCTCTATATCTAATGTAATGTAACATGATATGATATGATATGGTATAATGGTGTTGTGTGTGGGGATGATGAAGTTATGAATTTACCTGGGTATGAGATACCTAACTTATGGGGTTGGAGGAGGGATTACGGATACTTGTGGGATGTATGGGTACATTTTTGCTTAATTCTTTGCACTTACTTCTTTAAATATTAGGGATGTATGTGCTTTCACGAAAATGGTTTGATGTCTTTGATCAGTTTAACACGAAAACTATCTAAACGATACAAGTATGTGCATGAAAAAGGTATATACATGCCAAATTAAAACTAAAACTATCTATATACGGGTCATGCACTCATGAACATATCACTCTAGGGTAAAACAAACAAACAATCAATCAATCAATCAGGCAGTCATTCATCAATATGCCTTTCAAAAAAAATCAAACAAAGCCCGAACCCAATCCTACCAAACCAGGTATCCCATTTCCCAAAACCTTGTACTAACCACTACGCCCAAACCATCTTCTTAATATCATAAACCAAATGTTCCAAGTATCCCGTACGCTTCTTCGCATCCTCCATAGAGACAATATCCTCGGACTCGACGAGGGACGCGCGATCCTGCTTCTCGCCCTGGCTCCCATCAGCCCAGATGGCCCGCTCGATCTCCTCGCAGATGGTCTGCACAAAGGCCATTTCGCTAACAGGCACGCCGGGGTTGCCGTTGTGGGTCTGCATGACGGAGTTGGACAGCGGGAGGGTTTTGAAGGCGATAAAGCGGGTCTTCGAGTGCGAGGAACCCTTGAACCACGAGAGCACGTCCCACTCGTTGTTGGTGTCCTTTGGCGCGTCGAGGGTTTTGGAGTCCACGCTGCTCTGGAGAGAGCGCGTGTTGACGCGATAGGCGTGCGTGTCGCCCTCGCGGTACTCGACGACGAGGCCGACGTTGCGGCGCTCGTCGGTCTGCGCGTCCGTTAGGATCGAGGTGATGTATGTGCCGTGGTTGATTCGCGTGATGGAGCGTAAGTCGATGCGTTCAAAGGAGACCACCTTGTCGGTGCTCCAGTCGAAGCGGCAGCTGTAGATGGCGGCGTCGGTGAGGAGAAGCACGGCCTCTTCGAGAGGCAGGGTGCGGAGCGTGTTGGGCTCTCGTGGCGTCAGCATGGCCCAGCCGCCGAGGAACTCCTCCGAGGCGTCGCTAATCACGATGCGGCAGCTGGTGTCGATGGCGTTTTGCCGCAGCTTCTGCACCGAGATACCCGGGTCGGCGGTTTGCATCTCTGTGGCGAATTCCTGGAACACTTGCGTCGAAACATATCCGAGGAGATAGTCAATGCAGGCTTGGGAGAAGTAGTCGTTGACAATGTTGTTGTAGTACCGGGACAGCGTCAGTCCCAGGTCATTCAGCGCCCCTCTGTAATCCCGCTTCCGAGTGCGCGTGTAGTCGCCCTTGAGCGCCGCGGTCGAGGAGTATTGTTTGGAGATGGCATCGCCGTTGTCTGCCCACAGGGTATTGAACCATTGGGTGGAGGAGTCGCCGCCCAGGTCAATGTCGATGCCTTCATGCTTTAGCTCTCGTTCAAGAGCCCACTGGCCAAACGCACATTGCGCAACGCCGGTCCTGTCCAGACAATCCATACAATTGGTGCGCACGATGCCCTTTTGGGTCTGAACCGTCGTTTGGTTTTGAACAATCGTGTCCCCGTAGTCGCTCAGGGTATCCTGTAAGCGATCCACAAGTCGGCTCACATTTTCGAATTTCATTCCTCGACACTCGGTGTGGAAGTCGAACCATTCTACACCGTGAGGTTGACCATCAATTCCGCCAGACTCATTCAGGCCCTTTGCATACTTCTCGTACTGTTCCCCGAGCTTGTGCTCCCCGCCCTGTTTGTCAATCAAGGAAACGGCCTGGATCTTGCCGTACCGATGACTCAAATTCCGGAAATGTCGTTCAAAGGCAAACTGGTTGGTTTCCGCGGAGTGGTGTAGAACGGGAGTCGGTTTGAAGGTATACGGAGACTGCGAAAAGTACAGCGGAATCGATCCGCGCACTTGGAGATAGGAGTATATCGAGCGAGAGGGGTCCCAATCTGGATACGAAAGAATCTGTTCCGTCTCCACGTAGTTGGCCGTGTTTCCGTCGTCGTCCACTCCGCGACGCAGATATCGAAGACCAGGGCGCTGTACCGACCGCCGGGATATCAAGGTAAGAAGGAAGTCTCGTTTCTGAGCGTCTGTGTCAACCAACTTGGCCTCTAGCTTCTCGCCGAGTATAACCCCTCCTGTGCGCTCTTCGTCTGGCTTTACCCCATGTTCTGGTCCATGCTCAGGGGTAGCCGCAACAGTGAACTCTCTCTGACCGACAAACCCTTGAATAAGGGGTAGCACGAAGCTGTGAGCGTCGACCGCTATGAATGGAGTCATGAGATGCTTGTTCCAGAAATACTGCGCACCAGGCGTGTCAGTAGGGTGCAACGAATCGATTTGCTATCATGCTTACCAGTTCATCCACTGCCTTGTGCAGAGGTAGGTGATCAGTGCGTGATGCTTCTTGGGCACCAACATGCCTAGTTAAGTCATGATCATAGGCGAAGAAGAAATTATGCGATCCAAACAGAAGTTTCGTGTACCGCAAAAGCTTCGGTAACAATCCGACCGTCGGGTCAGGAACCGACGGCGATGTGCCAGGAGCTTCGGGCGCCGCATAATCAATGACATTCGTCTCCGGAGTGGGAGTGGGCGTTTGTTCCTCATTGCCAGATGAGACCTCCGGAGAGTCTCGCTTTGCACCGGCGCCCTTCATGTCACCCAACAGAATCTCCGACGTATCCTGGCCGACGGTGCCTAGCCCCGGCAATCCCAAGGTCTTCCTTGACAACCAATTGGCCGCGTACCGCCCAAACCGAACTTTCTTTCCGAGCACGTCTTCGGCAATGCTGTTCACGCTCTGACCTCTGGCGTGGAACGATTCTCGGATCGGAGAGACCGGCACACTGCTGATATCGGTAGCACCTCCGTCAGTCTCCGCGTCCGACAGATCATCTGAAGAGATATCGTCCTGGCCGGTCTCTTCCTTCAGGTGTTCTTTAGCCTGCGCAATCGCCTGGCGGGCATCGATCTGTGATGATGTGGGAATAACCGCCACATCGGTGATCGCGTAGATCGGTTTACCATGTATCTGGGCGACCTGTTGGCGCTGCGTTATGGAGATGAGAAACGAATGGGACGCGACGGATAGGAGCCCTGTGGTTCAAATAATCACTTAGCAACAGATAGCAACATAGAAGATGACAAGAAGAGAGACTAGATGGAAAACAACGGAGATGTGGACAGGATAAACCGGAGAGCAGAACATACCGACCAAGCCATAAGCTTCCAAGGCCGCATCTCGGTCACTTTCATCTGACACGGACGCTGGAAACGACGTTTTGCCGGACTTGTAATCAATTTTGATAGACGAGGACTCGCCATTACCGTTATATCTCCATCCGTTTCCCGGAGACTGAATAACCAGCCCATCGACGGCGGCGAAGATGATCAACTTCCGCAGCAAACCGGGCATCTCGCCGGCCTCGGGTTCGCGAAGGTGGCGGGGCAAAGAGGGGACAGCTTCGCGACCGAGTCCACGAGAACGGAGAAGGTGTAATAGAAAGGCAGAGGACTCCGACACGGTGAGATAATGCTAGCCCATACAAAAGAGCGCCCAGGAGGTGTCGAGAGGGACCGACCGCATCGCTCCAGGGGAAAGGTGGAAGATGGTCGGAGCAGCTGATCTCGGAAGGGTTGAGGACTGACCTCATTCGGCTCGATCATCCCCACTTCTCAGGCGATCGCGATCGTTGCTCTCGTCCCCCTACAATCTACGCTTGCGATGAAAGAATATGGCACACGCCTCTCTATCATAAACCTGACTCTCGTGCATATATACAGTTTTGCTTTGGTCGTAGGCCTTTGGCGCCTCCATCTAGTTCCCCGATTCGGGGTACAAAAAAGGCACAACGCCAAACAACAGACCAAACAAATCAATCCAATTCAACATCCAATTCGTTCATGGGCATCCATTGATCCTCGTCCTGGTATTTTCTTTGCGCTTGATCAGAATAATAGTACAGAGCATCCAAAAAATTGAGAAATGAGAAAGAAAAAAAAAAGAAAAGAGAAGAGCAACCATGCCGACATGGGGGAAATAAAAAGCAATCGTGGATCGGAGTGTTTAAGCAAATGCAGCAAACAAGAGAAAAAAAGAGAAAATTTAAAAAAAAGCAGCGGAATCGCAGTCAGCTTTCGTGAAGTATAAGTCAGAGGCGGGAGAAAGGAGATGGAGAAAAGGAAGCTTAGTAGACAAATGGGAGTAGTAGAAAAGTGTAAAAGAACATGAAATCAGCACCGGCGACGGCGGAACTGTATAAATCTACCGCTCATCATGTTTATTTGGTGCCTGGGAAGAGCGCTCTAAATCGGCACTTCGTTTATAAGTAGGACCGGGCTCCCCGTCGCTCTCTTCGGTCAACTCGGACAGCCCAAAAGCCTGGTTTTCGACGTCGTAGGACCGGATGAGCCCTTCACGGTCGCCATGGCCATTGAGATAGGCAATGCTCGAGGAGCTCCGGCGGTGAGGCTCGTTACTTCGGCGGGATTGCATGGAGCGCCGGGTTTGGAAACTCGCAATGCCGTCCGTGGGAACTCCTTCGTCGTCCAGCTTGCCGTTCAGCAGATGTCGTCCGTCGGGGTCATGTCGGGAGAGGTTCAAGAGGTAGACGCCGGAGAAAATGATGAGGAATCCGCACAGAAGGGAGATGGTGTTCACGGCGTCGGTGGTGTTAAAGCCCTTGAACAGAATAAAAGAGGCGCACAGAGTGGCGGTGGTGAAGGTAACATAGTAGAGGGGATTGACACTATAACACCCCGGTCAGCTCCCTCCATGATTTTCCCTCGCGATCTCCCCAGATAACTCACATCGAAGTGGAAAACTGATTCAACGCCTTGTTGAAATAGTTCATCTGCGTCAGAATGCAGAAGGCGGTGACGATCATAAAAACGTAGGTCGACGCATGCGTGAACTGGTTGTTGCCACCCAACGTGAGCTTCACGGCGATACCGAAGGCTTTGACCGACATGACGGACACCGAGCCGACGGTGGAGCAAATCGAGATGTAGATGAGGGGGTTTCTTTTGCCGTAGACGGGCGCGACTCGGTATATCATGACGGTAGAGAAGATGGCCACTGCGAGACAATAGATCAAGAATCCTTGAAAAGGCGAGAGTCAGCGCTACGCAATGATAGAACCAGCCACGCTAGCGTGAAGACCTACCGGGCTGAAGCGCATATCCCAGAATCTCATCAATGGTTGTGACCTGCTTGTCCGGGGGCGCGTGAAGAACGATAACAACGGAGCCGAGCAAGCACATGGCGCAGCCAAGCTTACCCAACGTGCCGAGAATTTCCTGCAGGAAATAGGAACCGAGAACCGACCTTTGGGAGCATCGTCAGTAAGTCGCAACCAGGGTAGTATTGTCGCAGCGGGGAACCTACCCGATAAGCACGCTCAGCGCGCCTAGCGGAGTCACCAGGATGGCGGGCGCAAAGGCGTATGCGGCGAAGTTGGCAACTTCTCCTAATCCCACTGTTTTCGCGCGTCAGTGTCCGACTTCCGACCCGGTGTAACGAGGGATGGATCCGGTCATACACATAATCACACCACTCCACCAGATGGGGCTTTTCAGATAGGAGAAGCCTTCTCCTTCAAAGCCATGTCTTTCGGACGCTTGCATCAAGCCCTGTATTGAGACACCTATTAGTCATTGTGTCCGAGTGACGAGGAACCGGTGTCGTGGAGGGAAGGGGGTCGGCGACAGGGAGAAGGGTCGACGGCAACGGACCTTCTTTGTGATAACGAAACTTGTGCCTGGGATGAGGTTAGCCAACGCCAGCGACCGCCAGCCAGTAGACCGAGTACGTACCAATGGCCATGGTGGACATGATGGCCAACAGCAAACCAACATATCTGCATATCACGGATCACGCGGTTAGTGTCTTGACGTCGAGACATCTTGTGAACCAGGAGATAAGCAGTCCGTACTTATCCGACAACATCGTGAATCGACTCTAGGAGCTGGCTGCTCCCTCTACCGTAAGACCTCCAATGCTAACGAGTGACGCGAATGGAGGGAGAGGATCAAACGAGCGAAAGTCTCGAAGGGCCAAGAACCGATTTGAAGGAAAGGAGAAGAAAGAAAAATAAGTCAAGGAAAAAGGAAACGTAAGGGGAGAAGAAAAAGTTCAAGGCGGTCCGGATAAAGGCGCAAATAATAGGGAATGACCGGGGAAGGCTGAAGAGGACGGAAGGGTTGGCTGGACAGGCTTGGTCGCAGGCTAGCCAAGCATCGGGAGCGCACCAAACAATGGGGGGTGGAGAGGGTGAATCCAGGGACGAAGCGGCCAGAAGTGCTGCAGGCAGAGAAGGGGGGCGGGCGTAGAGGGTGACGGGGGGGAGAAAAGAAAAAAAAGGGCAGAAAAGGTGAGAAAGTGGAAGTGGAAGTGGTTGAGGGGGACGAAGATGGAGATGGGGACTTGAGAGGCCAGAAGGCTGGCGGTGCTCGTGCGGTGGGGAGTTTTTTTGCCCTTCCCTCTGACGGAACCGGGGGGCTGCCCTTGGGTCTTCCGGTCTTCTGGACGCGTAAGTTGCCCTCCCGTGCTGCTCGCCAAATTTGCGGACGCCGAATTATTCGGTTTTATCTTTGAACTTTATTCAACTTATTTTAATAAAATTAAAGACCAGAAAAAATTAAGAAAATTATGCAGGCCGGAATCAAGAGCCAAGAGTCAAGAGTCAAGAGTGTCAATCGAGACCGGGCCAGCTAAGAATAGCACATGACGGAATGGAGAATTGCAATGGATCTGGACGAGGGTGGATCTCCCTCATCTTCTACCCAGCTCGACTCCGTCAATAATATTATTAAGTTTCCGTCTGCCGATGGCGGCTCTCCAGATCAATTATTCTCTTCGTGCAAGATGTGCAATATATGCAATATTTCCTATCGATGTACAAGATGTACAGTATGTAAGAGACGCTAGCTCTACGAACTCCGCCCCCAACGGATGCCTGACAACAAAGGCAACGGTGGCCAATTCCCGCCGGGTCTGTTTGTCTGGTATGCTCGGTTTGTTCGGTTTGCTCATGTCTGATCGGCGTTTCACTGGCAAAGAATGGTCGCCCTCTCATTTCTCGGACATGCAAACGAGCCCCTTATTATCTTACTTCAGCTGCTGTTCCAGTATCTGATGATGTGATCACTGATCACCAGATCGGTCCCCCGAGTTGCTGGCCTTGGTCTTATCAATCAATCGGTCAGTCCCTCCGCCTATCTGAGCAGGGAGCACAGAGCAAACCACATGGTTCGAACGGTATTATGGGGCCGCCATCGTGGTGTGCCGTGTGCCTACTCACTACTTCTTGTTTATAAAACCTAACCCATTTACTTACAGACAACTTAATCATGGTTATTGTTGATCATAGACCGCAGTCCCTGGGACCTAAGAAGTAACCGGAAAGTGCACCCAAGTGTCTCGCCGAAAAAGCACCAGTAACGAACGAAATCAATTGTCAGACTGGTATTGTACCGGGGGGGCAGAATCCACAAGGCAGCAACTAAGACAATCCATCATGCCCCCGCTAAATGCTATCTGCGATCATAGCGCTTTTGAAAATATCTGAAATATCGACCACACTTCTCAAGACTCAAACAAGCGAATCCTCGGAACGCCGAGGAATTGACCACAAATGGTATCACTCAAAGAAAAACGCCAGAGAAATACACGACGGGAAGGAACAGAGATGAAAACGGTTCTTGTCTCGGCCCTCCAAGGACGTAGCATACAAACCTAGACTTACAGACCACGCCTGCTGCCTCGGTCCGATGAAATATTCGTCGGACACGTCGAGGTTCAACCACACGCAGCAGGGGGTGGGAAGGGGGTGTTAATTGATACGTACCTGGTCCTAGCTATACTGGCCCTATGAGCGACCGGCCACGGTAACTTTCGAGGTGATAGGTGGATGAAGACCATTATAGACGCACGTGGAAACGTGACCGGTCTAAAGGAGTCGGCAGTGGCGTGTAAATGCTGGGTATGTTAGAGATACGGAGGGCTGGAATTTGAAAGGAATGAACAAAAGGGATATCGGAGGGAAAAGCACGAAATGGGGTAACGTGAACGCAGGTTATGAGGACCGCGACCGTTTGGCGTCCGGCGTCGGACTTTCGGCGAGCTCAATCTCATCTTCTGGTTCACGTTGACGCTTGGTAGAAGCCAGCCCTATCGAGTCCGGTGCGGGTTCCTCATCGGCGAAGTTGAACTCATCCGCAAGACCCAGGTCCAGGTATTCATCGTCATCGTCGTCGCCGAAGGTCAATTCGAGCGGTTCGTCTTTGGCAGGGTCTATGGATGGAACCTGCTCCGGCCCTTCCTGAATCTCTTCCGATGGACCGGTGTTTTCAATACCTTCATCCGAAGCAGATTCTTTGACGGGGCTTTTGGATGGCTCTTCTGCGGCACCAAGCCCATTGGAAGCACCTGCCGATGGTTGGGTTTGGCCTTCGGACTGTTCCGAGGTAATAGTCTCCAAGCTGGACTCCGCACGATCTATCAGGCCACCATCATCACCCTGGAGTGTGGCTTCGGTGTCGTTCCCGGGGTCAATTGTAGTAACGGCAACTATTTCGTCTTCGGAATGTAGAGACTCTTGGTTTTCTTCCGGCAGATCATCGTGGTACTCTTCTACACCTGGTTCCGCGGCCTCGTCATCATCGCCATTGGCATCATTAATGGCATCGTGTCTAGCTTCATCAGAAGCAACACTTTGAGCGGGCTCCTGGTCGATTTCATCCTTGGGATGGTCTTCACGGCTGTCGTCACCTTCACGTCCATCATGGTCAAATTGTGTATCACGAGCCGTCTGGTCATCACGTGCGATATTAGTAGACTGGTCAGCATATTGCTGCTCATTTACCGAGTCAACTCCGAGCAGGGGAGCTATAGTGCCCGTTGATTCCGTCTTCTGCTCCTCTGAATCGTAAGCCTCTTCATCGAGGGAACCGTCATCGCGAAGTTCGACATGATCGGTCTCGCCAGTAGTAGCTTCTTGATCACCGTTTTCCTCTGCGCCATTTGGCTCCACTTTGTTGTCCGCGATGCCAGTGTCAAGGCCATTGTTATCCGAAGCAGAAACAGCTTCACCCTCCTCTTTCTGCTCGTCGGTATCGACCTGCGGTGCGTCTGGGACGGGAGCACTGGAGTTTTCGTCGAGGACGCCATGTGTATCAGGCTGATGATCATTTTCGGGGAGCGCGGTCTCCTGCAGCGATTCTTCCTGGGCTTGTTCCTGGTCTTGCTCATCCCAGTTTTCTGGAGAGAACTCTTCTGCTTCCTGGTACCCATCCCACGGAAGGACCTCGGACAGCCCCTTTCCTTCTTCCGCGGCTACAAGAAGATCAGAGACCTCTGCATCAATGGTCAATTTAGTGCTAAGTGTCAAGTAGAGCGGCTCGGGCTCATCCGCGCCGTCGTTATGACACAAGCGCAAGTACAAGTCAACAAGTTGATAAAGAGTCACTTTAGATATGTGTGAGGAATCCTAAACAGCGAAGTTAGTATTTTCGAAATCAAGAGCAGTGGGGAAAGAAATTACCTCGGTTAGTTGGAGATTGAGTGTCTCGATGTCCATAACCAAAACTTCACTATCTGCAATGTGCTCATGCAGTACTTCACGGCACGATTCCAAAAGCTTCCCGAAAGGCTCATAGGCAAGATTCTCGTCTTCAAGGAAGAATGTTTCCGAGGAGTCACCTTCACGAGGAGGAAACAAGGAGATCTCGTTATCCTGATAGTAGACTTTGACGGGATACAATGCAGAGGCATGCTCATGCGCATCATGTCCGACTTCTTCAAGGCTGTCAGCCGTTTCTTTGCTTTCGACCTTCTCTTCGGCGTCTATCTGTTCGTCGACAAATGGCTGAGTTTCTTCATGGGCGCGTTCTTCACCTTGCGCCTGTTTAGGAGTAGTGTCGCCGTCGTCACGCGTTGCAGGATCTATTTCCTGGGGTTCTACTTGTTCTGTTTCGTTAGTATCCTGCTGGCTCTTTTCTGTATTCAGAGTCGTCTCCGGTTGATCCGCTTCACGTTCCTGTTCCACATTCTCTTCGCCGTAGTTCTCATGCTGGGGTTGAAGGGAGTCCTGTTGATCGTGATCCGGTGCAACATTATCATCGACCGGGTTTTCGACCTGAGTTTCCAGGGTGTCGTTGTTGTTTTCATCTGTGGCTGACTTTGTTCCTTCCACGTGCTCCGGCTCTTCTTGTACAGTTGGCATTTCCTGCACTTCCTGTGTCTGTTGTACCTCCTGTCCTTCCTGGTCGTTGACATGCATAGTTGGAACGTCGTGGCTCGGTTCTTCCTGAAAATCGGACACATGAGCATCGATGTCCTCATCGTAGTCGTCTTCGGCCATTTCTGCCTCGTATATCTTCTCGCTGTACTGCATCTCCACGCTGTTACTCGTTTCGGGGTAGTGGTCGTCCGCGTCGACCATGGTGGGCTCGGCAACATCATCGATCATATCCGCATCGTATTCCGTTTCATGGGTATTTTGTAGGTAGTCGTCGTCACCCATCATATCCTTGTCGGCGTTTGAGACCTGATCTTCCATGACATCCAGGTCGATATCAAAATCATCGGCGTGTCCCTGGTAAGGGGACGCCATCTCCATGGTATCGTCAAGAACGGGAACTTCCATGGTGGAAAACGCCATCGAAGGGGCTGCTGTCATGGCATGGACGTGTTGGGCGAACTCTTTGGGCCGCGTCGAAGTTTCCGCCAGGCGTTTTTGGCCGGGTCAGTGGCGACTGGTCCGCGACGGGGGGGAAATAGGTTGTTTTAAAAGGCGAAGGATATTCTATCGAGACATTCCGAGTGAATACGGAAGACTTCGACCTTTAGTCCGATAAAGCTCTCAGTGGCACAGAGAGGAAGGGGATGGACAAAGAAGCGTAGACGGGGGCAGGTCGCAAGCAGCGAAGCTTCTTGTGCTGCGGTAAGCGAGGGGGTAGCGCGGCGCACGGGCCAACGGGGACCCGAAGTGAACAGCAAGCGACTCCGGAGTGGAATATCTGGCATTCGACGCCAGGCCGACGCCTTTCGACCCATCACCTCCCCCGGAATAGCTCTGCTAGTTGCTGTCCGTCTCTACTAAACCACATTGACCACTCACTGAACCAGCATGGTACGCTCAGTGTTTCTCACCATCATTTAGTCGTCCCCCCCTGCTTACCATCTCACACAAATAAACAGGTCGTCCTCGCAGCGTCGATATGCACCCGCGGGGGCAAGGCGGTTCTTTCGCGTCAATTCCGGGAAATTGCTCGCTCTAGAATCGAGGCTTTACTCGCATCCTTTCCCAAGCTGGCGGATTCCGGCACGCAGCACACCACCGTCGAACAAGACAATGTCCGTTTCGTCTACCAGCCCCTCGACGAGCTCTACATCGTTCTCATCACCAACCGCCAATCGAACATCCTGCAAGACATTGACAGTCTCCACCTCTTTGCACAAGTGACCACGAGCATCTGTAAGAGCTTGGATGAGAGGGAGATTTTGCGCAATGCTTTCGAGCTGCTCAGTGCTTTCGATGAGCTGGTCACGCTGGGCTACCGGGAGAACCTGTCGCTTTCGCAGATCAAGACGTTCTTGGAGATGGAGAGTCACGAAGAGCGAATTCAGGAGATTATTGAAAGAGTACGTACCTCTGCTTGGATAGCAGCTGCGATTGAATACTTATTCTGGTCTAGAACAAAGAACTCGAAGCCAGCGAGGAGCGCAAGAGAAAGGCCAAACAACTCGAAATGCAACGGAAAGAGGCCGCTCGCACTGGACGGGCTGCGGCTCCCAGGGCTCCGTCCTACCCGGTTTACACTCCCCCTGCTCGACCCGCTGTCCCCGACACCTACGATAGCTATGAAGCGGAGAAACAGAAGTCCTTTGCGAAGTACGGTTCTTCCCCTTTTCCTCACTCTTGGCCTCGGACGAGTATTAATTTCGGTATCTATCTAGGCCATTGCCAACCCGTGGAAAGGGTATGCAACTCGGTAAGAAATCGAAGGCTACGGATATCTACGAAAAAGTGCGCGGGGATTTGGGTCCGGAGGTGGAAGAATCAACTCCCTTGGTGACTCCCCAGGCCTCCACCCCCGTTGCCGATAAAGTCTCCTCCGCTCGTGCCTCCCTATCCGCCGATCGCGAGCCCATTCATATTACCATCGCCGAAACCATTTCTGCTGTTCTGACTCGCGAGGGTGCCTTAAAATCATTCGAAGTCAAGGGCGACCTACAGCTCCGCATCACAGACCCCTCGTTTACCAAGCTCAAGCTCGACCTTCTTGCCAATTCCACGCACGGCGCCCAGTTCCGGACACATCCCAACGTTGACAAGGCTATCTTCAACAACTCTTCAGTAATCCAGTTGAAGGACACCGCCAAGCGATTCCCGGCAAATAACTCGATTGGTGTCCTGCGCTGGCGCGTTGCCAGCTCAGGTTCAGACAATGCCGATATTCTTCCCATCACGTTCACCGTCTGGGTCAACAAGGGCTCCGACTCCACGACCGTTACCGTTGAATATGAGCTGACTGGCTCTGACTCCCTGCGCGACGTTGTCGTTACGATTCCATTTGGTGCTGCCGAGCCTGCAGTATCGAGCTTCGACGCCGTCTACGAAGTCTCGGGAGATAGCTTGGATTGGAACATCGGAACGGTGGACGAGAGCAACGCGTCCGGCAGCTTTGAGTTTGAATCGGTAGGCGACGGTGACGAGAACGAATTCTTCCCAATGAACGTGCGATTCTCCAAGGCCACTCCATTTGTGGAGGTTGATGTCTCGGACGTCACGCTGTTGGAGGAAGGAGAAAGCACTGGATTTTCCAAGGACGTGAAAACCGTTGCGGAGGGATATCTTATTGAGTAATGTTGTCTTTGGTGTATAGAGTACTAATGACGTTCGGACCGCCTTTGGAGGTACTGCAAATTGATTTCTTTTTTTTTCTTTTCCCTCTGTTGAACCAGGGTCCTGGCCTACTTCAAATGTTAGTTTTATCGTTGTCCGGCCTTTCTGGTTTTAATCTGTTAGTTTATAAGCCAAATAGGAGTCACGTCTAGGAATTAGAGGGTTTCTACTGGGTTTGAACTCTCTGACTGAAGTCACCCGCCGCCTCTCACTTTTCATTCTGCTGTCACCAACACCCTCAAACCCTCTCCTGTACCAGTCCCGGGACAACCGTGGGATTGGTCGCTCGATGATACATCAGTGTATCTTTCGCCGGGATTCCTTTCCTCGACCCGCCAACCAAGGATCATCGAGCCCTCAGTCGGATGAATCGTTTCCTAATACCACCCTACCATACCATGAATGTGTTCATGCGCAAAAGCGATGCCGTCAGTCAGGGGACGAACCAGCACGGACGAACTTGGCTCGCCTATGACTAGTGGAAAGAGGGGTTCCTCTCAGGGTAAAGCCATGCCGATATCCGTATGCTGAATACAGAGGAGATCCCATCTAGACCACCGACTGCCAAACTTACTCGACCCTCCTTTCGTCCCTGAGTGGGGTTGGTCCTTCAGGGTAGCAAAGCTTGGTTGGCAAGAGGCTTTTGAGGTAAGGTATACATGAGAAAATTTCTTAACAAAAAGCTCTATGACAATAACGTTGCTCTCCTTTGCCTATTTCATAGAATGGCTCCTCCCCTTGTACTTGGTTCCTTGCACCACACCCGCGCATCTTCCTTCAGGTGCACTGTGAAATCTCTGTCCTTTCTCATTCGCTCAGTGAACTCCATATCCAAGGGCTCAAGGCCAGTATAGTATCGCCGTCGTTCATCATACATGGTTGAGACGCAACATGTGACTTGCGATTTCTTCTATGATCAACACGCTATCTGAACAAACCTCAATTCCAGTCCTGGCAATAAGAAATTCAGCAACGTGTTTCAGATAAGATAGCTTTGGCTCCTCTTGCATGGACCTTCCACATCTTCTTACGGTCTCGCCTCTGTCTGCAATGGCCAGCCTGCCATTCCAGTCTGGGAAAGAACAATCGAACAGTTTCCGGCTACCAACTGTGAATCCAAAATATTTTAACAATGTGAACCATGTGGTAATAACTATTTGTTGCTCCTTGAATCCTATCCCTTTACAGAACGTATCGCTCAATATCCATAAAGCCTAGTTCGTTTGCTCAAATGTGGCCTCATCATTACCCTGTTCCTCCTTTTGGCCCCGGAGGAAAGTTTCCAATCCCAAGACTGTCCGAAGGGGCTGCAGGATCCTTCCTTGGGCCGTCCGGACGAGTGACAAGACGGCACGTAAGTCGAGCGTGTGAATACTGCAGGCAAAGGAAAACAAAGTGCTCGGGCGATGCGAGTGGTTGCGTCAACTGCCAAGATGCCGGGATCATATGTTGCTATACGGATAGCAAAAAGGAGAAGTCTAAAAGGTGAGAACAGGAAGGATCTGCCCTCAGCGAAGTGTACCCACAATGATCATTGTTTCCCACAGGCAGATGAACAGCCTGGAGGCGAAAATCAGCACATACGAGAAAGCACTCAAGATTGTGGGCGACTGGAATGGACTTTCTAGTGAGGAACTTGTGAACCTCGCGCTGTCAGAGGTGTGAACAGGAATTAGTCTCACGGGCATGCATCATTACTAACTATTCCAAACAGGAGACCTCACCTAGTAAGGGTGAGTCAACCAACCTCACACGAGCCTCGGGGACTGGCGTTGTGTCTTCCCAACAGCTCGTCACAGGGCCTTCCCGAGTCCTAGACTATTCCGCCGTGGACTACAATTTCGATGACACCAGCCGTTCAACGGGATACATCGGTAGGAGCTCAGAGATCTACTGGATGCACGCGCTAAACAAAATGATCAATGCTTCCAAGAAGAAAAAGGGTGACTCGAATACCTCAACACCTGGCCCACATGGCGATGGGAGAGCCATCGCGTCGTTTAACTATAACCTCGACCATCTAGAGATCACACCGACCGAAAGAATTGAGCAAATTCCAGTTCCGCCAAAAGCAGCTTGCTGGCATCTTTTTGATTTATACCGCTCTTCAGTACATCCGTTGTTTCCAATCGTTGGGCTTGTCCCGTTTACACGGCAGTTGGACTCGTTTTTGGAAAAGAACATGCATCCTGGAAGCAGATGGCTCGCCATCCTGCATTTGATAATTGCCATTGCTTCCAGATACACCTATGTGACCGATCGCCAATGGAGGTTCGATAAGATTAATCACTTCAGTCACTTTCTGAAAGTTAAAGCGCTCAATATAGACAATCAAGTTTTGAGCCATCCTGACATGCAACAATTGCAAGTTGAAGGGCTAGCCTCATTCTATCTGCTAGCGACGGGCTACGTGAATCGGTGTGTTTACATTTCCTTTGGAAAAAGCGCTCATGTCTTGTGGCTTCATAACTCATGTCCTATCGGAGTCTCAGGGCCTGGTTCCTCTGCGGCAGTGCACTTCGCCGAGCGTTTGCCCTTGGGCTACATCTACGCAATGTGAGAGGTTGCACCCTTGACTCTCGGGAAATCAGATATCGGGTTTGGTGGTCTCTATATACCCTCGAACATCGCCTATGCGTGATGACCGGCCGCCTTTCAACTGTTCCAGATAACGTACTGACAACACCGCTTCTTCTCCCTTTTGACGAAGGTGACTTCTCCAAGGAGGAAGTCCAACGTCTACTTGCTCGTTCCGCACCAAGCCCGAATCAGCTTGCACCAGTGGCAGGGGTCTCCAAAAGTTCCACTTCTGGCGCAATTAAACAAGATGCTGCCTCAGATGGCAGCCACGCTTCTCCATCCTGTTCTCTGTATTTCACCCAGCTGGTAAAGCTAACTTTCATCGCTAAGAAGATGTCCAACAAGCTCTACAATCCAGAGTCAGTGCCGTCACTATGGTCAGGTATCAAGTATGCAATGCATGACCTAATACGGGAGCTTGAAGCCTGGCTCATGAATCTACCCAAGCCTTACGACTTCTCGTCACCAACAAATACTTCCTCTCTGGGGACCGAAAGGATGACACTTGCTCTTTTGTTCTATAGTACCAAACTTGCGATCACACGGCCTTGTCTTGGCCCTTCCGATCCCGAACAAGAAGGACAAAATGATCGTGACTTCTGCAAGAAAATGGCGGTCGATTGCGTGGAGTCGGCCTGCCATGTGATACGACTCCTTCCAGAACCTCCAGATACGGACGCACTATACAGTTTGTTTCCATGGTGGAGCATCATACACTTCTTAATGCAGGCAACGTCGGTGCTTTTCATTGAAGCTAGTTTGAACTATGAGCACATTCCTCAAAAGATGCCAATGGTTTCAAGGGCTATCAAGAAATCGCTGGAGTGGATGTCCGTCATGTCGAAAACAAGCGCTACCGCATCCAGAGCTCGAAAGGTTTGCGAACATTTCTTGGAACGACTGGACATCGTGCTCGAATCTGAAGATGCCAACCACTCCAAAGGGGAGTCGGACTCAGATTATTCTTCTCCGATTGAAGAAAGCGTTTGCAATCCACCGCGGAAAAAGGTGAAATTCCAGGACCCAGTCGCCGAGGAAGAACCCCCGTTAATGCTACACACCTATCAGCAAAGTTTCTCGGCGTCAGCGCATACAATTGGGGCATCCGGAACAACCGCTGCGCCAGAAAGTCACAAACCTGCAGTTTATGCCTATGCCGACGAGCTTCTTCCTTATGACCAAAACACAGGGGTTTACACCGATAGCTTTTTTCCGCCGGTCGACCCAACCCTGGAATCTAGTTTGAACTATCCCCCGGATCCCATGATCTAATCTCCATTTCAACAGAGAGGCCCGGTTTCTTCTTTGGATTTCAAGTAGCATGGTACCCGTTGGGTTCTTGTCGCTATGAAATATGATGGCCAGGCCCATTCAAATCATTTACTAGTATACATCTAATTAAACATGAGCCTGCGATGTTCATTGTTACGATCGTGTTCATCAATGGACCTTTTTATGGCCTAAGTATAGGCTTTAACGTTCGAAACGGAGACGATGGCAAAGTTACGTACGATAGCTAGACTTTGCCATGATACATCTAACTGTAGCGAACGATTGGTTCGTATTTCACTCGAACAATGCAATGTCTGTTGTCCAGATAGCTCATGAGTATAGCCATCCACATCCACATACGAACATATCCTAGTTACCCCTCACTGTGCGTATAGTTGCTTATCCAATATAAAAATCTACGAATCTTCGGCTCGGCACCTGAAAAGAGGGGGGTAAAGAAAAAAGAAAAAGAAATTGTCTCTTCAAGAAAAGCCAAATTATCCGGACGAACCACACTCGGTCCAACCTAACCTACACCTGAAAACCTTCGCACAGACACCCCGCCTAATTCCGTACAAGTAGGGAAAAAGGGTAGAAGCAACTGTGGGGTTCAGGAAGCTTGATAGGAAAATACTTTATAAGATGTTGCATGATCTTTCTTTTTCTTTGTTCCCGAAGGGGGAATTATTGCCCCGGCAGGGAGGGGAGGGGAGGGGGCACGGGCGTACCGAGAGCAAGTATCGATGACCCCTCTCAAGCCTCCCATCTCCGCTTCTTAGCGGTAAAAAACAGCCGAGCGGATTCTTCTCTCGAGTCAGCCAGAATAAGACCAGGTGACATGCGCGGGATGGCGCTGATTCGGGCGAAATGGATCTCGATGACCAGAGCGCGTCGCAGGGACCGGTTAGCCCAGGATCCTGACGCAAGTGGCCACTGGGTTACATCCCATCGGTTGAGCTCGATTCCCAAAAGACCTCTGCGGTCACCCACGAGCCCCTCGATGCAATCCAGGGGAGGGATGAAGCGGCGGCGGATTCCACAGCCAGTGTGGTTGGAGTCGATTTGGTAGTCTGGACACTGTTTGAGGGAGGAGATGATAGCCGAGATGTCGGTGGGCGGACCGCTGGTTGACGAGGGAGGGGGGTCCAGACCGTTGCTGTCGCCGTCACCGTCACCGTCACCATCGGGGTCCGTGCCAAAGTCTGGATCGATTAGGCTGGACCCTAGGAAGACGGTTTTGGTGCGTAATGCGAAAAATCGAGTCATCTGGCCCAGGTGGAACATGTCACAGGCGCTGGAGTTGCCGTAGCCGCAGCGACACTGGTAGTGGCGGGATTGGTTTCCGCCCAGGAAGGAGATGGCATTCGTTGGTTTGGGGTCGTCTGTCTCTTCCAATGCGCCGTATGCTCGCAGGAAATATGCTTGCAGGTCGGTGATGGTGTTTAGAATGCATTGTCGTCTATAATATAGTTCTTCTGTGGATGTTGTCAGTTCATCAAACCTACATAACAATCATATAAAGTACGAGAATGCGGATGAAGAACCACAAAGGAACTGCTAACCTTCTAACCCGTCAGATAAATACCACCAAGGAAACGTCTGTGGAGATGTCGGCTTTTCCACGCCGTTTGCCCAAGATCGTGACCCTAGAACGATCAAGGTGTGCGTCAAAATCTTAAAGACAGTGCTATCATCAAGAAACTGGGCTATATATAATGATTGTCGAATCCGGTCCTCGGCCAACTTCAACATCTGATCATCAAATTTTGGAAAGGCGACTTTCCTTCCATAAGCATAGCCAGATCTCTTCAGTGTCTCCTTGACGACGCGAGGAGAATTGAAAGAGTCCGCCAGTAGGATTACCCTAGATATCAAGGAAGTACGCTGCGTTTTGATCTCCGCGTCGAAGTTTCTTCTTGCCTCATCTTCAAATGCATCCAAAGACAGGATCCTGAGAAACATTTCAATGGCATCGACTCCAAGCTTCGGTGAGAAGTGATCACTGGGTAACCGGACTGTAGGTAGATCCTCCCAGACTGGTTCCTCGTCAAGTTCTGATGGTTGCTTTGATTCAGCATTCTCGGAACCCGTGGTCGTTTGTCGGTCGCGTGTGATTCTCTGTTTCATAAGCTGCCTGCCTTCCGAGAACTTGTTCGGGTCAAGCAAAGCACGAAAGTACGGGCTGTTTTTCGCAAGCACATCACTCGAAACTCGCCATCTATAGCTCGATTGCCTTGATGTCTCGGGTGATAAGTGGTCTGGAGGAATATATTCAATGATCACATCGCCACTGTTCAGAATAGCCGTCGCAGCTATCTGAGAGTGCTTGGAGGAGCTCGAGTGTACCGAGTCACCATTCTGTTGTATACGTTCGGGGTTGAATAAAGACCCGCTGGCTGCATCACGAATAGGTAGAGCATGAGAAAAGGGCCCCGGTTCTCCAGATGGAAGCGGATCCATGTTGTGATGACGGATATCTTATCCCATGGATACGCTGAGAATCAGATCGCTTTCGGCCACGCTTTCGACGCTAGCTTCAGGGAACATGGAGCCAGAATTATTCTTTCGCAAAACCGGAATAGATCCGATTATTCTGCTTCCCAATAGGGGGCAGAAATTGAATATCTTGGGTATCAAAAGTGGGTCATTCGGATGCTTTTTCACCGGCACAAACCGGCATTTTTGGGATGAAGAAATCCCAGACTGGACACAGATTCAGAGCTTATGGGAGCAGCGAGGAAACATGGGGCGAGAGAGCTGGTCTGATCGTGGCGAAAAGGCGGTTGTGGTGATGGCGGGGGATTTTCAAGATGGGCTTCAACCGTCCCGATTGGGCAAGATGGCATCATGTGACCGATATCCCAAAAGGGCGGTCGTCGCCTCTTCGTTTCTTCTATCTTCAACCTCGTCTCACACCTCTGTTTTCACACTGTTTATGGGCTACTGGTCACTCGGGCTTTGCACATTATTCAGTATTAGAACCGGCTTCGTATATTTCGTGTCTATGAAAATTCTCTAAATACTTGAACCCAAACATGCCCCCTATCCCTCCAACTAACCCTTTAATTGTAGGAAATGCGCCAAAGTCATAATCGAAAAAAAAAAAAATCATGAACCCAGAAACTTAACCCCCCCTCAATGTGTCGCTCGTTCCTAGTTATGCAAAGTTCCTGCAGAGGTAGAGACATTAGCGATCCACACTCACCCAAAAACCGAGAGAATATTGATCCTACCATTGTTGACGCTGCGAGCAACTGTCCCATTCCGCTTGTTGAGAGTCGAAATCTCGTTGGACGTCTCATTCAGCCAGCTCCGGGGGTGATGAGTGAAAGCGAGACCTTTCCGGTCCTGCAGACGCAAACGCCTCATTGTTAACAATCAAGTACAACCATCGCCTGTAATTGGCGAGGAAAGCGAATAGGCGTCAATGATCACTCACTGTGGCGGGAGCATTGGTGCTGTTGCTGCTGGCTTGAGCAGTAAGGGCGAGAGCGACGACGGCGAACAAAGTTTGGAGCTTCATGATGAAGGAGATTATAGAAAATATCTGCTAGGAGATTGGATTTGGAATCCTCTGGTGGAGTGTATGGACTTGGTAGAGTAATGGATTGGAAAGACTTAAGTCGAGTTGGGTCATCGCTACAAATTTATACTCGTCGAAATGGTCGTTGTGAAGACCATTGGAAGCGCTGAAAGGGCGAGTTACCCTGGCGATGCGACAACACTTGAGGATGTAGACGGCGTGTCTGCATGTCTTAGACGAAGATGCTGTCTTTGAGGATCAAAAGTTAGTCGAGTACAGCACCGACCCCACAAATCCCTCTTAGCTTCTGACTCCAACCCACAAAGACGTCACTTCGTAGGAACCTTGCGAGATGTCAAGACATACTGTGTATACTCTCGTGGACCCTAGGGGAAACAACCTTGCATGAACGCACGGGGCGCCTCTATCGCTTTCCGGGAGATAAGATGATCAGCAGGATGTCTCATCTTATCAGCCAATGCGCTAGCTTTTGGGGTATTTGCTACTGCAGCTAACACGTATCCCTGGCAGGCGCATGCAAGGGAAGCTTGGCTCTAGCAGCATGACAATGCAGTGAGCCGTTGTCTAGCAGGGTCTAGATAGTCGCTCAGGCCATGATTTGACTTCATGCTGCTGACCCAGAAAAGCTCCCTCGGGGAATACCAAGCTTCCTCCTTGCATGTATGTTGTGTACCTTGGATCCTTGACGGATCAACGATGTCCTAGCTTTTTTCCTTGCGTGGTTGCCCAATTACTACAAAATAATAAGGTGTTAGACCTCAATCTGAACCAACGCAAGTCGCTACCTATCCTTGCTGATGACAGGCTCATAAAGGTATTCACCCTTATGCTTATACGGTATGCGATTACAGTCAAAGGCTGCAGTCTTCTTTATGGGTCGAGCATTCGAGGCAAGATAGAGGAACACCTGGAGCAGTAGTTATTATACCTGATATTATAAAAACAGAAGTTACCGGCGGCCTGTTCAATGCAAAGAATAGTGACCGCACAGTCCAAAAAATAGCCGGCCCACATGAAGATTGCTCCGACAGATGCGACGATGTTAAGCTGACAAATTCTCCCTTCGTGCGGAAGATGAAGACGAACGGCGCAATTCAACAAACATTATTGAATAGATGAGGTGGCGATGAAAAGAACCGAACCATATACAGTAATGACAAATCTAGAATGAATAGAGGTATGATCGAAGAAGAGAAATATTCAATCAAAAGAACTCAAAGAACAGAGATTCGCTAGGAGGTGTTCATGGTAGCGCGATAATAGGCAGATGTAGAACCTTGCGTCCTCTCATCACCTTTGTGCTCGTGTATGCATTTGTCGTGTTTTTCCCTGATGACAGTGCTCGAGATTTCAACGCTTCTCTAACGATATAGAAGAGCCTTTTGGCCACCGAGCTCGCAGGCTCCAGTTGCGAGGGCGATGCCACGGGTGCATACGCAATCGTCTCCTCGTCCTCCTCATCGTACAGATCTTCGACATGTTTGCCATTCATAACGCCAAGTTGATGGGATATTGTTGCGAATAGGGTGAGACACGGCATATCATCTTCATCCGATAGTTGATCCTCATCATCTTCTAGTGAGATGTCGTCGAATATCTCCTCCTTTTGGGACGTGATTTGCCACGGTTCACTGCAAACGAAGCCTAGCACAAAATCTTGGTTGGCGTCGGCGGCAGCTATGCAGCTCCGCCTATAATCGGCTGTGAATGAGGTGTCGACCGCAGAAGGAAGACACAAAATAAGACCTCGGGAGTAAAGAGGTGGGGCGGGGAGGTCTTCACCCGTGGAAGATATCGTCAATGACTCCGTGTCCTTCTGGTTATCGTATGACCGCTCATAGCTTGAAGTGTCATGATGATTTCCCGGTACGTCCTCGGTGTGTTGAGTGATCGTCTGGGTCAAGGAGATGGTAGATGGCTTTCGATGAGGAAGATCCGAATTATTTTCATCCACCACATAATCGGAGGCGAGGTGTGTTGAGCCAGTATCGATCTCCACGGTTGTTGACTCTTGTCCGGTCAATGGACGTTCGGTCGTGATTTCGGTTCGGATGGTCTTGACGGTTTCGGCGACCGCTTCTCGGGCAGCATTCCTGAGGGTCGGGATCAGAATATCGGCCTCCTGATTGTTCACAGGAACCCCCGAGGGCCACGCCGTTGCGAGCCCTGCCCAAGCCGCCGGCCTGACCAAGCCTTTCGAGTAATTTTTCCGAATCAAATCCACCAATTCCTTTCTCACTTCTCTCGTTTCAGCCTTCTGCCTCCCAATGATATCAACGGTCGCATTTAGGATTCGACCACATTCCCATATCAAAAATGCGTGTCTGTTGGCTATGGAGATCAATTGACGAACGGTTTCCTCGGACCAATCATTAATTATGTCCGCATGGACCTGTAGGATTGCAATGTGCGGGCCGACCAAAGATGCAAGTTCGAGGAGGGCGTCCGAGGTGTTGATGGTGTGGGAAGGTGACACGCAGATGGGTTGGCCATAGGGCAATCCCTTTTTGACCTTCGTGAGAAGCTGGAGGTAGGTATTGAGGCGACTCCCGGGGAAAGACGACGAGGTTGGCGTCTCCATTGTGTGTTGAGGCGGGATGGCAGCGAGGGGATCGAGTTCTGCGATGTCGAGGACGGGCGGTTCAGAGGAGGAGAGGGGGAGGGAGTTTTGAGTTTGGATTTTGATTTCTGTTTTTTCTTTTTTTTTTCTCCCTCTTTTCGTTTTCCCCCCTTTAGTCTGTCTCTTGACCTATGAGCTTAAGGAGGGAAGGGTAAAGCAAGAAAGTTGGCGGATGGAAGAGCTAGAACGGGGCTAAATGACCACTGGAATGATTGACAGATGGGTTGAGAAACTCCACTTTTTTGACAGACAGGGGGGTTATTTGATCTTGATGGCAAACTCAATCCGTGGATTTGCTTCCAACGATCGGCTAAGGATTTGCGACAGTTGGAGAATGAAGACGGTAGAGACCAGGGAAAGAAAAGCAAACACACATCCACACACAAAGTATACCCCAAGCGATGGAGAATCCTTCAGTCAGTACTCGAGGGAGGGGAAGACAGAAGGAAAAGGGGCCAATAGAGAGGAACCGCCCCTGAATCGATCACATCGGAGTTTGCACTTTTTCTCAATTCTCTTTTCATTTTATTTTTATTCTTTTCAGTCTGATCAGTCGAGTAGCGTCCGCCCGCTGGAGTGGTCGCACTCCGCAGACCTGGTTAGTCAATGTTATTATTCGGTAGTTAGTTAGTGTCGATTAGTTTACTTGTTATTGGTTATGCCGATCGCCTTCTCACTTGTTTCGGAATCTCGAGTTTCTCAAGTACGGAGTACACCGTAGGTAGTCGTTCCCTTCCAGATAGTCTAGAATATGTGACTCCTCCGTGGCTGATCCAATGGCAGCGGCTTCAACATCGGCCGGAGAAGCAAGTGAGGCTGTTGGACATTGGCCCTACGATTCTCGAATTCAGTCAATCTTCGACTCAAAGTACGCAAAACCGATCGTCTACGCGAGTATCTGTCGCGCAGTGGGTATCGATTATCGACAGTCTGGCCGCCTGGCAGGTCTCCGTATGGCCCTTGTCAAAGATCTCTTGGATCAGAGCCGGATACATCGGGGCTACGGAGAACGGAGTACGTCGGTGTACACTGCAATGCATGACCCATGACCCCAGTGGGCAATGCCATGGTGGACTCTCCGACTTGAGGCCGAAGATCTCCATGAAGAATATCTCATCACAAAATCGATTGGCCTGCCCGAAAGAGGACAAATGGTCGTTCCATTGTACAGGTTGGAGCTCTCGCCCCCCTTTCATGTATCGGGCGTTGTCCTTTTCGTCTCGTGTCTTTCAATTCCACGCCATCATTTGCCCCGTATTGACTCACTTCTCGTACTACGGAGTCCGCCTACTCTATAGAGTTAACGGTGGAAATCAGCGGGCGCAGTACTTTTACTCTTTTAGTGCACGTATTTTGTTTCTCCTCGGATGGATTCCGTTTTGTGCACGTTCAACAGGGTCAGGTCCCCAAATTTGATCTTCCTACTCCGTTCTAGGTGTAGTGTGTACACTGTACACTCAGCTGGTCATGCTTGACCATTGATTTCATCTGCCCTGCAATAATATGCTTATTGGCCGAGCCAGGATCCTTGGATTAGTGAGGTTTAAGATTAGTGGTTCTCAAATGTCTGCAACTATTGTGGCTATTAGAGCCCCTGTCAAGACGCACGACAAGAGGCTCCGATTTTTCAGACCCGTGCAAGCCATAATGGGGCTAGATAAATAGGCCCGCTGAATATTCAAGGAGTTCTGCAGGGTTGAATCCTGCCCGTGTCTTAGACTTACTCCGGAGTACACCGTCTGTTCGAACGGATATGGCTATGGAGAAGTACTGTACACGTACTTCGTATATAATACCATAACTGCTGAGTAGTGACTAGCTACATCCATGGCTCCTAATTCCAGCAAAGCTGAAGATTATTCTGGCATTAGTCTAGGAACCTCTTGTGTCGACTTATATTCTTATTTAAAGTTACCACGGAGCACAAAGTGCAAACGAACTACAGTTGCAGCACTAAGACTCTAAGACAGGGACCCTTTATGAACAATAAAGATCCATGACTGCTTCAAATGACAAGCATTAGTTAGTCTATGTGACATGTGACAAACACTCTTTCATTGCTTCAGTACATTATGCATTGTATAATTATTATTTGTTTGTTTGTTTGTTTCTAATGCCTCGAATTCAAGGCAACAGCCGATGGATGACCTAATCAGGGGCAATGTGCCCAAACGGGTTAGCGCCACTTAATCGGCCTCCGCGGCGATTTCGAGGAATTCTCAACCTCGAGACAATCACCAGCGCGCTTCAAAGAACAATACGCTCTGGTCGACTACGAGAGTTATCTGAGTGAAAGGACACCGCTGCAACTTTGTCGCCTGATCGAACTCACTAGAAAAGCCCCGACCGAACTACCGACGGCTCTCCCTTTGCAAAAGAAAATTTCCCTTTCGGAGCCTTCGGACCCGCTGTCTGGTGTTTGCAGCTCACGCCACTCCTCGCTCACCCATTTATTACGTTTCCCTGAGCCCCGATCCGTCCAACTACGTTCCACGCATTTGTCCTCTCGTTATCCGCTTCTTGCGACGTCCCTGGACAAACCGGTACCTTTTTGCCCGGTCTTATCTCGCAGCCATTATGTCTGGAAGGACTTTACCTACGTTTACTCCCGCCGAGGTCGAGTTCCATAACACATCCAAGTCCTGCTATGTGACTGTGGGCTCCAGGGTCTACGATGTCACCTCTTTTGTGGATGACCATCCCGGAGGCGGCGACCTGATCTTGGAATACGCCGGTAAGGACGTGAAGGAAATTCTGCGTGATTCTGTGTCGCACGAACATTCCGAAGCGGCCTACGAGATCCTCGAGGATAGCTTGGTTGGCTTCGTTGCCTCCGCCAACGGACAATCCACATCCACGAATGGAACCGCAGAGACTTCGGAGCATGTGTTTCCCACCACTGGCATGTCCCGTGAGGAGGATTTGTCCGTCGAGACGGATTACACCAAAGATTACCAGACTCACAAGTTCCTGGATTTGAACAAGCCGCTGCTGCTTCAACTTTGGAACAGCGGATTTAGCAAAGAGTTCTACCTGGACCAAGTCCATCGTCCACGTCACTACAAGGGCGGCGCTTCGGCTCCCTTGTTCGGCAACTTCCTTGAGCCTCTCAGTATCACTCCCTGGTATATGGTTCCGATAATTTGGCTTCCTCCTGTCACCTATGGAACTGTTCTCGGTCTTGCTGGATTGGGCAATGTGCCTGCGGGCGTTGCCTACTGGTTGACTGGTCTCTTCCTTTGGACGTTGATTGAGTACATCATGCATCGGTTTCTGTTTCACGTTGACAAGTATGATCCACGTCTCACCTACAATGCCTAAACATGTCTAACCATCGCCAGGTACCTACCCGATAATCGTGTTGGTATCACTCTTCATTTCTTACTACACGGAATCCACCATTACGTCCCCATGGATAAATATAGACTCGTGATGCCACCGGCCCTGTTTGTTGTTTTGGCCACGCCGTTCTGGAAATTGGCACACAGCGTCTTTTTCTACAATTGGTATGCCGCTCTTACCGTCTTTTGCGGCGGCGTGTTCGGCTACATCTGCTATGACCTGACTCACTACTTCCTCCACCATCGCAAGTAAGTCTTAAACGTTCCCACTGCTAGGATTATTCGGTTAACATATCCCTCTCCAGTCTCCCTCTCTACTACAAGCAACTCAAGAAGTATCACCTTCAGCATCACTTTGCTGACTTCGATAATGGGTTTGGTGTCACGAGTCGCTTTTGGGACCGTGTCTTTGGCACGGAGCTTGAGATGCCATCCCCCAAAGGGGCAAAGGCCCAGTAAATAGGGATGACAGCCTCTAAAGCTTTCTGTCACTTTACGCTTACCCCCCTCCTCCTTTTACTCTTCTCCTCCTCTTTTTCCTTTCACCGCTCTGTATTTTCTACAAATGATGTAATCTTGGGGTGTCGTTGGCTCAGTTTTCCTTGGCCGTCGCTGGGGGGCTTGCAGGCGTTATCTCTGGGTTTGCCCATTCACCTGATGTACAGCACTTATTATTCGTGGGCTCACTGATAGTGTTGGAACGCTTTGCGTTTTCAACACTTTGGGGTATCCAGGTGATTGTGTTGACCTTGAGAATTAGTTTTACATGACTGTATATGACTATCAGAACTAATACATAATTAATGGATGTTATTTCAAGGACATATACCCTGTCTCTCAATTCGTACGACCTCGAACCTTATGCCCTGGTAGTTGCGTGGTTCCATGGTTCATGCGAAATTCCGTCGACGGCCAAGGAGGCGAATGCCAAGAGACACGTGATTTCGACTCTTTTCACTTCCGACGTGGATGGGGGCCATCTTTGCCATTGATTCTCCCACAACCACTCTATCTACCATACCTACCTCCTGACCTCCTACTTCACCCATACCTCACACCATTTCGAGTCTTAAAAACTGTTCGAAAAGGGCTAGAATATAAAACAGCAAGAAGGGTTCGCTCAAGCTACGACTCAGTCACAGTCGCACCAGTCTAACGAAGCCAAAAGTGACATAAATCCTTTCCACGCGAACTTCTTCCCACTCCTATCCCGTGTTTTTCCAGGACCAGAGAGATATCTCAATCTATCATCAATATGTCCGGTCTCGACGTTGAAGCTCTCCTCGAATCCACCGCTGCTCCCACCCAGGATACGCCCCACTCTCAAGACCAGGATGACAACTCCAAGGCCGACAGCAGTGACCGACGTGACCGTGATCGATCGCGCGAGAAAGATCGCAAACGCCGGGATCGCAGCCGGGATCGCCGCCGCGAACGAGATGCCGATGGGGATGAAGACATGAAGAGTCCGAGGAGCGAACGTGGCAGTGCTAACGGAAGCCATAGAAGCAGAAAGAGGAGCAGGAGCCGCGACAGCGACCGCCGTCGGGCTCGTCGTGACCGCTACGGCGATGACCACCGTTCTGGCGGCGACTTCTATCGCGGAGGTGGCCGGGCCCGTACTCGCTCTCGATCCCCCTATGATGACCGTTACTACCGACCTTCCGGTCGTTCGCGCCGTGATGAACGGGACGATGACCGTCGCTCTCGCCGTGAACGTGACACTCGCAGACGTAGCCCTACCAAGAGCCGAGAGAGAACCCCGGAATTAAATGAAGATGAACGCGATAGACGCACTATCTTCGTGCAGCAACTCGCCGCGCGATTGAGAACGAAAGAATTGATTGCTTTCTTCGAGAAAGTTGGACCGGTTAAGGAAGCCCAGATTGTCAAGGACCGTGTCAGCGGCAGATCTAAGGGGTAAGTGGTTTTATCTCCCCCTATTCTTAACCCTTGTCTGAGCATCGACTAACATCTCCATAGTGTCGGCTACGTTGAATTTAAACAAGAGGAATCCGTCGCACCTGCTATTCAGCTTACCGGACAAAAGCTTCTAGGAATCCCTATCATCGCACAATTGACTGAGGCTGAGAAGAACCGCCAGGCCCGCAACCCCGAGGCCAGCACCAGCCAAAATCACGCGGCCCCCTTTCACAGGTTGTATGTGGGTAACATTCATTTCAGTATCACTGAAAGCGACCTCCAGAATGTTTTTGAGCCTTTTGGCGAACTCGAATTTGTTCAGTTGCAGAAGGATGAGACTGGGAGAAGTCGGGGATATGGTTTCGTGCAGTAAGTACACTTTGGATGGAAATAAAGCATATAGTATGACTCGTGACTAACCATTTTCTAGATTCCGTGATCCTAACCAAGCTCGAGAAGCATTGGAAAAGATGAATGGTTTTGACCTTGCCGGTCGAGCTATCCGCGTTGGCCTTGGCAACGATAAGTTCACCCCCGAGTCAACCGCGCAACGCTTGCAGAGCCAAGGTGCAAACCCTCAGTCTTTCCAGGGATCTTCATTTTCCGGCCACGGTGGCCGAGGTGTACAAGCCGGTGGCACCAACAACTTCGACCGTGCGGGTGGCCGCGATTCTGAAAAGGGAGCTGGCGCTAGTGCGCTTGATGACACAGATGTTGCCGGTGTGAACTTCAACAACTACAGTAGGGACGCATTGATGAGGAAACTTGCAAGAACAGATGAACCTTCGGAGCCATCCGCAGACGACAAACAGAAAATCCTCCGGCCCAAGACGGAAACCAAACCTCTGCCCGTTAATGTTAACATGGCGAGTCGCTGCGTGCTGCTCCGCAACATGTTCGATCCCACTGAGTAAGTTATTCCTTTCATATCCCTCTTCGGCACATGGTATTCTAACAACTCTTGCAGGGAGGAGGGCGAAGTCTGGATTAAAGAATTGGAGGATGACGTCCGCGCTGAGTGCGAAGAAAAATATGGCCATGTTGTTCACATTGCACTAGATCCCAACTCGCAGGGCGATATCTATCTCAAGTTTGACCGAGTCCAGGGCGGAGAAAACGCCATCAAGGGCCTGAACGGACGATTCTTTGGCGGTAAACAGATCACTGCCCAACCCGTCGTCGATGCTGTTTACAGCAGCTTGTTCTCTCGCACCAAGGCAATCTAGTGCTCGATCTGCTGACCACCCCGCCTGCCAATACTTACACCGTGGTAGGTATTCTATTACATCTAATACTCTTATTACCAGGTGCAAACTGGCAACGTCAAAATTCGCCCATTTCATCTTGAACCCCTTGCACTCGGCTGTGCCATGCTGCCTGGAGTACTTGGTGCCACTGCCCCTGGTAGGTGCTATTTTTGACGTCTTGCTCTTTCACCTTGTGATTACTGCAAGCTCAAAAGCTTAGCGTGAAATGATATGTCTATAGGGATTTGTACATTGATTTAGTTCAACTAAATATTTCTTTCCAATAACATGGACTCAACCTCGTTATCTCAAGCGATCTACATACGACCTGGGTGGCGAGTTGATGCTCGAGCGTTTTAAGGTCTACTCGCAATGAGTCGATCCAATCGTAGAGTAACAGATCAGGATGCTTGCATTCCCTCATATCATACATTTTCCTCAGTAATCTGATGACAACAGGTCACGTTCTTCAATGGGTGTGATTATGCTAGGGAATTTCGGCAGACTCGACGACGTATCAGGGCTATTTGTGTCCCAAGCAAGAAAGTTTACTAACTGTTTCCAGTAAAGAAGTGAGCAGCGACAATAGTATAGCGTTTATTATTCAGGATATAATCTAAACTGTAGTGTGAAGAGAGTATATATACAAAAGCCTTCCCGGGAGGAGATACCGTCTACTACCCAGCGCCGAACACATATAGTCGAACCCTCGCCTAGCCACTCCCATGAGATATCTCGGACCTCTAGCTACTACAAGACCCGTGAGGGGGGAGGCAAGTGTAGCCTAGGTGTTTACTATTATCTTTTTCTCATAGCCACATCTATTTCTTCTGTGTTGGCGTAGTTTGATTAAAGGAGTTGTTCATAGAGGCGATCTCCTCCTTCTCCGATTCGGTTTTGAAGGGGGCACAGTCTGCACTAGGGCTCTTGTGTAGGTAGGCAGGGCCTCGGAGAACCTTAATGTCTGTTAGGAGTTGGTCTTATATAGTTTTTGAAGCAGGCGTTGTTAAACCGGGCGTTTATACATCTGCGGGATATGTCCGTTCGGATATTATAATCTTCTAAATATCCTGTTTGAAGTAGGCCCTCCCAGTTCGAAAAGTCAGCATTTACTTGTCTATTACAGGAACCTAGCATGCAAGTATGCATCACATTATGCTCGTTCTTGTTTATCGTAATGGACATATCTTAATAGTCAAGATCTCCTGTGTTCCTGCCTCCTGAACACTCAGAACATCTAGCTGCCTCCATCAGTCCATTCCACCTGGTCCCTTGCTCGTCTGTTTCCTTCATTTTGAACGCATCCTTCTTAGCAAATTTACCCATTTTAATATCTTATTACTTCAATATTTCCAACATTGTTTGCCTTGATTCTTGTCTTTATCATCACTTCCGAAACTTTGTCAGAATTCAAACTGCGTAACTCACTGTCAGTCTTGCCTCATGTCGTTTAAAAAAGCTAACACCTCGAGATTTTAGAACTCCCCAATGGAGAAACGTCTTAGACCTTCTGCGCCTAGTTTTCAACCTCACGCCGATAATTGCGAGGTGACCCGTACTCAACTCACTTCTGCTCAACTCGACGATGGCAGTGAGGGCGAGGAGTTGCACGAAAGTATGCTGGGACTCGAAGAGCGGATCGTTGGGCGAGAAAGACAGCAAAGAACCGTCACTCATCAGAGTAGGGCGGTCTCCGATGCCAGAGTTCGCCCCGTGGTGCCAGTGCCGCCTGCCATACCCACGCAACATCCAGCACCAAACGTTGTGGCTACTCCCTTTCAGGCTCCCCGTTCGGGGCTCTTCCAACATGGACAGTCTGGGATTTCGCCATCTTCGAGCAACCAGCAGCACCAAACCCTGCCCTTTAACCCTCTAAACAGAAGTTCAGGATCGATCCGTATCGGTGCCGCACATGGGAAAGCTCCGCAGGAATTGGGTCCTTTTGCACCTGAAACTTTTCCCGAGCATCTTTCTATTACGGACTCTCGTGTCAAGTGCAAGTGCCCACATTTGTGTGAGGTTTTCGATGCCGGCGCTACCGTCTCAAATATTTCGGCTCGACTCGTTGATTTGTACCGCCGAGTCGGAGTATGGGCCTCTGTCCACGCCAACGTCCCATTGCATCGATGGAACAGCAATCTAGGGCCACAAGCAGAGGAGTATCTCAAGGGTCTGGCAGACCCATCCCAGCTGCCCGCCCTTCTCAGCTTCCCCACAACTAGGCACTTTCTCGTGGCCAAGGCGATCAATTACTACCTCGTACGCAATATTCTCAAGGTCAACATCGCAGGAGCCTTCAGCACTGTTGCCTCTCAGGAGATCAGTGAGATTCAGACACAACTAGCAGCCGGTAAGCCAAGTGAAGCGGAGCAAGCTCATCCATGGGGCGGTCTTATAATTTGTCATTCAATAGTTGAACTCTCGGTGCTTGTGCGTCAAATCGCCGTTTCGGCAATAATATCTCGCACCAAACGCGTCCTGGAGCTTCCGGGCTTTGCCGCCTTCATCCAGGGCAACTACAACACGCACGTGGCCAACCTATGGCAATCCGTCAGGCCTCTATCGTCGGACCCCCGCGGGTCCTATCAACAGGCGCGGCAGGAACTGACGAACGTTGTCTGCGAAGCGCAGCTGCTCGCCAGGGATATGTACCTAGCGCCGTTCCAGTATGAATTTGACTTTCCGGTGTTGGACGAGCGCTTCGATCCGACCACCATGGTGAATCACGACCCAAATCTCAAAGGGGATCCTCAGGTGCTGAAGCTCAACGACTACCGCGTGAAGTTGAGCGTGACTCCGATTACCAGGATCCGCAACGTTTCGGTCACGCCTGCCGAAGACACGTTAGTTCATTGGGCTCAAGTGTTGTTGAAGCCTGCGCCGTACATTGGATGATCACCCGGGAAGAAGTGAGACAAGTCATTGTTCAGTCGTTGCTTTTAGGTGGTCTCCTCCTTTGTCAATCCTGTTGAATTGGGGTCGGTTGTTGTGACAATCGCGATTGCCTGTATATATTTTTTGATTAATGTTATCATATTCTCCTCTTTTGTGCAAGCTGAGTCAGCGCCCAAGGAAGGCGCAGGGCGACAGGGATTGAAGAAGATTTATTCTTAGCATCAATGCATACACAGAATAATACGGTAGTTCATGGACTCTCCGAGGTGGACAAGTGGCGTTGCTAAGTAGATCAGACTTAAGAACTAATGAAGAACTGCCGCGCTGCTCCTCCGTCGCAATACGCTCGGGCCGCAAATCCCCCATCGCCCCCCGCTGGTCCCTTCAATCATCCTTAGAATTCTTTCCAACCTTTCCATTCTTTCTTTTTCGCCCTCACTCATCATGGGCCTATCCCTGGCTCTCTGATCTTCCCCCTTATTGACTCTCTTTTCTCCTTTTCAAGCTCGATTACCTTTCAATGCCTCGACATTCATGAATCTGATTCCTGCAAAGCGGGTCACTGTCCACGTCCGGACGCTGACCAACTATTCTTGTATGTCTCTTCTTATCTCCGAGGCTTCCGTATCGACTTCATGAAGCCCGTGCCCCGACGGCTGTCGCTGACTACATTTCTGATACTTACAGCCTCCATTGGATTGTTGAGACGTCGCCATAAATCCAATCATGTGAAGTTCATCGACGCCCGATTCTCCAGACGACGAGATTTCCACGATTATTTTGTGACACGCCTGCCCTCGTCCTCACTTCATCCGGATCCGAGAGGCCCGTTGACCTCCTTTCACAAACTCCCTCGCTCTGCATCCGTGCCGCATACCGGGGAGACGTCGCGCTCGCCCACGGCGTTTCAAACCCTGGTGGATCGAGATACCACCGTCGTCCGCATTCCCCTTCGCAGCGCAAAGCATCATTATGGCGCCTCCACCTTGCGAGGCACCCGGCCGACCAATGAAGACACTCACCAAGCGGGCGTGATTGATATGCCTGCGTTCGCGAAACGCCCCCCGGCTTCGTTGACCATCAGACGGTCGGATAAAGACAATTCGCCGCCCCCACCGCGCGAGAGCCAGGGAGCAGCGACGGCCAGCGGCGATCCGCAGGTCTTCTACTTCGGCATCTTTGACGGCCACGGCGGGTTGGAGTGTAGCACGTTCCTGAAGGATAAACTGCACGAGTATATCCAGGACACGGTCTCTTCGTTCGAGCTGCGATCGAGTTTGCGGAAAAATCAGGAGGGCTACTATCTTGATGATGCCGAGCCGTCGACCGGGAACCTGCCTATCGTGCAAGGGGCCAATTCCAAACGGATTGGCGAACTAGAAAAGAAATTGATGCGCGACTGGAAGGGCCTTGTTGGGGGATACTTCAAAAGATTTGTCCCCGCTTACTTCTCGCGCATTGGCACCAACCCCCAGGCGGATTCCAACGAAGATACAGGAGCCACCATCGAAGAGGTGCTAGAGTATGCCTTTTTGCGTGCAGATCTGGATTTCGTGTCGGCGCAGGCTGCGCGGAATGACGACGAGTTGGAACATGCCGGACAACCCCTGTATCAGGACAACATCTTATACGGCCCGCGTCACCCGGCGCAATCGTTGGCCTTTGGCGGCGGTTCGCGATTCAAGGGTGGTAGTACGGCCAGCGTTGCCCTAATTTCTACGCCTACCCCAATGCCGTTCTGGCATCCGTCGACCCCGTCCAGCCTGCTCGTATCGCATGTGGGCGACACTCGTATCGTGCTCTGCTCTACGGAAACTGGCGAGGCGATCCCCCTCACCTCCAACCACCACCCTTCCTCGCCGATCGAGGCCAATCGACTCCGACGATATGCCGCCACGTTTGTCACCGACTCGTTCGGCGAGGAGCGCATGAGCGGGTTGGCCAACACCCGTGCATTTGGCGACGTCCAATCCAAGCGGATCGGGGTGTCTGCGGAGCCCGAACTTCGACGGGTTGAAATGGCGCCTGCGGAATTTTCGTTCCTGGTCCTCATGACCGACGGCATCAGCGGCACACTCTCGGACCAAGAGGTCGTCGATATCGTGAAGGAAGCCAAAACCCCCGACGAAGGATCCCGAGACGTGGTTCGTTTTGCGACCGAGGTGACGAAAGAAGGAGACAACGCTACGTGCCTTGTCGTGCGCCTCGGTGGTTGGGAGCGACGTCTCGAAGGGGGTTTGGGCAGTTTGGGAACGAAAGAGACTCGAGAATGGCGCCGACAAGAAGCCACCGATCCGCGCAGGTCACGGAGGTAGTAAAAGAAATGATAAAATGTTTGTTTGGAGAGGAGAAAAAAAGAAAAAGGGTCCATTTTGACTCTGCCGCTTTCTTGAGATAATTATTTCCTATTTTGGTTCTTTTTTGTGGTTATGACATTGTATATAATAAGATGATATTCCTGGGTATCACTTTAACCACCTTCAATGTGAGGGTATTTGTACATACAGACAGACACCTCGGCGTGCGCAGTTAACTAGTTCACTAGTTGCTCATTTAATTTATTTAGAATGCGTTGAGATGAAGAGCTGCATTCAGGATGACGGAAAAGGAAAGCACCTGCATCTGGACCGCACGAGGGTCGCTCGCCGTACTTCCATTTCTCTTTCTGCTTTCCTCCCTTTCCGAGTCTCCCGAATTAAGATTAAGAGCGGAATGATTGGGATTAATCAATAATCTCTCGATCGGATCTCCACGTTGCGCCTCCTATTCAGTCTAGTCAGGACTAGAATCACTAAGTGTCCTTCTCTTGCATCGCCCGATCTCCTCGATCGTCGCTCGTGAGTTCTGCCTTATCAAACCTCCTTATCGCCAAAAACGGCCAAATCATCGAAGGCTGACTCCCAGTCCCTGCTTTTGCAGTTTATGTGGCATCTCCACCCTCGATTTTGTTCTCCCCAGCCCGAGTGTTGAATTACCTGGTCTTCGCCCCCCTCCGGAAGAGGCGCGTCGTGGATTTTTTTTAGCCACTAGGAATCGGTACGTGTTTTGGAGAGAGAAAAAAAAGCTTGGTCAGGAGTGATCTCACCACTGCACCATCACGCCAGCACCCTCTTGCCAGATTCTTGCCAGCTTAATTTGAGCACGGGTGGGATGCAAACTACTGATTGTTTCTGTTACTTGCCAGCTTGATCGAATATATTATCGGGGACAAGCTGAACGGTGTTTGTGTACATCTTGAACTGCTTGACCCGCCGCTCGCCGTGGATCCTTTCGGATAATACCTCCCTCCGCTATCCCTTAAACAACTACTCAGTACATCCGTGAAACTCTGTCCTCGAAGCAACTCCGCTCATTTCCGACCTTCTTACTCTCCTTTTTCTTCTTGAGTGTGCCCTGCGAGAATCAATATGAGCGCCAGAACACGGAGACAAAAAGCCGCCTTGGCCGCGCAGTCCGACGAGAACGAGACACCCGTCAGCAATGGCACGGCACAGAAATCACCGAAGAGAAGCAAGTCGGCTTCCGCTGAGAAGGAAGTCAAGGAGAATGTATACCTGTTCGCTCCGAACCTGATCGGTACGAGATCCCCTCTCATCTACTCAGCCTGGTGACAGCGTGTCTCGTCGCAGTGCTAATGCTTCCGGGACGATTTAGGATACCTGCGGGTTGTTTTGACCATCGCCTCCCTTTACTATATGCCCTTCCACCCTCGAACTTGCTCTCTCCTATATAGCGTATCGTGCTTGCTGGACGCTTTGGATGGATATGCGGCGCGGTACTTCAACCAGTCTACCACCTTCGGTGCCGTGCTCGACATGGTGACGGATCGCTGCACCACCGCGTGTCTTTTGGTTTTCTTGAGCTCCGCCTGGCCCCGGTGGGCCATCATCTTCCAGAGTTTGATTGCGCTGGATATGGCGAGTCATTATATGCACATGTACGCCACCCTCAGCATGGGTGGCTCGAGCCAGAGTCACAAGAAGGTTGAGGCCAGCCGGAGCTGGATCTTGTACTGGTACTACAACAGCAAGGTAGGCAGCGTTACAGCCCCCGTGTTGTCTAGCGGGACTTCGCTTTACTGACAATCTGCCAGACCGTTCTGTTCATCTGCTGCGCCCTCAACGAAGTTTTCTTCATCGGTCTCTACCTCCTCTCGTTCTCTTCCCCGACGCTCTCTCCTTCCCTCCTTAAGCCCCTCACCGAAAGCACTGCTCAGACCGCCCCGACCAATCTATATGAGAGCCCATGGAGTGCGGGAGCGCTGGAATTGGCGCGGGCCAACAAGATTGACAGCTTCTGGCCCTGGCTCATCACCGGAATCTCGGCACCCGTCATGGCGCTCAAGCAGATCATCAACGTGGTGCAAATGGTCAAGGCCAGCAACTGGCTGGTCGAGGGTGACATGGCCAAGCGCAAGGAACAACTCCGTGGAAAGAAGCACTAAATTTCCACATGACGGATGACCACGAGCCAACCGGCTGACTGTGGATGAATTTCTTGGGTCTTTTGCCCGTCCTCTTCTTATTGTCGATATTTCCGCAGCACGTAATCTTGGGGATCCTGCTGTCGGCCTGATCCTTCTTTTCCTGATCCTTCTTTTTCTATTCTGCGCCCATTTTTGACCGTTTCATTATTCCTGTGCATGGCTCTGGTGCTTTGGTTCATCCTTTGGGACTGGAGGAGGCTTCGTCCCTTTCCTTTCTTTTCTTTTTTTCTTTTCGCTCTTCCTGAATTTCTTTGCAAGGGTGTCAATTAGGGGGAAATCGTGGATCTGTCGGTCTGCCTGCCAACCAGACCATCATGGACGGATATAAATGAATGGCCCTCAGCTTCGATCGTGTGATTACTAATCGCTTTTCTTTTTCTTCTTCTCTTCTTGTTTCATCTTTCTTCTCGTTTTCCTTCCCTCTTGTTCTCTGTCTTCCTGTCTATTTAGTTGTGTTCGCGTCTTATTCTTAACAATTTTTAATGGATTCAGTGTAGCTATGATTGTGGACAGAGGCTTCTCATGTGCAAAGCAACTCAATACTCGAGGTCATCACCTTATTGCATCTCCCTACTATCTACTCTGTAGACTCGACGATGACATGACTGTGCAGTTGTTTCCCTCCACTCGGAGCGACGCCATCGGCGATGACTAAGAGCTGTCGGGGCGGTTAACGGCGGGCGCTTCCAGCGGCTCCGGTGTCGGCGCGGGGGGGCAGAGCAGAGTCCCCCCGCCATTCATCAAGCGTGCCATTTATAACGGAGCTGTCTCTCTCTCGCTTTTCCTAGCTTTCCCTTCCATATTCCCCATATACTGAACCCCTCTCATAATGCCTGCTTACAACATTGTCGTTTTTGGTGGAGACCACTGCGGTCCCGAGGTGAGTAGCGATAGGAACTGACGGGATATCTCAATGCTAATCGTTGGCGTACAGGTCACCGCGGAAGCTATCAAGGTGTGTAGGCTTCGTTGGGAGCTTCAATGATATACCTCTGGCATATACTCATGTGTATAGGTTCTCCGAGCTGTGGAAAAGAAGCGTGATGTCACGTTCAATCTCCAGGATCACCTCCTGGGTGGTGTATGTGCCCATTGTATAGTCTAAACACCTAGGACGGACCATTCATACTAACCTGTGCGATCTTAGGCCTCCATCGACGCTACCGGATCTCCCTTGACCGACGAAGCTCTGAACGCCGCCAAGAACGCCGATGCCGTCCTCCTGGGAGCCATTGGTGGCCCGGTACGTGACAGACATCCTCGAACCCTGCCGCTCCATCGAATATCAAAAACACCGTTACTAACAAGCTGTATAGAAATGGGGCACCGGTGCCGTCCGCCCTGAACAAGGAATCCTCAAGCTGCGCAAGGAAATGCAAACCTTCGGCAACCTGCGACCCTGCAACTTCGCCGCGCCCTCGCTGGTCGAGAGCTCGCCGCTCCGCGCCGACATCTGCCGCGGCGTCGACTTCAACATCATCCGCGAACTGACGGGCGGGATCTACTTCGGCGAGCGCAAGGAAGACGACGGCAGCGGCTTCGCGCTCGACACGGAGCCCTACTCGCGCGCCGAGATCGAGCGCATCATCCGCCTGGCCGCGCACCTGGCCCTGCAGCACGACCCGCCTCTCCCCGTGTGGAGCTTGGACAAGGCCAACGTCCTGGCCACCAGTCGGCTGTGGCGCAAGGTCGTCACCGAGGTCATGGCCAACGAGTTCCCGCAGCTGAAGATCGAACATCAGCTCATCGACTCCGCCGCTATGATCATGGTCAAGGATCCTCGGAAACTCAACGGTATCATCGTCACGAGCAACTTGTTCGGTGATATCATCTCCGACGAGGCGAGCGTTATCCCGGGCTCCCTTGGCTTGCTCCCTAGTGCCAGTGTCAGCGGTATTCCGGATGGCAAGAGCAAGGTGAATGGTATCTATGAGCCGATTCACGGTATGTCCTCCTCCCCCCTCCCTTTTGTTTCTTCTCTCTTCTTCTTTTTGTGCCTTTTTTTTTTTTTTTTTTTTTTATCTTTTTTTTTCCATCATGCGTTCATACTATATGATCAAGAACTAACGATTCCAAATAGGCTCCGCCCCCGACATTGCCGGCAAGGGCATCGTCAACCCCGTCGCTGCTATCCTCTCCGTTTCCCTGATGTTCCAGTACTCGTTCGGTCTCTTGGCCGAGGCCCGCGCCATCGAAGCGGCCGTCAGCAATGTCATCGAGGCCGGTGTGAAGACGGGTGATATCGGCGGCAAGTCGACCACCAGCGAGGTGGGTGATGCTGTTGCGGCTGAGTTGGAGAAGATTCTGTAAATGAATTTGCTGAAAGGGAAGGGAAGGGGGGAAAAGTATGATATCAAGGTGTTTATGAAATAGTTTTATAGCCAAGTTTATAATAGATTTGAACTTATTCCTATTCTTGTTCTTCTGTGTTCAATCTATCTTCTACAGTCTCCTATGCTGGAAGGGTATGCAATGTTATGTGAAAGCTTGCGATGATGAAAATTAGGTATATATGATGATTGGATAAAGTCTAGTCGATGATCCTTAAGGATCATGGGTATCATTCTACAGAACCGAGAACTCCGAATACCAGCATCGCCCGGACAAGTTTGATGCTCCTTTCCTCCGTGTAGCCATGTCATATCATATCCATACTCACGTTCATGCCCCAGTCCAGAACACAAAGCCTGCGAATAATTCGCCAGGGCATTAAAGAATAATCGATAAGAGAACCGTATCAACGACAGTTGGAACGAGACCGCACGCACTCACAGCGTGCAGACGCCTATCGAATCACCGGTTCTCCCATCCAATCCGGTGCCTCAAGTCCAACCACCTTCCCCCGGTCCAGATCCCCAACTGCCTCGCGCGCCTCCGCGCCCTCGTCATTCGTGCTCGCCCGCAACGACTTGCGCGCACTGTGCCTGCGCACTCGACCATCCGCCGACGCGGACGGCGCGTTTCCCATACGCCTGCGCTCGTCGTCACGCGCAAACACCTGGAACCCACGCACGTGAGTATCCTTACCGTTTTGATGGTTCTCAATCACGCGCATCTGAATGACCATGGCTTTGAGCACGTTGCCCGCGTACGGATCATCTTCGTCGTCTTCCTCTTCGGCCGTCTCGTCGCCCTCGCCTTCGTCTTCGTCCTCGACGTAGTCGTTCCGGATCGTGCTGGATCCTTGCTTCGTGTTGGTGCCGTTCTTCTTCTTCTCGCCCTTTCGCACACGCCGTCTCCGCTTCTTGCGCACCCAACCACCGTCCCGTCCGCCGACGCCTTCTAGCGGTACGTCGACCCAGCCGCACGGTCCTTCGCCTTCCCAGGTCGCGAACTCCACGACGTCGTTGCCCCCCATTCCGGCGAGGAAGGTCATCTTCGTCGGTGTGTAGCTCTCATCCATCTCGCAGTCAAGGTACACGCGGATCTTGACCACCGCGACGAGCTTAAAGAAATGTAGCGTCAGCGTGTGTGGCTGCGGGCCGTCGGACTGCCAGTACTGGGTTGGCGAGGGGTTGCGGAGAGCGGCGACGCCGCAACCCGGTTTGTGCGTTGAGACGGTCCACGAGGCTAGGGAGGAGATTTCGCGGAGGTTGGCGGGGAGGGGAGAGGGGGAGCGTTCTGCAGTGGTCACTGTTAGTTAGACTTTATCCTCTCATTGTTGCTCACGACCAAAGACTTCATTCACCCAGGACCAGAGCAAACCAATTCCAAAGAGAAGTGGAGAAACGAACCTCGATCCTGCATCATCTCATCCTCATCAACATCCTCATCCACAATCTCCTCTTCCTCCTCATCCTCGACCTCCTCCAACTCATCATCCACCATCCCCTCCATATCCTCATCCGACATCTCAATCTCGTTCCCCTCAGGATCCACCGTAATGCGACTCCGATCCGTAAACCCCCGCCGTCTCCCTAATCCTGATGGATGGTGATGGTCCGCGAAGCTCGCCTCTTCCTCCTCATCATCCTCAACCTCCTCATACTCATCCACATCTACTCCACCTTCCCCAGATTCCTCATCAGAACCTTCCTGTTCCTCGTCCCCCTCGGTATACCCCATCCCCATGGCCATCCCCCTCGCCCTCTGTCTCTGCCCTAACCCACCTAACCCCTGCGCCTCTCGATGCGAATATTGCTGGGGATGCTGAGCTTGATACTGATGCCCATACCTCTGCGGTCTCCCATGCACGCCGCGCCCAAACAGCGAAAAGATAGCCGCCTGCGCCGCCTGCGCCGGATGCACCGTATCGGCCGGCTCCAGGGGCCCCGAGGACGGATGGAGCTGCGGGATGGTGCGCGAGGGAGGAGTCTGGAACTGTGCGGCGCGGGAGCGCGATTGCGCGTTCGAGGCCGCCGCGGCGGCGTTGAGGAGGCGGGGGTCTGCTGCTGCGGCGGCGGCGGCTGGTGGATGAGGTTGAGGGCGAGGACGGGGAGGAGCTGTAGGGCGGGATCCTGGGCCTGGTCCTTGTCCTGGAAGGGAAGGGGGCGTGGATGTTGAGGGTGTTTCTTGGGCGGGGTGGCGGCGGAGGAGGTGTGGGTAGGGTTGTTGTTGTTGGTGTTGCTGCTGGTGAGGATGGCGGGGCATTGTGGTTGGGGTTCTTTTTGTTTTGTTTTTTGGGATAAGGGATGTAGTTGGATTTGTTGGAGAGGGAGCTTAATGTCGGTTCATTTTGGTGGATTGCAGTTCGATGTGGTTGTTGGAGGGAGGGTCTTGGAGCTTCTGCTTGTCGCGTCGGAGCTCATCGTCGCCCGCGTTATCACGTGCAAGTCTGGTTGCTACTCCCCGTGATAAGATCCAGTTATTCAAACAGATATAGTATTAATTTTATTGTAGCCAGAGCACTTAATTCCGAGACTCATCGAGGTAATTATGGATATAATCTAAACTGTGCTTGAGGTGGCATGCTAGTAGATGCTTGCTTATGGTACATAGCTCCAGAAAATAAACAGAAATATCAACAGATAAAGAAATGAAAAAAAAAAAAAAATCCCTAGAAATTAGAATAGACCTTTGCAGAGAAAATGTGGGAGAGCTATCCAGGCCTGTTCCACACAATCTTGTTGAAAGTCGTGTTCACAACTCCTTCCTGTATGATAAATGGTAACATGAAAAAAAGGACCTCCCACCTGAAATGATGCTTAGTCTTGCACATCCACATATCCGAGCTTCTGGCCGACCTTGATAGTCTGGCCCTTTTCGATACTCCAGTTCCAGCCCTTCTCTCTCTTTCCTTCGTCCCATCCGGCATCGAAAGACTTCCGGGTGCCCATGGGCGCCTCGAACGCTAGGACGATGGTGCTACCGAGCTGGAATCCGCCCATTTCTTCACCTCGCTGCAGCGGGTGTCCACCCAGGGTCCTGCTGGCGTGAAGGTAAGTCGCCTCGACGAAACCGGGGTACTGCTCGCCTCGCTTAGCGGCAAGCGCGGCGGCCATATCGGCGGCCGTGTCGGTGGAAAGGCTGTTGGTGCGCAACTCGGAGTCGAAGTTCACCTTGATCGAACCGACGTTAGTGGCGCCGACGGGGGTGTAACTGAAGAATCCCCAACGCCAGCGTCCCAGCAGGACCACTCGCTCGTTGAGGGTGAAAAGACCCGGAAGATGGCGTTGCAGATACGGCGACACTGAGTACAGCTCGCCCGCAAAGTGTCGACGGGATTCGACGACCCAGGGCACGGGGGAATGGAACCGATGGTAGTCGCCAGGGGCCAGGTAGATCACGACGTAGTAGAGAGCATTGTTCGAGGCCGGCTTCGGGGCATACCAAGGCGTGCCATCCCCAAGAGCGAGGTCGGCTTTCACCTCAGCCTCCGCGGTGGCCTTGGACTCGGTGGATGCGTCCAGAGATGCTGACCGCTTCCTGGCACCGCCGCCTTGATCACCGGCGAAAAGCGTTGGCAGCGTGTACGAGATGCCGTTCATTTGGGCAAATTCCTGGTCCGCCAGCATGTTGGCGGCGTCCTTCGGGGACTGCTCCTTTTGGTGGTCGGTAAACTTCTTCGCATGGTCAGCGTTCGATGGCGTGGCAGCACCTAGCAGCGCGTCCAGGCTGTAGGTAACGCCCTTCACCTGCTCGACTTCGCCACGCTCGATGAGGCCAAACTGGAGGATGCGCCCGTCAGACGGCGAGAGCATGGCGTGCGGGTCAGGGTCCAAGGGCCGGACGCCGGGTTTCAGCTTGCGGTAGAAAAAGGCGGCCAAGTTCGGGTAAGTATGTAGATCGGGTTCGGCCACTTCGTCCAGGTTCACGCCGAAAGCCCAGGAATAGAGTTTGAAACCGGGCACGCGAAGATAGTAGGGGAGTTCAATCTCGTTGAAGCGACCCCAGAGACGAGAAATCGCCTTGAGCGGCAAAGTGGACATGATCTGGACCTGCCATGGTCCGCTGGGTCGGATTCGGTGTCGGGGAGGAGGCTTGCTGAATTCGAACGACTCCTCCTCGGCTTCTCTCTCACTCCGTTCACGCTCCGCCCGTTGATATTTGTAAAACTGCAGCAGACCAAGGAGACCGATGCCCAGGCCGACGGGGATCGGATACCACTCAACCTTGGTGTTACGCAGAGCAAAGCGAAGTCGGGAGCCGAAGAAACCCCTTGGGCCGGGATTCTCCTGTTGCTGCTGGTTATGACATTGTTGCCATGATTTGGAGAAGTTCCTAGCACCGGTCTTACGTTGACCAGTCGTTCTCAAGGCCACCATATCTAACACACCAGCCTTGGGAGAGGCAGCAAAGTTCCGGCGAAGAGGCACAGAACGAGCGGGGAGGCACAGGGCCATAATTATGGTCTACACCATGAACGACATCCAAGAGAGGGGAAATTCTCTGGGCCAATAGAACCAAATAAAAGGGCTCGCTGGACTGCGACCTCGAGAGGAGAAACTGATCGGCGGCGCAAGTCAAATTAAACAGAAAATGCGCGCTTTTGCATCATGTCACGGGGGTGCTTCACCGCCCGGCAAAATGCTGGTCTGGCTTCATCTCTCCTCATCGTCACTTTCCCCTTCTGACCTGCGCATTCTCGTGAAGAGACTGGTTTCTCTCATCCTTATTCTGGTCTGTGAAGTCTCACTTGTGCATACTGGGTCTACAATCCCCCGAGACAAGAATCACTCCGGCCCTAGAGTCGTTTGTCTAGGACCCCTTCTTACAAACGCCCTCAGCACTTGTTTGGACACGTCGTCATCAACTTCAACAGTTTATCACCGGAACTTCCCCTGACTGATTGCCTTCATTATCTACCGTGTGCAAATCTATCTTTACCATCTTTACAATATCTTTACGTGAAGACCAACCCGACGATATCCAAGCCTAGAAACCTACTATACTTGCGCGCCCTATACTCCTCCGCTCTAGCGCCTATCGAAAGATGGCTTCTAGCTCTGTTGCTTCAGACGCTGCCAATCCTCCTGCCGATCAGTCAAGCATCTCGCAGGATCTCGTATTGCATGTGCTCTGTCCGTCCCTACCACCGCCCAACCGCTTCACCTTCAATGATCTTACTCCGTCCACAACCGTTGCTGGCCTGAAGGCCCGGATATCGCAATCGCTGCCCGGTCAGCCCTCATCGGAGACTCAGCGGCTCATTTACCGCGGCAAACCTCTCGCGAGTGACAGTATACCCCTGGGAAACATGTTGGACCTGGAAAATGTGAGTATCGTTTGATCCCGTCCCTCGACAAGGGCAGGCTGGTCTAATAAGAATGCGAATTTAGGGCTCCGAACATTCTATGCATCTCGTTCTTCCTCCGGCGCCCTCACCAGCTGCCAATGACACAGCAGCTTTGCCTTCAGCAACTCCTCCTCAACAACCCTCAAATACTCCGTCCTCTCTGTTTGCCAGCGGATCTGCGCCACCGAACAATGCGCAAGCTACATCATCGACGTTGAGGTTCCGGGGCCCGGGAACCCCCATGCCAAGTCATGAGGAAGCGCACCAGGCTGTGCGACAGAGCCTCGAAACAATCCGCCGACAGCTAGAACTGCAAGGTCAAAGGATATCCGCGCTACCTGAGCGTCAGGGAGCCACTGTAACAACATCTGTACACCACAGTTTCGGAACAACCGTGAGAAACCAGTCGCCGTTCCTCGCCATGCCGAACGCATCATCTGCCAACTTGGACAATGCTAGACTGCGTCTGCTGCAGCTCCAGCCTCAGGTCACTTATTTTGAAGACCAACTTAGCCGCGGGATCGCACCTCCGATCGACCAAATCATTCAATTGCGGACGCAATTACTCCAACTTCTCGACGAGCAGTATCGCAAACCTCAATCGGAACGAGATAGTTCCATCGAGCCCCTACTCAGCCGCGTCTTCAACATCTACACCCGAGCAGACCAGCTGCGCGTGATGCAGGCGACGTTGCCGTCGTCACTACAACCCAACCCCACCAACATCTCCGCGGGCGTTGAGTCTTCTCGCGTCACTCGTTATCTTTTATCATCGCCGGATGGATACCAAGGGATCATCACATCCCCAGGGTCACCACAAAGCCTCCAGGCCACAATTGATGCTATCCGCGCCACGCAAGCTTCTCATGCAGCTTTTACACCTAATCACGGACACCACCATCCCGCAGAGGCACACCCCAACCCCAACGCTGTTGTCATGGAAAACGCCGTCCGCCAGGCGGTCTTGAACCAGCAAGCCGGTCCCAACAACGGCGGACTCGGAATTGGCCGAAGCATCCGACGTCTCTGGCTCTTCGTGCGTCTCTATTTCTTCTGCTACATGTTCAGCGAACCCGGCACTTGGACCCGGGTCCTGTTCGTATCACTGGCCGTCCTCGCGGCCTTGCTCTCAGAAACCAGCTACCCACAGCAACTCTACCGGATGCTCGTCGCGCCAGTCCAGCAGCACTTAGAAGGTCTGGTGCATTTTGCCCCTGGCACGGAACCCGCCGCGGGAACCAATAATGCAAACCAGCCCGCAGCAGCAGCCGCCAGAGATGGCGGCCGTGCTGGCCTCGCGGCAGACCTGCGTCACAACCTCCGCAGAGTGGAGCGGTCTCTGGCGCTGTTCATTGCCAGCTTAGTGCCCGGTGTCGGTGAACGGCACGTGGAAGTGCGCAACGCAGCCGAGGCAGCTCGGAATGCGGAGCGCACGCGAGAAGAAGAGGAACGTCGCCGGCGGGAGGAAGAAGCTGCCAACCCAGCGCAGGATCAGCAGCCACAGCAGCAGCAGGAAGACGTCGAGCAAAGAACCGAAGATCGTGACTCTGGTGCTCGGTCTGAACCGGCTCAGCAGAATCTTACCACCGAGCAACCCGCGACTGCCACTACATCGCAAGGAGATGAGGACAGAGCGGTGTAATCACTTGACATTCTTTTTTTCTTATTGTTTCCCTGCCATTCAAAGTGATATCATCTATTGGGTTATTATTGTACATAATTTTTGAGGGTTAGAAGTGAGCGATTGGGATTAGCATAGCACGTTTATGAAATCTGATGTGATATATTTTTTCACTTGGAAATGGAAGCGGATATAGATAACTATATTTCTAAACATGTCTTGAATCTTTATATTCCGATGCTTTGGCACAGAACCACAACCACGATTCACTCTATGTACGTATCTGTATATGCATCTCGCAAACAAAAACAAACCAACTCTATAGTTTCGTCGTCCCCGAAACCCCAACCTCATTCGACGCCGACGTATCCTGACTCGAAGTCGGCAACGCCGATTCAGGCGCCATCGGACCTGTACCAAACGATTCATCGCCATCGAAGTGCCTGAAACAAATTATCATCAGCCCTGTACCATAACCGTGATCTCCTAAAGAAAGTCCAAAAAGCAAGTGCACAAAACTTACCATCCTCTCTCCGCCCCTCCACTCAAGAAACTACAATCCCCATTCGCAACACAATCCCACCCTCCCCCGACGCCCCTTCCACCTTGCCAATCTGGTACTTTGACATCCTCACGAACGACCTGCGTTCCGGGCGCTAATGACCTTGTCGATAGTGCTCCACCATCACCACCAACCTCTGCCCTCCTGCGAACAAAAGTACTCAACCCCGCCGTGAACACATGGAAATCCTCCACCCCAGAATCATCAGGCATATCCCCCGTCAAGACCCTCCCCATGGCAATCAACGGCGCGGCATGCGAGCAGATAAGAAGGGCCTTGCTGGTCCGATCCGCCGGATCCTGGGAGGCTTCTAGGGTTGCGATCTCGGCGTCTGCGGCGGCGATTAGCGCCGAGAGGGTCGTGGCGACGCGGTCGTGGAGTTGAGCGATGGTTTCGCCGCGCGTGGAGGGGTGGAGGATGGGGTTGTAGGTCTGCGTGTGGGGTTCTGGTTCTGTGGCTAGGATGGTAGGGAAGTGGGTTTGGAGGGTCCCTGGGGAGGCGGGGGATGGGTGGTGGAAGAAGGTGGTTGGGCCGAACCATTCCCTATTGATTCTCTGTCAGCGAGGGTGTTGCTTTTCCTTTTCCTTTTCTCGTGTGGCTTTTTCTCGTGTACAAAGGGAGAGAGGATGGAGAACTCACCCAAGACCATTCTCAATCCTAACATCAAACACCGCATGCTCATCAATCCTCCCTTCTCCTTCCACTCCACTCGTCCTTGCCCGCTGCCTCTCCTTCAACGCCTCAACAGACGGCTGAATAGTCTGAAGACACCTATAAAACGGACTCGAGTACACGCGGAACGGCTTCGGGTGAAATGACGGGCTGGACAGATGAGCCGCTAGCTCGTGCGATTGGCGCACGCCGTGGGAGGTGAGGGTCGGGTCGGCTGGGTTGCCGGTTGGGGTACGGAATTGAGAGATGTAGGTCCCTGTTTTGTAGTCGATGGTCCAGTTGAGACGGTGCTGTTGTTATTCCGTCTTGGTTAGTAGATGGATGTATATCTCTGAGTGGGGAGGGACGGGAGGAGAGATATACTAACGCCGTGGCGGGTGAGGTATATTGTGTCGAGGGGCATTCTGAAGAAGACCTTGAGTAGAGAGCAAAGAGAAGGATTAGAATGTCTGGAGACAAGAGAATGGCCGGAAGTAAGTATAGAAGGATGCCGGCTCTTATCAATTGGGGTTTGCGGGGAGAAAGAGACATAAGGGGCAGAATCAGAGGCGGTCAGAAACACCCTCGGCCCAGGTTGACCGCAACCGATGACTCCCCCTGCCGCGGACTCAGCAAATTCTGATTGACATGTAATGACTACAATGACCCTACGATTGGAACCAAAATTGTGATCAGAACTAGGTGACTTGATTTCGACTGAGCGAGATTCACTCAAAACTATCTATGGCGTTTCTGCCAGGGGTAGTAAATCCTAGACTCGCTCGCCTAGACAGGGTTTCCCTTGAGAACATATCCTTGCTCATTTTCCGAGAACCAAGCCTCATCCTAGCACCAATGCACGGGTATTGACATTAACTTTTTTGGAGTTGGTTGTCTAGTAGAAGAAACCGAGGATCTTGCCAGCAACGTGCTTGCGGCGAGCCTCCTCGTGGTCCATGATACCGGCGGAGGTGGTCAGGACGACGAAACCGAACTGACGCGAGGGAAGGAGCTGGACAGCCCACTTCTCGAGGTCACGGAGCTGGACGGGGTAGCGGGGGTTGATGACACCGCACTTGTTGAGACGGCCGTTCAGCTGGATGACGATCTTGCCGGAACGGTGGTCGTCAACCTCCTCGAACTCGCCAATGTAGCCTGAAAAAAAGATCAAGAGTCAGTGGGATGTAGCGAAGATTTAAAAGTTGCCAAACATAAACAAAAAAGGCCCGGAAACATGTAAGATCTCCGCCATGCTTCGAAAAACATGACTTAATTTATCGGTTACTTAAAGGGCGGACGTCGTGGAGTGGGTTAAGATCGAAATCGCCGCCTAGTTATCAAACCGAGTGCTTTGCAGCGATACAAAAAATGGAAAACATGGCAGAGATCGAACAGAATCCAAGCAGAAAAACCAAAGTAAAGTCATCACATACCGTGCTTCTGCATGACGCTCAGGAACTTGACGATGACCTTGGAGCTGGGGCGGACCAGAACCTGGCGCTTGCCAGCCTTCTCGGCATTGTTGATAGCGTTAAGCGTATCGTTGAGGACGGAAGTCTTGACCATTTTGACGTTTGGCTGATCGAGATTCTCAGATCAAAGTGTTTATAAAATCACGAAATGAGGTATCTAAAAAAATATTCTCGAACCCATTCCTCGAAATCCCCACCGAATCGAGTCGGCGGATAGCGAGGAATTCGGGGTTCCGGAAAAGTCAGCCACCAGTAGTCTTCGAGCGCAAAGAGTGCCCCCTTTTGAGTCCATCAAGGGTTCTTCAGCTCGTGCCGTGGGAGAGATGCGTATCACCCGGTCGCTTTCGGCCTGCCCATCGAAAAACTCTTTTTCATGTCATCATTGCCAAACCGAAAGTCGCCCGAGTGATTGCTCTCCCCAGACTAGCTGAGAGACTGCGAAGGGGGTGTAGAATGTATATAAAACATACCTCGAGGGTCGTACCGACAAGGCTGGTGAGAAGCGGATGGAGTGGACAGGAAGCAAAAGCTCGGCCGGCGTGAAAAGTTGGTGAGGCTTCGGCAGATGTGCGCGCTTAGGGTTACCCACCCCGTACCCTTATCGGGTCACGTGTTGATTGAGGCTGCTCAATGGCCTGAGGCATCACTATCATTGTGCGCTTAACCGCATTTGGGCTCCCTGACGGTCTGCCTACGGACCGACCCAGCCAAAGTTCTTGACCGGATTACTCGTATCTACTTGTTCCAATTTCATTATTCTCTCTATACAAGGTTTTGTGGATCACAGATGGGGTTATACGTGGTAGGATGGATCAGAAAATTTCATGGCAGTGTTTCTTCAGAGGCATTACATGACTTCAGGGCATACATGAGTTTTGAAGGGATAAGAAAGGGCTATAACGATCTTTGTCTAATTAAAATGGACGTGAGTGGGCAAAAAAGAAATGGGCCGGTGCAATGACACAATAGGTGCTAGTAATAGTAGGGAGAAGAAATGAAATGAAAACGAATAGAAGGGCGAAAAGAAGAAAAAGAAAAGAAAATGTGCCAATGAAAATGTAACAGCATGCATCCGGGAGTCATGATGGGGAGATGGGTCCCGCAGGCAAAGGTATGTCCACGAGGTCGAAAGAAGGGGTGTGAAGGGAAATGAGGGGGTTAAGGGGAGGGGTTAGGACTGTGTTGGAAGGGGGGAAACGGGGAGAATGGAAGGGAGAGCAAGGGGAACAGGCATGGCAGTAAGTGGCGTGAAGGTTGAGGCGACCAAGTCGTACAAAGAGAGGACGAGTAACCAGTCTTGTGACGCTAAAAACCGCGCAGGCTTGGTTGGCTCGAAAATTGGCAGCGACCAAACAGTGGCATAACGCTGAGGTTTCCCACCAAGGGTACTGATTTCACTCCAAAACAATGGGGTAGGGTCTCAGAAGTCACGGCGCCTCTTCCCTGGGTGCACCAACGAAAAAGGACCGGTGCCTGGGGTCCAAGGGGCGATGTGATCTCGTGAGGAGAGATCGATGACTGGTCAGCTAATGACTGTTCACTTAAGCCATAGAAGCCGCCGACAGGCCCACTTGGCGCTTGACCTGCTCACGAGTCCACCGGGCAGTTTCGAGGGTACGCGAACCGAAATCCTTGTTCCTTCTGGTCTCGGTGACAAGGCCGTTGATCCAGTCGTTGCGGAAGAAAGCGGCGAATTCACCGTTGGGGAATGCATCGGCAAGATCACTGGATAAGATATTAGCAAGACCAAACTTGTAGACTGATGACTCTCGGATAGGAAACATACCCAATGACACCCATAGACGCTCTCATGAGACCTTCACTACGACCGGAATCTTGAGAGATCAAGTGGAGCAGCTGGAAGATGGTCTCGACGTAAGGCTGGAGTTGAGAGACTGTAATAACATTAGCACATGTACAAGGCGACATTTCTAATAACCTCTTACCTTCAGCGGTGCCCTTGTAGGAGAGCAAGATACCGCCCCAAGCATCCATAATGCCCTCACGGAGGGAGACAACATAGTCAAGCATCTCGATGTTGACATCAGGGCTGGTAGTCACTTGCGAAGCTTGGTTGAGGACCTGAGCAACGGTAGGCAGGTATTTGGTGAAGTTGGTTCCAATTGCCTGGGCAATATCGCCAAAAGTCTCCAGGATGGCAGGCTTCAGCTGGTTGGTGGAAGTCTGCAGCGGAGATTAACAAATATTCATTCATGCTCCGGTAGTGATGAACATTAGACTTACGCTCAGGTTCTCAAGCAAGTAGTTCATGAATGTGTCGCAGAAGGGCTGAACCTTGTCGTTCAGAGCACGAGCAATGTCGCTAACCAGGCCAATGGCCATGGCGCAGAGAGCGGGCTCCTCCTTGTTGCCGAGGGCGTTGTAGAGGAACGGGACGAACGACTCCATGTATTTGACGAAATCGTCTTCCAAAGCACTGGCAAGAGCACCCACCGTGGCGAAGACAACGTCGGGCACGCTGGACTTAGGGGGAACGGTGTTCAGGACCTGAATCGCCACGGTCATGATATGGTCAGCCTGGGGCTTGATTTCGGTCTCAAGACGCTGGACGATAGCCTGGTTTTTTGTTAGCAAGGATATCATAGTATCTCGTCAAGCGCGATACTTACCAGAAGGACACTGGTCAAGCTGGTCTGCATCTCCTCCATGGTAATGCGATCTTCAACGCTAACAACCTGTTGTTGCATAGAAACGGTGTGCTGCAGTCTCTGAATGATGACATCGGAGAGGTTGGCAACCATGGGAAGGCTGTCATTGGCAGCATTGCCGACGAAGGAGTTCAACACTTCGTATCCAGCGGTGCGGAGCTGATTGTCTGCATCTTGCCTGCTTGGTATTAGATATGGCTGCCATGAGAAAAAGGAGAAGCATCATCGAGATGTAAAGAGATTGAGCTGGGTGAAGGGAAATCGAGTCTCAACTTACCGCTCGGTCAAGGTAAGGAGCGATTTAACGCTTTCCTGGAAATGCTTCGACAGAGGGTTCGTCTGGGCGCCGAGGTCACCGGCAAAACGGTCGGCAACGTTCATCAAAGCCCAGCAGCACGAGCTGGCGATCTTAGGGGTACTAGCGAGGCCGTTGAAGAGGCACGAAATAAGGGGTTGTAAATGCACGTCAGGGTCTAGAGTCTCAGAGCAAAAGTCGCAAACGCGACCAAGGGCATAGGCGGCCGAATCGCGGACCTGGATCGAGCTGTCCTCCATCATGCCAACGAGGACGCCCAGGGCCTGCTTAATAAGGGGTTCGAGGATCTTGGGGTCGGGACCATCCATGATGGCGCCAAAGGCAGCCACGGCGGCATCCCGATGCCGCCAGTCCTCGTGGCGAATGTTCTGTTCAACGAATTCGAGCACAGGTGCGATGACATCGCCCTGGATGCACTGAGCGTAGAGCTGCAGGGCCTGGTAGGCAGCGCGAGCAACGTTGTACTCGTCGTCCGTAGAGTCCTCGTCCTGTTTGCACATAGCCTGCAGAATGACGGGAACGACCTCGCGGCAAGCCACGCGAGCAAAACCAAAGAAGGGGCGCATCTCAGCAATACCCTCATCCTGGGCCTATATTTCGAAGCACAGATAAGTCAGCAACATGCATAAACGAGAGAATTTCGAGAATGGGCAAACAAACCGCAGCGTTGTCGTCTTCAATAGCAATTTCCTCCTCACAAACGGTGCACCAGAACTCGATAGCAAGCTTAGCAACGTCTTCCTCTTCACTCTTCATGCCCATGACGCTCAGTCCGAAGAGAGCCTTCTCCATGTAGAAGCGCATCTTCTCATAGTACAATCCCATGATACGGTTCAAGCAGCCGAATGCGCCCGCCTGGATGCGGAGATCCTCAGCCTGCGTAGCCTCGCAGACAACCTGCATGATGTAATTCCGTTCGCCTTCGTTGTCCATGTTCACGCGCACAAAATCCACGGAATCACTGAGGGCCTTGATGGCAGCATAGCGGATGTCCAGGTTGGTCTCTTCACGGCGGGCGCCCTGGACCACGGCGGTCAAGATGGCGTTAGAGTGGGCGGCCAAGCTCTCGCGAAGCTCGATGTCCTGGGACTCGCAGATGAAACCGATCGTGACCAGCGAGGCCTGCTTCAGTTGGTCAGAGCCGCTAGCGACGTTCTGAACCAGGATGTTCATAAGTTCCGGCCATTGGTTCTGAGGAAGTTCGATGGCGGCGATCGAGACGATGAACTGAGCGGCGGACTGGCCAGCCCGGCCATCTTTCGATTCAAGCGTCTTCAACGCAAGCTCCTTGACCTGGCGCTTGATATCGGGGTTGATCTGGTTAATCCATTTGTTCTGCACCTCACGTAGTCGAGCAAGATCTCTAAACGTGAAAGAGTTCTTCAACGCAAGACCGGCGGCCGTTCTGATGTGGGACGCAGTGTTTTCGTTTGCCAGTTCCTGGCCGAGAGCGACGAGATATTGAGCCTAAAAAGTGAGAAAACCAGTTAATGATTAGCATGTCGCATTCCGGGCGCCCTGCAAGGAGGCGCATGCGTTGAAGCAGAGGTGAGGTGAGAACATACGAAGTCAACCTCCGCCGCATGGAGGAGCTGCTGCTCAGCGTTGGCACGTGCCGTCGCATCTGTAAATCACGACAAAAATATCCCGTCAGCGATCCGATCGATAAGGATGATTATTCTACGAGCAACAGGGAACAAGGAGGGGCCATCGCAGTACCTGGCGACAAAGTGCTCTCCAACACCTGGGTGACGTTCATTTTGCCTGAAGCGGAAATCCGTCCACTGTCACTAGCGAAATGACGGGCGAAAAAGTGGAAAAGAAAAAGACAGGAAAAAGAAAAAGAGCAGCTCGGACGTAACTAAAACCGAGCAAGCAGATGATAATGAAGAAGTCCCCCACCCAAAAAAAAAAAGAGAGTCAGTGTGGGATTATTTCGAGGTGTTGAGACGGAAGGTTGTTTTTGTGGATATATGACGAGGCATGCACCAGGTCTTTTCCGGGGGTAGCACAAGAGGGAGAAATAGGCGGTGGTGGTGCACGCCCGAGCAAGGAGAACAAGGAGAAAATTAAGCCCAGAGTCTGGCGTTCAGAGAAGCGGAGGGAGGGAGGGGAAGGTAAGTGTCGAGTCTGCTGCGAACGCAGGATTTAAAGCAGAGATCGAAGAGGAAGAATCCAGACGGAAGGGGGGGGGGAAGTGCAGAGAAGGGAAGGAAGAAGAAAGGGAAGAAGAGAGAAAGAAAAGCAAAGGCAATAATACCGTCAGGGCGATTCCTTCACAGCAGAACGAAGAATGAGACCGAACGCAGGTAGGGCGCTCTCGCCGCCTGAGGCACCCCTTCTGCCGGCGGAGCCGTGTCTTTGTGCGGTCGCTGATTGGGTGATGGAACCCCATTAGTCACGCATCACGTGACGTCACCGGGTCAGGCCGGCCCAAAACAGAAGGGTCGACCAGCAGCAAATAATCGCAGGATCACTCACGCCCAGCAGATCGCCCGGGTTTTCTATCTATCATATTGACTAGGGATGTACCACTGGAAGCGATCCGGGATGGCGTCCACCTACATGCAGCATCTGGTAGCTAGTTACCTACCAGGCCACAGGTGGATCTGCTGCAATCGACCTCCACACACCTCAGGCAGACTCAGGCATCCAGGCAGCCCCCCTCCCGTATTTGTGACGCCCGTCATTACGGCATGTTTTGCCCCTCTTTGCCCGTTGCCGTCCGCTTCTGCTTGTTTTGATTTTGCTGCTTGAAGAAGCTGTCCACCGCCCACTTTCTGTGGCCCCGGTGACCAGGGCGTCAACCCCATCGCACAATCAATTATTTGCCCCCCCTTGGGCCCGCTGCTGCGTTTCAAAGCTTTCCGTTGCCCTAAGTTCTTTAACGTCCAAATAAATAAACAAAGCGCAATGTGAAAATCCCCATTAACAAAGGCTACCTAGAGTAGACTAATGCGGTAAACTCAATCGAATGTCGTACCGTCATTGTAACTTAATGCACTCGCGAGTCATGATTACCTAATACACTCGGTCTCCAGTGGCAAATCACCCTGCAGGCTCAAACCAGGGCTGACGATCTCTGCCGTAGGCCGATCTCTGTTTCAAAGCCCTTTCGCCGACAATGCAAACTATGAAACAAAGGGAGACGCGGTACGGAGGACTAGACGTTTGGCATTCCCGCCACCGCCACGGAGTCTGGAATCGCTGTGTGCTGGCCGACTCTAACCGGATGGCAGAGACAGGCAGCTTCAATCACTTCCAGCCTCGCCGTCCTCGTTGTCTTCTTCCTCCTCGATCATTTCGGCGTCCAGGTCTAGGACCTCATATCGTAAACCGTCATTGTACAGCACGCAGACGGCCCGTCTGCCGGACCGTCCGTTGGTGTCGATTCTGCTGGGTTTGGCCTTGGGCCCGGACACGGAAAACGCATGTTTAACGAGGTCGGCCGAAGGAGATTCCAGAGTAACAAGGTCCAGTGCTATCGTACTTCCGGCACGCTGGGGAGAGAGCGGTTGTCCGTGGTATTCGTGGAATTCGATGAAAAGAGGCGACGCTGAACTGGAAGCCGCGTCTGCTGTTCCCGGCGGTATGGGCTGGAAAGCGAAATTCAGAAGAGAAGAATATCCTCCTGTAGAGAAGCGTTAGCAGAAATTCGTAGCCTGGACCACATTAGTTGAATGGCAGGTGTAGCATACGACTGTCCGCCCAAAGGACCATGAGCGTGTTATCCTCCACGAACTCGACCTGTCGGATCTGTCCCTCCTGCAGGTCGATGGTTCCTATCGAAATGTTCCGTGTAGAACTGACCCCATTTGCAGAATCAAGTACCAGGCGGTACATATACACTTAGGCACAGTCAATAAGTATTCTTCGGTGAATGTCTTCGGAATGGTGCTGTCACTCACTGAGGTGCTTGGACTTGATTGATCTGGTTGCCACATAGATCACACATAGACTCTGGTTGTCGATATCCTAGACGAGTAGTGAGCGACGGTGTTCAGTACACAAGGGTGATGTCCCTACCTCGTAGCGCATTGTAATGTCAATGACATTCTGGTCGCAATCGGGATCGAGAGAAAGGGGCGATCGATGAAGAATTCCCCTGCGTTGCGTCAACGCAATTTGTCCAAAGACCTTGTCAAATTGCACCTTTAGGCGTTTCGTCAGATCATTGATCTTGGGCAGCTTCGCCGTGTCAACGTCACCAGGGTTCTGGTTTTGCTGCTCAAGTAGCTTCTTGAACGTGTCGTAAAAGGACCGGTCATGACCAGTCGGTGCCCATTTATCGGAGGCGGAAGACGTCGGTCTCGGCATCCCCATCATCGGCAGCTGCTGGATATAATGGCGGAGTGTGCTCCTAGTGAGAGCTCCTCTGATGTACTTGAGGGTTTGTGGATACTCAATCATGTCGGTCTTTTCCATGAGCTCTTCAAGCGTTTGTGACATAGGCTCGGCAGCTTGCATGTCTATCTCATGACGAAGCCACTTGGAGAAAGACTCAAATTGGCACATTTCATCGTTGCTGTGTATCAGGATATGGTGAGATAGCAATTGAAGGCAGTCCATCGTCTCGACAATTGCATTGAGATCAGACGTCTCAAGACCCAGAACTTCGCTTAGTTTGTGGAATTTTGAAAGCCCAATAAGTCGACTGAGCAACACTTGGCAACGCTCCAATGCCGGAAGAAGACACTCGTGGATCAAGCGTCGCACATTCTCGTAACCGCCTGCGACTGCCTTCTCCCACCGTTTATGTCCCTGTGAGATCTGGTTAGTATGAAAAGAACCACCACGATCGATAGCTTAGGGTGCAGATGGGATGTGTACTCGTTCTCCAACAATATCGACCAAAAATTCCTTGAGAGGCGCAAAACAGTCCCCGGTTACCACTAGATGATAAGCGGCCGTGACAAAATCGCAATGGCACTTTTCCTGCAGATCTTCGTTGACGCTTCGCATGTATCGCGCTGGCAGCTCCTGGGCATTTTTCCACTCGAGCTCAATTTGCCTCTGCACTTGGCCAATGTAGCGGAGCAAATTTTGAAGCTGCGTCGTTTTGTACGCCAGAAGGGAGAGATATCTCCCAGATCGTGTAATGAATCGAAGATCCAAAGTGATTAGATGCAAAGAGCTCGCGGCATCCTCTGCGGGAGGAGTCGAAGCTAACAGTGCATGTGTCGAACACAGCGGATGCGATGCATGTTTGAAGATTTGGCACGAGGTCGAATTCTCAACAGATGCCCCAACCTCAAAAGAGCCAATTTCAAAGCAATCAAAGATACGCAGATGGACTGTGCCATTATCGGACCCGACAAGCAGAACATCTACCGCATCACTGCTATTTTTGGCAGCGGAGTGGAACATGGCATCAAGAGATGATCTAGAGCTGAAGACATCGTCACTGTAACCAAATTAGAAACCGTCGACCGGTAAGCCAGCATCATGAAAATCACTTACTCGCCACCCGTAGCTGGTAGAGTGCTGAGCTTCGGTAGAGAAGTTTCAATGTCCAGCAATGCGAGCTCCCTCGGTAAGTCCGCCCTCAGCACGGCAGCCGCTTTTGAGGGATGGACGTTAGGAGTGAGCAAATCCTCAATGGTGATATGCCCAGCGGCCTCTTGTAGGTTCCTCTGTGCTGACTTGCTGTCGGTGAAATTCACTCCCCATCCCAGACAGGTGACCTTGATAGGCTGAGCGGAATCCCCAGGGGCTTGATATGCAGGGTAGTGGTGGACAGTTTTACCACTGTAAGAGCTGATGACGCGAATGGTATTATCCGCGCACGCAACAGCAAGCAAGTATCCTAAACCCGAGTCAATTCCATCCATAAACAAGTATGTTTAGATAAACTGTCCCAGAAAGAACCGGCAACGCCCAATTGACGAACCGCAGCAACATACCATTGTTTTTCCACGTCAAGGCTCGAATCTCACCACGGCCATCATCTTCATCCAAATACGGGTCCCCTTTAAACGATCCCCCCAAGACCTTTTGCCCATTGAGACGGAAGACACTTAATTCGTCGTCTTCAGTCACCAAGGCAATGAGGTCCATCGTGGGACAGTAGGTCAACGTGCCTGGCTTGCATTTTGCGGGCAATAACTTCTCCCCGACAGGAGGGAGCTGCAGCTCAGGGCGCAGAGCTTGAGGCTGAGAACCATCTTCAGCCATGTCTTACAGCTCGTCTTTAGTCCATTCTTTGCTGATTAGATGGAGATGGTGGACATGGGTAATTTACCTGGGCTTGTGTTTCTGACTTCCTGGTCTGGGCCCAAGAGGGAAAGATGGGGATGGTCGGGATTCTTGGCGCGCGGGTTGTTTGTGGCCGTGTTTGTCCCGATGTGAGTCCTCAACAATCAGGCCGGCAACTTGCTCTGCTATCACCACACCAAAGGAGTTCTTGAAAGCAGCGATTCTGATGGTCGATCAATTAATCAAATAGAATCTAACGAATATATCGAGCTCTTGATTGGAAACAAAAAGGACAAAAAGGAGAATTATTGAAAATGTGGGACGTTAATTTCATTTCTAAGCTACATCGTGGATTTCTATCGGAATGATAGATACTATGTATAAATGACAGCCAGCGCATTGTCCAGTAAGAACCTTAGATATCCCCCGTACTTCCAGACTGAATCATATTCTTCAAATAACTCAGTTCATCAATCATTTCTTGCATTGTTGCAGACTGGCTGGCAACGGTCGCTCGTCTGGAGCCGCGGTGACTATTCTCAGCCGTAGCCGGGCGCCCATCGATCATTGAAAACATGTCAGTTTTCACCGCGTCAGAGAAGTTGACCGTGCCGGCCTCGGGGCTTTTGGCAATCCCTAGAGCTTCGACCGGGTCCATTCCACCAAAAAAGGCGGCATGTCGTTTGGGGTTGGTTTCCACATGATCATCGTCGTGAATACACAGGCCAGAAACATCAAGATCGGATGGAGACAAGGTGATGGTCAAGCGAGGTGGGGGCAGATCGAAGCGGGGAGAATCGCCACCGAGGGTGGTAGGCGAGGGCTTGGAAGCCACGGTCAAGTGGGGGGTGTCGGGATCGCTGGTTTCGTTGACCGTGCAGTGGTCGACGAGGTCCGGAACTTCCAGTCGGTCAATGATAGAGGGCGTCTGAGAGTCATTATTGAATGTTAAAGAAGATGTCATTGACTCAGGAGAGACCAATTCCGTGTCCGTACTCCATTCGGAAAAGCGGCTTTGTTCGCACGGGGAGTCGATGGAATCCTCCGTTGCACTGAAATCCGAGAAGTGACTTTCGAAATTCTCGGTATCCAGTGCCCTTTCCCGGTCATCAAGGTCGCGCAGTGCCTCGTCCATGACCGACGACGGTGTATTGGGCAGCGTTGGGAGCCTCTTTTCCTTGAATGTGAACGGAGTCGGTGTTGTAGCGTCGAGCTCCGCTGGCATTGCAACGGTCGCAGTCCCTAGGTAAGGACAGGAGCTCACAGAAGACCCCTGGGCGGTACGAGAATGTCTCCTGGGGCTGCGTTGGCCGCGAGGAGTCGCGGACCCCGGATTCGTTTGTAAAGTGAGAGGAATTCTGCGCGGTGTTTGCTCGTTATATGTGGGGTTCATGGCGCGCCGTTCTTGAATTGAGAAGGGCGCGCCGTCATGAGATTCAGCCGGAGCAGGTATCCAGGGGTCGTTTGCCATGCAGTGACGAGATATTTCGGTTTCATACATGGGCTGCTTCCAGCCTCCACGCGAACGAGGTCTATACAAGTCCTCATAGCCCTCACTATGCGACGACGCATGTTCACGAGCTCCAAAGCCGGGCATATTGCCTGTGCTTTGATCAGTGGGGACGCTCAACTCGGGCGAGGATGCATTCCAATGTCGGAAGGCAGCTCGCAGACCTCGAGATCTTGGAGGAGATACAGATCGGGCAGCTTTGCAATTCTGTTTTCGAGCATTGGATGTGGCACTACCGGGTTGAGAGGATGTCTTGTGAGTAACAATGCCCAGGGGGGAGGCGTTGAAAGACCAAGCGGGAGTCGGTTGCTGTAAAAGTGGAGGCGACGTCCGAAGGCGAGGAAGTTTGGGCTTGGGAGGGCGCCGAGGATTCATATACTTGTCCTCGGGGTTCATAGTTCGCTGGTCAGACTTGTTGGAGCTACAGCTTCTCTCACGAGTGTGAGTCGGAATTGTGTCCGGCAGGATGATGGGAACGTGAAGGACATTGACCGGTTGACCGGGAAGGAAAGGACACTGCGATGTCACAGGCTCTGCCTCGTTGTAATATTCCACGTCGTCATCGAGCAAGTACTGTTCTCAGTTAGAAACAGGATGGCACGGGTCGGAGAGAGGGTACGAACATAATACCAGTAGGTGCCTCCCATTTTGAGCCCACCGGAGCGTGCGGGACCGATGTTAGTTGGAGACCCATCGCATATGATATCGGTGAATGTGTGGCAGCCCCTCCAGTGGCCTGAGCCGATGCGTCTGTCCCTCTCCATATAATAGGGCTTGGAGAAATTATCCCATGAGCCTAAGAGCTTGACGGATTTGATATGAGGGCTGAGGACACTGAAGGTAAAAGAACATCAGTAAACATATCAGAGCCAATTGTAAGCATAAGACTCACAGCAGAAACGTCATCAAAGTGGTCGAAGACATGATGGCACTGTGATGTATTTTCTCGCGGTTGAATAGGACAAGGAAGTATTAATATAAGTATAAGAAAGCACTTCTGGCGCTAAAATGTAGCAGCAAAGGAAGACTTGATGATAAGAGGGGTGGCCAAAGCTGTGGCTATATAATAGAAGGTAAGGAGCGGGAGTAAGGAACGTTGCCCAAGAACCAGCCTGGACAGAAATAGATCTTTGGGATATTAGGGAGCGCCTGAGAGCCTCAGAGCCTCGTCGAGTATTCTTCAAATAGTACGGACAAAAGACAAAGAGTCAACGGCTATGCGTGGCGGCAAGAAGAGTCGGGAGATATAACGGATTTTGTGGCCGGGAGACTCGAGCTAATCACAGATCCATAACACGTCGGAAAGAATCTGAGACCAACAGTCGCCGGGACTCCTGGAGATCAGTGATTCAGTAGACGCAGCGGCACAGAGGTTAAATTTGGATATCCCCGAGTCGAAGATGCTAAGAAAGACCGAGAGCCAATGAGGCGGCGCGATAGCAGGTCAGAAGCGCTGACAAGGCGGATAGACGGGGTCGAGAACAATGGCAAGACAAGTGGAGGAACCTCAGCGCTTGCTGCAGTTGTTGGACGTTTCGAGATGGGCCTCTTATATGATTGCACACGTGGGATAGGCTTGGGCGCGAAGGAGTTTGAAGTGAGCAGCGCAGTAAGAGGGAGGACAGGAATAAAGTTCGGAGAGATTGAAAACTCGCTATGCCACTGCGAGAGACGGAATTTATTAAAATCCAAACGGATTGAGGGAAGGAAAAGAAAATTAAATTAAATCGAGAGATAAAATAAAATAAGAAGCGTTAGGATCAATGACGGTTGATCAATTGAAATGATAGACAACCCCAGCAGCGCGCTTAGAAGAAACCCACAGGGAAATGCAATCACCACGTCACGACGGGGAGCAGGTTATCCCTGCAGGTCAGGGAAGAAGGTCGGAGTTTCATCGCATCGGCCGGCACTAGTGGGCAAAAAAAAGAGCGAAGACGCGATCCGATCCAAGCATGGTTCCTAGGAACCAGGAGATTTGATCAACCATTGAGCGGAGCCGGAGCTGAGGAAGAGCTGATCGTTCCTGGCGAACCAAAGTAGTCGGCGGGACTAATGTACCGCAGTGGAGTCTGAATGAGAAAAAAAAAGTTGATGGATCAGAATCACAGCCAGCCATGCAGGTTTTGCAGCCAATCCGAGGGTTCAGACACCATTCGGCGACGCCGTTGCTGGGTGGAAATTGCCTGCTGCCAGGATAATAAACAATCACAATCCTCTCAGGTACGGAGTAATCTCAGTGCCTTCAACCTTGCTCTCTCGTTCAGAATCAGAATCTCCGGCCTCGTGTCGACATGCAGCGGACATCAAGAAAGACGATCTCGGGCTAATTAAGATAAACGAGAAACCGGCAAACACTATTAAGACCTGGTGCCAATTTTAGTTAGTGGTTTCCATCGTGCGAGCGAACATCTCCGTCGTGAGGTGGAATTTAGAGGATTAAAATCCCCGCCGATCCCACCAGAGTTTCCTACTCTGGAATAGGGACACTCCTGCCACGTGAGAGACACGTGCTGTTGACTCGCTATTGCACTTTTCTCAGGCATCAAGAATTCCTCTGTACTCCGTAGTCTCTGTTGTTTGTACTCCGTCCCTCGAAAGCGATTGTTTTATCATCCACGTCTCCTCGAGTCCAGACTGCCCAGAGTCCAGAGTTCAAACACTGCATGGATGGCAGCCAGCCAGCCAGCCAGCCATGATTTGTCAATCTTCCATGTCGTTCCACCCCTAGCGGTCCAATATCACACGGGGCTAGTACGACCCCACGGACCAAGGCGCGTCTATAGACCAGTCAGCTAACTAATTGCGACGAAATTACTCCATAGGGGGGGTACGGGCAAATCATCGCTGCCATCACCACCACACGTCGATTAATCCTGGCATCTTTCTGCTGCGGCTGACCCTTGCCTGGCGCTGCTGGCCTGCCGGGCAACCACAGCAAATGGTCGCCGATCGAGGTCCTTGACAGGAGGCTTTTTAGTGTTTACAGTTCTACTCACACCCGGTACGCCGGTCAAGGTTTGGTTGGATGGTTGCTTTTGGTCGTTAGCGCCAGGATTTTCCTACCAATCCCTTGGTTCCTGGCCTTCCTAGCCTCGCTCTCCTTTTCCCGACTTGTCGATCGGTAAATAAACTTCGGTCACTGACCTGGCGGTGAACACAACTTCAGGGGATGCGATAACGATGTCTTTCGTGATTTCACCGCGATGGGTGCTACTCGATAAGGCTACAAAAATCAGGGGTGGAATGACAGAAAAAAACTGGGTTGAAGGAAGTCCGACTAGTCAACCGTCGCTATATTAATGAGCAAATCAAACGCGTCACATCCCTGCCGAATCCCTGTCCGGAACCCTCGGCGGCAACCACGGCGCCTGCTGCGACAAGACTAGTTTGGCCTGCAACAGCCCTGAGCGTCGCCATTAATCTTAAATATCACAACGCCTTCTTGCCTCGACTCCAGACACCTGGGCTTAGCACGCCATATTGCCTCCAATTGAAACCAGTCCCGAAAAACCGACACCTGAGACCAACTCCGAAACACTTTCAGGAGATGACAGAAAAGACACAATGCAAAAATAGAAACATGTCAAGCCAAACGAGGAAAAGAGTTCACCGAACGTTGTCGGATTTGTCGTACTTTCGATTCACGGCGCCGAGGACACATTTCAGAATCCCTTTCGCACTCAGGGTCTGGCCAGACTTGCCCTTCCAGGGGACGGTATCGACGATGTCACGGAGGTGCTCCTGCTGCGCTCTCTTGCCCAATTCATCGTCCAACTCCTGCAGATAAGCGCGGGCTGCGGTGTCGTTCCCGATTTGGAAGAACTGGACGCCGACCTGCCACGGCACCGCCCGACAGTCGTCGAGGCGCTTGGCAACGTCCACCAGGATACTCTCCGCATCGTCCGTGAACGCGCCGTCTGTGATCGCGATGATATTGAGCGGCTTCACCGGCTCTGCAGAGACTCCTGGACCGTAACTTCCTTCCATCATCTCGACACGGCGTATATATGGGCGCAGAATATCGTTCAATCGCTTTCCAAAGGGCGTCGGACCCCACGGCTCAACGCAGTTGAAGATTTCACGCACGTCGTCAGCAGTGGTTATATTGAGGTATGCACCGCCAGTGGCCCTCGTCGCCTCGCGACGGTGATTCAGGAAGTAAACGTCGATGCCATCCTGGTCGTAGCGCGTACAGATGGGTGCGATGGCGGCGATGGCGTTTTCAGCCTCCTTCCAGCGGCTTCCACGCATACTGCTACTGTCATCCACCACGAATATGGTATCGAACTCTCCTAGAAACGAATAGGCCGAGTCGTCAGGTCGCGATGGCGCTGCTGCCTTTCCCGAGGGTTGAGGCGTGGTGTGCGGCTCATACGGTGGAGGGGCCCAGAGATCGGGGGTAACGCTCGATATCGGTCCAGAAATCCCTCGATTTCGGGGCCCGGGTTGAACGCCTCGAGTGGATGCGAATCCGGTGGATTTCGAGTGACGATGGCCCATGACGGTTTGTCTGTCGATGAAATGGATAGTTTGTTTGAAGTGAGGTCGTAGGTGTTTACCCGTAGGCAACAAGTAGTTGCTTGGTTGGGTTGCGGAAGTATGAGACAATCGATACGTAGTCACTGTCTTAGGTTGTTTGCAGAAGAACCCAAAACAGGCAGGTAGGCAGGTAGACCGATAGACAGAAAGACAACAATCCACCTTCCTTAAATCACAGGGCAAAAGGAAGAAGTCGAACAGAAAAAACGAATGATGCAACAGTGACAAAGACAAGGTGAATTCCAAGCCACCCATATCCCCGGAACATACCGTGGCCTAACATATATACTTCGTGACATACGGGCAAACGCATCCGCAAACTACCTACGGTAGTTTAATCCAAGGCAGAAACAAGGCATACAAATCCGATCACTCGGAGGATTAAATCTACCGACTTACTAGTAACATAGTTAGTTAGTTAGTTAGTTAGTTAGTTAGCTAGCTCTTTACTCTAAGCTAAGTGTAAACTTACTCTTCGAGAATCCAGAATGTAAGCCCACAGCCCTACAGTACCTTGGTTGACTCATACACCGTACATGCATAAGGCTGATTTAGTACGGAGTATTATATACCTACCCAGCCTAGTCGTTTTATTCACCTAAACTAAGTCCTACAGGTAGCTATAGCTAGGTAGGTATGTACAGTATCCAGACCCCAGGCAGACTACAGTAAATAAGAAACTCCCTGCAAGATTCCCACGAGCAAACGGAAAAGCATGGAGAGACCCTACCTACCTTACCTGCCTGCCTACACAGCCACAATAGAAAAAAAAGCCCCTCACCCCACAACCTACAGGTATGGAGTATGGACAATTATGATTGAACAGCGGAAAGGAAAGCCGGGACGCTCAACCCGATAAGGCTGTGCCGCACCGGGCGACTTAGCCAGGCGCAGCAGCAAACAAGGGGGACTTTCTCGGTTGGCCCTGCCCGTGCACAGCCTTGTTCTACATCTCTTCTTTTCCGGATAGTTAGGTAACTACTGACTTAACACACATATTAACAGTACTGCTCTTGCTCAACTGGGGAAGGCATGTTGTTTAGATTTAGTCTGATCTATACTATCTTCTTTCTAGAAAAGAGAAAAGCAATGGAGTTTCTAGTGATGTTCGCTCTTCACCACTGTGCACCCTGAACCACCATCCCGCAAAAGCAAAGAAACTTGACCCGGTGTTAGTAATTTTTATCGTCACACAAGAAGTGTCAATGTAACCCAGATCTGACTGGCAAGTTTCACAAGCAAGGGATAAAAAAAGGAGAAAGAAAGCAAAGGTATCATTCGCGAGATTCGCCACACAGACAAGAATATACACAATAAAACTAGAATCATGAGACCCAGAAACATATACAAAAGAATCCAAAAATCACAATCAAGGACCCCAGGTCCCTGTCAGAACCTTATTCCCCTCGGTAGTTCCGCCCGACTCGCGAAAGAAAACCCCGTCTTCGCCGACCTGGACGCCGTCGAACACGCCGGTTTCGGTTTCCAGAACATCGATGAGAAGAAGAGCTTGGTCGATGCCCATGCTGTGTCCGATCACATACAGACAATCTATGACCCAGTTACGTAGAGGATGGTGTTTGCTCTCGGTGGCTCCGGCCAGGATCAACGGCCAGAGGAGGATTAAGCCGCCGATGTAGCTCTGGCCCAAGGGGACGCTGCCGAGAGGCTTTGTGGCCACGTTGCCAACACCGAAATGGAAGGGGACGCTGCAGCAGATATCCATGGCCAACTGGCGGGTGGTATTGCGCAGGCGGCCGCAATGGCTTTGGAGTTCGCTCGACACCGCCGCTGCCTTCGAGTTGATGGCGATTCGGCGGAGACAGCCGAGGATGATCTCGCTTACGATGATCCGGGTGCACCGGTATTGGTTCCAGGTATGACAGAGCCAGAGGTCATGGTAGATGTGATAGCGCCCGCCGTACGGGGCGGGACCGCTGCCTATCTTCTGGGCCAACAGATCGGGGTTTGGGTCCTCGATACTCGTGTAGAGAAATTCGGGCGGAAGAGCGGCAATCCAGGCCATCAGTTCCGCCTCAATAGTATACGCTGTGGATAGGATCTCCTTTTGGTCCGTCAAGATCTTGGCGTTGATATCTGCCCGGAGATTGGACAGTCGGCCAGCAATGCTGATTAGGCGATCGCCGTATGCCTCTGCCTGTGGGCGTAAGAACATGGCGAGTTTTGAGCATTCGAGCACCGGCTGGGGCACGCGAGCGCCCTTCTGTAAGCAACTGATAATCTATGGTCAATGCATTAGCGAAGTTTATACTTAAACGCAGAAGAAAGAGGGAACATACAATTTGAAACCTCAGTTGGACAAAGAGCTTCAACCCGTCCTCATCCTGAAGTTGTTCAGTACCACGCAGTTCTAACAAGGCAGCAGCCCCGTAAATATGACTCGTCCACTTCTCAATGCTTCGGAGAGTCCTACACGTGATGACCTGCTCGCAATTAGCCCCTTTCCCCAAGCATTATTTCAAACCCGTCCGTCAAGAGTAACGCCCGGACTCCTTACCTCGAAGATTGCCAGCAATAATACTGCCGCAAGAGTCGGATTCGACTTAGCCTCCTCCTCGTCCGCGACAGCCGAAGTCAACAGACCCAACGCATGACCGTACTCCTTCTCGGCGGCGATTTTCAACTGCGTAGACTGCCTGAGACGCGAGAGCATTGCGGTGCCCACCGAAATGATACAGGCATTCATAGCCTGCTCGCTCGGGGTAGCCCCAGAAAGGTTAAAGACCTCAGTGGAGCCTTCGGACATCCGAAACACGCCCGGCCAGGCATGGAAGCGCAGAAAGAAACAGACGGCCTCATCCTTGGTGAACTGATAAGACGGCTGGAAGTCAATACTGGGGGACGGTGGAGTCAGCTGCTGCACCGTCGTCGGTGACAGCTGCAGATCGGAGGAGGAGGTATCATCATCATGATTATTATTGAAATCGGTATCCGTTGGGATCGAGCCCGGACCGGGAGCGGGAGCAGGAGCAGGAGCCCGGCCCCTTTTGCCCGATTGGGGACCACTAGTACTCCCGGTCGAGGACGCCGTGCGATGGGCGGTCTTTCTGGCCCGACGACTGGCGGCCGTTGACGTCGTCGATGATGTCGCACCAGTCTTGGCCTTGCGGACTACTTGTTGGCTCTCATCGCGGAACATCAGGGACAGTTCGTCGCGATACCCAGGACAAACCCTGTTGCCCTTGACGCATTGCGAGCAGGTTGGTCGGGCCTGGTCGCACCGGATCTTTCGAGATCGACATTCGCCGCAACCTTTGCTCGGCTTCCCGCAGAAAACCATGCTCGATTTGGTTTTCTAAGGGGCGGCTTTCAAAAAGTGATGTGTTACAATAGGGGGTCATCCAAATCCGGGGGGTGGACACCTCAGATACTCGAACGGGTAACCAGTGCGAGGTCGGTCGCTGCGACTAGTTGGGGTCTGCAGGCGCCGACAACTTCCTGGTTCTTTGATACACAGCAGATTCAGCATGGATGTAGAGCCATCAAAAGAGGCACCATCCATGCCCCCCGGCCGTGCAGAACTGAATAATAGAAGAGATGAGAGCTTGTCACTTGTTATTGTTCAGGAGAAGAGGAGAAGCAAAGAGGACAAAAGAGACAAAAGAAGAGGAGGCGCAGTTCCGCTTCCCCGCAAGAGTGGATCGCGCATGACTAACCGTGGACGAAGGGAGTACACAGTAGTCCACAGTGCCTGGCTGACTCAGGTTATGCAGATTATGCACATCGTGCTTGGTATTGTCTATCTATCTATTATTTATCTACTTCGAGTCCTTGCCAATGCGAGTCCCTCTGGATATAGAGCCGTCATCACATACATCAGATAGATGTCAACACCCCAGAAGGCAATCTAGCCATGTCGGCGTCCGCTCGGATTTGAATCCCGACGAATCTCCTCGGTATTCCTCGGGGACCTCGGGCCATTTGTCCACACCGTCTAGTATGTTCATCGCCATACCCCCGCTGTAATGAACCTGGATGTGACAATGCAACAAGAACGCCCCGGGGTTGATCACCTGGTACCGGATCGCCAGCCAGCTAGGCCCGGTGATAGCGCCGGGAGTGATGAACGTATCGCGAATCTGCGGGTTTTCGAAGTTGAAACTCTCAGGGATTGCCTCCGCGGCCTCAGCTACAGACGTGTAATTCCACTCGCCGTCTCCATGGCCAATGACGAAAAACTTGTTGGAGTGCTTGTGAATAGGATGAGGGGGTTGAAGCGTGCTGACCAGGTGGAAGATCAAGTCGACCCAGGTCCCGTTGCGGGTTTGGATGGTCAGGTCGTGCTCCGCCGAGGCGGGATCGAGCAGGAGCGGAGAGGTTTCCTCAAGGCAAAGTGGATAGCTGGAGTCGCCCATCTTCCAGCGGTATGATTGGCCGTAGTGGTCAATCTCGAGGACATGTGTCTGGGCCACCTCCTGAGATGGCACCTCCACCTGGAAGGGGACCCACGCGGTCTCATCTGCAAGAGTGTATTCTTTCGATATTACATCTCCGCCGACATGGATCGACGGGGTCGAGGTCCCTTCCTGCGTGTTAAAGATCGTATCGTAGGACATGATAGCGGTAGTGTGGATAATCTGATTGAGCCCGTGGTTTGCAAGACGAACGGTGTAATCACCCGCTGGCTTATCAAGCTCGATCAAGACGGAATAACGAGCCCCATTGGGGACAGCAATTGCATCAGCTAAGACTGGCTCGACGTATCGCCCGTCGACAGCGTAGATGTAGATGGGATGCTCATCAATGGAGAAAATGACCGATGAAATACCGGCGGCGCTAATGAGATCGTAACTGACATATTTGGCATAGGGATCGACGAGAAATCTCTCAGTTGAGCCGTGAGAGGGAGTACACCCAGAGAAGACCGATTGAGGGAGCGCACTCATGTCGTGCTGATAGTCTCCTTGAGAATCTACATCCACAGGCGGAATGCAGCTATAGAGTCAGCAGGTTCCCAAATCATCACCAGACCATAAAATTTGCATACCCGATGTCGGTTATGTTGTCGCCAAGCACATCCTTCCGGGCGTCGGAAAGGTGCGATCTCAGGGTCTCTCTCCCCAGGCAGCTTATCGACCCCTTGCCATTGATCAGGAGAGCGTTGGCACACATCGCGTCAAGGCCCGACGCCTTTTCAGCTGCCCACAGCTCTTCTGATGTCAATTGTCGCCAGTCCGACAAGATGATCGGTTTGGTTTTCCTCTCCGCTTTGTGCATAGCCCGAAGAGCCTTCCTATCCCTGGTGATCCGCTCAAAAGGCCTTTCCACCGACTTGTCCGGTCGAATGTAGATAGGCCCGTAAAGTCCATCTTCGAGTTGTCCCCGCGCGTGAGCATGATACCAGTAGCTCCCGTAGTCCGTCGCGCGCCATTTGTAGAGGAATCGACCACCCGGCGGGATGAGTTGCTGGGATAGACCCGGTGTTCCGTCCGACCACGGTGTGTTTATCTGGGGGATCCCTGCGAAGACAGAAGTTAGAAACCAAACAACTAGATCCTCGGAGGAGAACGAGGTTGACGACGAATGCAACTCACCATGGAAATGAACCGTAGTGCCTTGAGGAAGCTGATTCTCCACCGTAACCTCCACATCATCACCCTGGTCCACCTCAAGCAAAGGACCTGGGAATTGCCCATTTGTAAGAATCATCTTCCGAGATATACCCGCCGGTGCATAATCCTCCCACGTCAGAGTGAGGTTAAAGCGCACCGTGTTGCCGGTATCCTTGACCCGGTGGTCCCACGCGTGTGCCCATGATACCAGTGACAGGAGCAATGTGAGCAGCAACGCTATCCCCTGGCTAAAGAAAGCCATCCTGAACCCAAGCAGACTGAGAACGCGAAAATTGAGAGGCACAGCTGCTGCCATCTCCTGGCGGCACCCGTGGTGTATTTATACGCGCGCGACATCTGGACTGGGGGAGGGAGGTATGAGGACCATCGAGCTAGGATGAGTTGAGTCGAGCGCGGATCCAAAATCACCCCTTGTGCATACATAACTGAACGGATTCACAGTGGCATGCCAGCAAACTTGTTGTAGAGAAGTCGATAGTAGAGCAAGAGAGGTGGAGCCCAACAGAAACGGGGCCTTTGGTATTTTGGGCGGAGATCCCTTCCCGACTTGGCTTTCCTGCAGGAACCATGGACCGCGTTGTTTACCTTCTGCATCGTCTTGTGAGCGAATGAGGTACGGAGTAAGGTCACCGATTAGTGCTCAGTGCAGTGCTCTTTTCGGATTGCTGATATCCTTGTTCGGTTGGATCGGCAGACGCAGAACACGAGGCAACTCAGGCAAGGGGACAAGGGAAAAAGAAAATGGCACTAGGGAGTTCCACCGCGATGGCGATCCACCGCTCTCGCATGATCTGACTTGGCGTTAGCGAGTCAGACTCAGACTAGCAACCGACTGGTCGTAGACTTGTCGATCGGTTGGTTCTGCATTCGCAATTGTTCAATTGTGGGAAGAAGTGGAAGACGGTGGTCTACCTAGTGGTAACCACCCCTGCCGGCACCGAAGAGACATCTGGTTAGTGGTTTCTACCCATGTCTATATTCAAGGTGTAGTGAGTGACCAACGATGATCTTCAACATATAGAGGAACAGCGAGAGCTACGATAAACGTTTCTCCCGATTGAGATTCGTAAGCATTTGAAGTTAACAAATGTCGCTGGGTAACGCAAGTGAACAGATAAATGACAGACTATCCGAAGTGATGTGGAAAGCAGTCAAAGTAATAGAAACAAGCCCCGGTTATGCATCCATCATTCAGCGAGTACTACTGACAACCAACCAAGCAACCCTCTCCCCCGACGAATTCATTTCACCATCGTCAGACTTAGGGTCCATCTCTTCGATCTTAATGCCAGAGTCTGACGAATAAAACTGATCGAGACTGTGCACAGCACTCTCGTCATCGGACTTCTCCATGGGCGCCTGAATTCCGGGCACAAATGCTGGCGCATCCCCGCGCAACTGGAACTTTTCCGACCTGTGTCCATTGATCTCGGGTATATCATTTGGCACAGCGTACTCATACGCCGGGGGCTCTGCAAAGGGACCGTTGACATCGGGCGGGGCATAGACCTGCGAAAGAGATCGCCTTTGTTAGCAAGTCCAACACAAGCATCACCACCGCAACTGTGAACGAAAGGATGAAGCTAGAAGGAAAGGATCTTACCTGCTGCGGACCCGCGTAGCGATAGTCCTCGTTGAACAAGCGATGTCGCAGACCTCTAGTGTCGTTGCGCCGCAGAAAGTATGAACTGGGAACATTCGCGGGCATCATTCTCATGTTCATCTCGGATGGAGGATACAACGGCAAGCCTGGGCCGTGTCCGGGAGAGGGGGTCTGAGGATGCTGCATGGCAGGTGGGTAGTGTATACCCGGGGCGTACTGCATCGAGTTGCGCGGATGGGTGTAGGGCGATGGTGGTCCGGTCCAGCCGTGGGGTGGATGTCCAGACGAGACTCCGTCTCTGGAATAGCGATCCTGTTCTCTGGCGAGCATGAGATAAAAGCTAGAACGCCTGGAGCCCATTCTTCCTTCTGCCGGATTTCCACGCCGCGACATCTCGCTCTGCCGAGATTTGCTAGGTTAGTTCGTCTCATCACAGAAGGAAAATGAATATGACACTGACCGAGTTTCTCTGCTGTTTGCGATTCTTCCCCATGGCTGACGGGATTTGGGGATGTACCAGTGTGCAAGAAAGAGGAGATGATTCGATCGGTTTAGTGATGGTGGAAGAAATCGATTCAACAAGGTGGGAGGAGAGCGTAGGAAGTGAGAAAAACCGACGCCGTCAAAGAGGTAAGAACGGCCTTAGTCGTCACTTTCTCCAATCAAAGTTACCATGCAGAGACCACAGCGTCTGCAGGAACAACACAAAGTGTTTTTCCATACAAAGGGTCTTGCGTTCGTCTGCAGCAACAAAGAAATCCGGCTGGGCATTCTCTAGTTCTGGTCCATTTTCGGCAGAATGGCGGGGGACGAAGAGAGAAAGTGAATGAGGGAAATCTCCGCAAGAAGCTTTGAGCCTGCAGCTCTGGGGTGAATGAAAGAGAAGAGAGGTAGGCAACCGCGACTGGTTGACGTTCAGATGGTCGTCAGGAAGATGGAAATTCCTGGAAGACGGCAGGTTTGGGTTGTATACAAAATACGGAGGGCGTGGATTTTCGTTTGGATGTTTGGATCAGGCAAAATTCTTTGTTTGACTCAGACAAATCTTCTTCTTTTTTTGTTTTCTTTTTCAATTTTTTTGGGTTTTTTTCTTGTTTTTAAAGAAAAAAAAAGAGGGAAACGTGAAGTTCCACGCCGTTGGCAGCGGGTGGCATAAAACAAGCAAACAAAGAAACAGGCGCAGCAGAACGGAAACAAATTCGAAAAAAATTAAAGAAAAAAATTAGAAAAAGAAAAAAGGAAAAAAAAAAAAGAAATAGAAGAAACAAGAACAACACAAAAAAACAAAAAGGCCAACTACTAGCCCATCTGGTCCTCCCCCAGGTGGGAGAGGACCCCCGAGAGAACCCCGAACAAGACGGTCTCGGCGTCGGCCCTCGCGGACCGCTGTTTAGCGGCCCAGGCCTCGGCCTCCACCGTTGCCCGCTCTGCCCCCTTGTACTCGTCCAGGTGCTTCTGCAGCCGGAGGGCCAACTACACGTGGAGTTAGCAAGAATGCCGCATGAAACTCAATCGTTGGAAGCAAACTCACTCGGAGGTATTCCTCCCTCTTGCCGGGTGCTGCCGCATCCCGGGCCTTGGCGATGAGCCCTTCGATGCAGGACCCAACGTCTGCGACCTTCGTGGCCGCGTCTGCCTCATCCCGGATGACCATCGCGACGTCATGGGCCGAGCCGATCGCCCGTGACGGGGTAGAGATTCGCTGGGGCATCATGACCTGCGAGCGTCGGTGGACGCCGCGGCGCTGGGGGCTGCCCGTGGACATTGCTGCCAGGTTGGCCCGACGAATTCGTCCGTCACGGGGAGGCTCGGCCCTCGTGCGCGTCGATGTAGTAGCTTGCGAGAGTGAGCGGGTCTCCTCTTCTGTCATGGGGATGGGAGGTGAGATCTGGGCCGGGGAGATCTTTGGGTTGCGTTTAGCCCTGGCCTTGATGGTTTCGGACACGGCCTCCTTGTTGGCAGCGCCGGGTGTCTCGTTCTCCTCCCTTCGACCGCGTGCCTTGTCGTTGCTCCCCTTGGTCGACTTGAAGATGTTTCGGATGTTTCCGAATCTGCGCCCTCCGGCTTGGGTCGAGCCCGAAGCCTTGGCTGCGAGATCATCCTGGCTAACGTCTCGCTTCTGGCTCAAGTCGATGGCACTCGGTACCTTTGCATGCAGGGGGAAATCGGCCACAGCCTGCATGGATGAACTGCGATAGGCGGTGCGGGGGATCAGGGGAATCTCATTGTCGATGTCGTCAGAGAATGCTCCAAATGGCTCCCGAGTGGGCGTGACTGGGTTGCTTCGGAGGCTGCCACCAAAGTGATGCGGTCGGCAGAAGTTGCGCGTCACGGGAGTCTGCTCGGCCGATTGATTGAGTAAGGCTTGGGTTGTTGGCACAGCGCGAGGGGTATCGCCGTCATCTTCGGCCTCCTTCTGGTGACACTTGAGAGAATCGGGGTGCTCTAGGACCGGGAGAGAGCGTTGGATACCAGCGTCGTCGCTGCCTTTGACAGCTGCGCCCATAAGCACTTGTTCGGCAGAAGAAGCTATCTTAAGCTTCGGTCCCTCCGAGCGTGATGCAGGTCTGGCAAACGTGCGGGTGCGATACTCCCCGGTGAAGACGGTTGGGGGCTTCTGCAGATCACTTTCTTCTCCAGAAGATGAGGACATGGTCTCGGGCATTTCGATCTTAAGATTGGCCCGCTCTGCCGCGTTTTGAGGACGTGGGCCACGGGGTCTTTCAACGACTCTGATGCTGCCAGAGAAGCTTCCAACTGGCGCATTACCAAAGCTGCCTATCTGCTCAACACCATAGGTGCGACTGGCAAGGGGAATTGAGCTGCGACGCTCCGAGGTAGCTCGCGCTTCTTTATGTTCGCTCGATGGGGGCATCTGTGCCTTTACATTGGCAGGGCCTCGGGGGATGCGAGAAGATCGCCGGACTTTAGTGTCATTGGCCTGATGAGGTGCGTGAGGGGTGTTGGTGTCTGCTGCGTGTCAGCTCAGATCCAAGCAAGAGGGGTCAATCACGGGCCATTACCAGACTCGTTGCCAGATCGGTAGCTCAAGGATTTCAAGGTACGGGGTTCACTCTTCCCAGTCGCTGAGCTCTCTCCTTCTTTAGCAGTGGTCTGTTTCATGATAGCTAAATGATCGTCAGTATGTGGTCTTTCGTCATCTTCGAAGTCTCAAGAGAAAGAACCACAGGAAACCTTTAGGGCTTGGAGCTGCCACCAGAAGATACCGGATATTCAAAGACGAGTATTCGACAAGAGTATTCAATATCCTTGTGTAGGGAATGGGATAGTGGTAGGGGGGGGGGGAACTCACTTGGGTGAGAAGTCTCGTTGTTTCCGTCACCTGCCTTGGTGTGTTTGGCTTCAGTAGAGTCGACGAAAGGGTCGTGAGAAGCGGGCTTTGAAGAGGAAGACATTTTGAGAAAGGTATGTGCGTTAGCAGGGGTAATTGTGATCTCGGAAGATGTAGGGGATGCAGAATTAGAACGATTCTCGTCGGGTGGAGAGAGATTCTGAAGAGATTGAAGGGTTTCTTGGGTGAGAGGAAGTGAGGAAGGAGAATGTTGTGGGGAGGTGCGAGGGATTGCTGGGTAAGTGAACTCTTCGTCGCCCTCGTTCTCAGCAAATGGGTTTGCAGTCCTCTGCAAGAAGTCCAGCCACTCACGGAAGAGAAGTATAGACTCGCGCACTGTGCGGTCCTCGTCTGCCTCCTCTTCATTCACTGTGGACGACCCCTGCTGATCTGCGGGCTCTTGACCACGCTCTGGACCCTGGGCGATATCTTCAACTGCATCCGAGTATACTGATGATCTTCTACTCATGGTAGTCCCAGCAGAAAGTCGCCGTCTATCTGCTTGCAGCATGCTCTCAACCTGCCCACGTTGTAAGTCCGAGCCATTCCTATCGGTATGAATGTTTGCATCCACTTACATGAGCGATGGTCAGATGGTGCTGAGACCTAGACATTGTGAGAAGCGTCGAAGCCCTTTCGATTGCTCTCAGTTGGTAGAGTGGCTTGTACTAGATCAACCGAGCCTTTCTGTCAGCTTCCAAGTCTTCTCAACAATTAATGGAATTCAACGAACCTCAACGTGCTTTGAACTCCTCGGCTTGATTGTATTGAGACACTTGTGCATCCTCTTCAACATCGCCATGCTCGACAACTGCTTCATTACGCCTTTATACCTCTCCACCATCTTGCTCTTGGGGTCTTGAATGGCTTTAATCATCCTTTCAGAACGTGTCTCATGCTTAGGCTCAAGCTCTGGAAATCTTGACCTGGTCGGAGTGCACCCTGTGATGGTGGGCAACTTGAACTCTCCAATCTTTGGAGGTGGGTTGTACCGCACCGACCTGATGCTTCTAGCATGCTCCGACGACATGAAGCGTGGTACATTCTCCTTCTTATCTGAGCCTCCTAAGGTCCAACTTGACTTTGATCGAGGAAGCCCTGGAACGCCAGGCGTATTGAGCGGAGAACGAGGTGACTTCGAGTACTGTGGAGAACTTGTTGATACGCCTCTTCTCAGGTGGGACTCGAAGCGTTGACCCTTGAAGCCAGCCGCAGATGATGGGTTCCGCAGCTGGTGTTGCTTGGGTGTTTCAGAAGTAGCCTTTGAGGCATCCATTTGCTTCTGTTTGCCTTTGGTATCAGGCTCATCCATGTGGGCCTTCATTTTCGAAGGTGCGGTAGCTGGGCTTTCAGTAGTCGTGGCCTCTACCTTTGATGAATCGATAACTATACCGGTAGATGGTCAGGTTACAATATGACATGCGGTATGGGTGTGAGTCCCAGTTGAACAACCAATATCAGCGCAGGCTTACCAGAGATAGAACAGATATCCACAGGCGCTTGCTTATTTCCCTGGATAGGAAGAAGCGAACAGGCTACTGAAAGACGCTCTTGAGGAACTAGACATGCTGATGATCAGCTGTCTGGTCTGACAGTGTCTTCGCCAGGGCGTACTGGGATCAAAGAGGGCAGACGGGCAGGGGAAACTTACCAGAGATACGACTGTCGATCACTCGTACTGGTCACCTCAGACAAGGCAGTATCCTGGGTGAAGATATGCGACGTTGCTAGAAAAGAAGTGAGAGTCATGAAGATAGGCTCACACCACTAAAGAGAAAGACGCTCAGCTACCCAGCTCTTTGCACACTTGATGATACGGATCCCACGATGGATTAATGCAGCCGGGATAGACAAGAGCTTACTAGAGACACAGCGGGCCTTGCCTTAGTGATGCGAGGAAGCTCCCAGGCAAACGACAACGACTCAAGGACCCAGACGATAACTAATAAATTGAGACGCCCAGGAAGATGCTTAAGCAATCATGAGATGATATGTCAAGATGCAGAACTAGAGAGAGGGAAGATCTGGGAGATAACAGAAACGGAATATGTGTGCGAGAGAGAAAGAGAAACAGAAGTTTCCTGATCACGGTGACAGAAGTGCGTGAAGTAGACAAAGGTCTTCTTCACTTTGAGGGAAGTAACAGCAACCTAAGCGAGGCGATCCCCATTTAGGCAATCAGCTCAGTTGAGACCTAAAAAGCTCGCATATCCTTTCACGTCTGCTAGCGTGACTGGTGCAGCGTGCGCTCATTGGCTCGCTTTGTTAGAGATCGCTGCAGTCTGAGAATCTGATTATGTTAATGCTACCTTGTAGCAGGCAATAATTGTGCTTGTAGATATCTGGGCCCTTTCTGTTGGAGGGAACCTGCCTGTAGAGGTGGAGATACACACGAAAAGTCTTAGGATGCATGTCTTCAACGCTTCTACCACAAGTTCAGATATCAGATAAACGAGATAGATATTCTGTATGATGGAACCTATCGTAACGAGAAACTTGATGAATAAAAACATTTCATTATGCGTCGACTATCTAGATTCCATTTTCACGCCAATAGCATGTACATGTACACCATCAAGGTGACTCCATTCGTTTGCTAGGCTGCTCGATTTCGTCCACATTAGTATGGCCACGCTTCCTCTTCCCAGATCTTGATGGCCTAGACGAGCCAGCCTGAGCCAAGCCAGTATCATCATTCGTCCACTCGCTAATCTCCCACTCTATCGTGGTAGAACTATCATCACTGACTCCCATACCTCGTCTACCCTTCATCAACCGTCCCAGCCGACTCCCCTCGATCATTTCCTCAAACCAGGGGATCCCACCTACCGTGCCTTGGCGATAAGACCGGGAGATGTTCCCTTCCCCCCTCGAAGGCGGCACGACAACCGTAGACGTAGAAGCAGTAGTCTGCGGAGCCGGTGCAGCAACTACACCCTTATTATCCTCCGAAGGATCGTCGTCGTCGTCCTCATCATCATCCTCATCTTCCAAGGACGAATCCGATCCAGGGAGAAGGTCAAGGTCCTCCAGCAAGCGTTGATCCCCAGCATCCAGACTACCAATCGTCACGGACATATACTCCGCGTCTTCCCGGGGCTCTTCGCTCCAGTACGTAAGGGGGCTACCGCAGAAGCCGCAGAAGACACGCTGTGTGTGCGGTGCATGATGAGGCGAGAAGATACGACGGATGGTGGAATGCGTTTCATCCGGGAAGAACGATTCGGTATGAGACTGGTACCAGGATAGAGGGACACGAAGCCATGCTGTGAGTGGAGTTCCGTGGATTCGTCCTGCTCGCGACAAGACCATTCATTAGCTTGCGATATGGGTGGAAAACTTCAAGTGACGTACGATTATCCCGACCGCTATCAAAGTAGATCTCTGCGTGTTCGGTCACATTGTCTGGAATGTGAATCTGGTATTGGTTGCGACCGCAGAGACAAGCTCCGTGCAGAGGTTCGTTGCTGGCCATGTCTCTTTAGTCTGCGGAGCAGGAGGCTGTTGTCGATCCGGGCAGTTCGTGATGGGTGGTTGACCAGTCGGGTTGGTCAGTTAAGGGCAGAGGTCCCGCAAGCCAAAGAGAAAGGTTAAACAGGGATAAAGAGGAATTGACAGAAGCAAGTGTGTCAATGGCCGAGCGAAGAGGAAATTTCACCAGGCAAATGGTCCGAATGGGTGGGATATCGAGCATGACGTCAATATGCCAAGGTCGCAGATCCCGGTTCAGCTGGCATGACACAGCATCATAAGAAATTGTATGCATTTCTTTACCTTCACTGGTGATCTTTACATTAGCAAGATGCAATCTGCTATTCTCACAGACCTACCGTTACAATGATAAAACAAAGACAAGTAGCATTCAACCAACTCTTGCACATTCAATTGCATCCCAGGGAAGAAGCAGACAAATCTTGGCACCGTTTGATCCGCACGGGAGATGGACCGTGCGGGTGTTTGTCTATTTTGGTGCCACCCAGGAATAGAATCCTCTCCTTCTTGCAAGTCTTGGACAATTGATAAGGGACTATCATGAATCTACTCCGTACAGATTTCTCTAGGCTCTACACTCTAGACTTCACATTCTCTGATGTCCTCTTAGAAAATCGAAGATTATCACATCATAAGCAGATATCTCAATCTCCACTGTCATGGCACCCTAGCCTGATCACATCCACATAGAATCAAATTAATTGATGGCCAGGGATGTATGCCTTGAAATTTTGGACCGTCGAATTGAGTTTCTTGTGGTTGGTGATGCTTATTCGAGCCAAAATCTCAGGCGGAATATATATTCCTGCTATCCTGCCAAGAACGAGGGCCTTTGGGGGATTATGTTCAACAGCCAGGCCCCGCTGATGTGGATTCTACCAAAGCCGTATTCAACCGCCATCCTGAGCAACTGCACCAAAAGACGTATGAAACCTCGATTTCTGATCTCCCTATCGGCCTTCATCATCCCCAGCAATGTCGTCGCTTCTCACTCCCGCCATCCTCGGAGACTTGATCCCTCTGCGCAGTCGTGTGTGCATGGGCTCGATGACTAGGAATCGTTGCATCAACCATAACATGCCTACAGAAGCTGTGATCAATCACTATGCAACAAGAGCAAGGGACGGAGTTGGTCTTATCGTCGCTGAAGGAACATTCGTCTACCTGAACGGGGCAGAATGGCCGAACGCACCGGTGATGTACGACGAAAAACACGCAGACGCCTGGAAGAGGGTTACAGATGAGGTTCACCGCGAAGGAGGAACGATTTTTTCCCAGCCATGGCATCCAGGTTCGAGCAGACAGGACCGCAAACAAGGCATACACTGACGTCGACCGATAGGTCGCATCCAACATGAAAGCATGCCGATGCTCAGAGATACAGGGTATCCGGTACTGGCGCCTTCCAAAGTACGCGCCGCTGGAGGGAAGTTTAGGACACTACCAGAACTACCGGTACATTCTGCGATATTGACGGTTACTATTTTGCGAGATGTTCAAAAGGCTGACCCCGTCTTCGCTTCGGTTTTGATCCGAAAAGGGCTACACGGACAACATCACCCAAATCGAGGACCCCAAAGTAATTATTGAACAATACAAGAATGCAGTCGCTCTGGCGAAAGAGGCTGGGTTTGATGGGATCGAATTGTTGTCCCAGGGGTAAGCTCGCTGGCACTTACTCGCAAACACTTTCTGATCGCATCTGCAGGGGCTATCTCCTCCATAACTTCCTATGCTCGTGAGTATATCTTTGGAATGAATTATTTGTGCAGCTGGTAACATCTGTTGTTATGCCTGCAGTCACTCGAACTTACGCACCGATATCTACGGAGGCGCGGTCGAAAATCGATGCCGTTTCGTCCTTGAAGTGACCGACGCAATCATCGAGATCTGGGGCCCACGACGAGTCGGTATCAAGATCTGCCCTTCTGACGACTATAATGACTCCGCTGTCTCTTTTAAAGAGCTGAGCGAGACATACGATTATCTTATCAGGCAGCTCGTTAGTCGAAAACTCGGTTACATAAATCTGTCCCGGAGAGGGTGCGCAATTGGCAGAGCTCAGGATGATTACTTCAAGTCTAGTCCCAGACCGGCTGGAAAAGAGCTTCCTCCAAATTATGAGCCGTTCTACCAGTTCGGTCATTTGATCAAATATCCCGGAAGCGAGACGATGCTCATGGTCAATCACGAATATACCGTGGCCGAAGCGGACAGCCTTGCAAAGGAAGGGAAGATTGATCTGGTCACATTCGGTCGTCCTTTCATATATAACCCGGTTTGTGGCGCCCTTTCGATTTCCATCTTTCATGCTAATCTCGATTTCAATGGAAGGATTTGATTACCAGGATCAAACAGGGAATACCCTTTGCCGAAAATGATCGCGGCAAAACAGTGAACTATGGCCCATATACAAAGCCCGATGAGAACTACAACGATTGGCCTTATGCCTCGCTCTAATATTGCGATCGAATTAGCCTGTGCTACAGATCCCTCGAATCTATGAATTATGTTAATCAATGGTTCGAATTTGAAATAGAAATCACTTTGTCCTCTCTACAAGTCAAACTCCACAGCGTTTGGGGCCTAGCACATTACACTGCATTTGGATCGATGTTACTGCATGAAGATATGAGCTTTCGGTTGGATAGGAAGAACTAGACTGGTCGACAATGATTCAACTTCTGCAAGTAATTCCTCAAGACTTTAGGCCAAGAAGGTGTCAAACTAATCTTCTTTTCTAAATCTCTCAGGGTGAAGGTTCAATTAGTAAGCTTGGTGATTTCCCCGACAGCGCCGCTTCAGGGCGACCTTTGAAGTTACTTCACTCCGTACATATTTCAATACGATCATTCCTAGATTCTCATGTAAATCTTTTTTCTAGATCTTACAATTCTAGTTGTCCGTTCAATCAGAATGTCCGAGGCGGCACCTAAAAAGGGCCGAGGAAGAACGATACAACGGAAATACACTTCCAAGGCGTGCGACGAATGCCGTCGCCGACGAGCAAAGGTGAGGCTTTGCAAAACGAGTCTCAACCAATTCATATGGCATTCTTGTTTTAATTCAATAGCTGACTGCTGACACAGTGTGAGGGTCAAAAACCATCATGCTCCCGATGTCTCAGCCGAAACATTCCCTGCCACTACTCGGTCCAAAATAACCGACAGCCAGCACCAAAGTCTTATGTACTACTTCTCCGCAATAGAATTGAGGCGCTCGAGCATATCTTACGCTCACATGGTATTGATGTGGAAGCATCGCTGGCTGAGCTGATGGATCATCACGTATTTTTGCATCCCGATGATTTCAATACCGGCACAGAGGCGTCGATTAATCCCAGCCTGTCATCTGATCTAGACGATTTGTGCGGAGCGTTCCATGGGACCTTAACTTTCGATGAAGCATTGAACTTCGACGATGATGGTGAAATGCGCTACTTCGGACCCACGAGTGGTCGTTTGCCATTTCAATCATCACGAGGTATGGCTCAGGCACTTGTGGACACTCGCATGCAGTAGACCTCTAATCGCTCTGATATAGATCCTTCTATTGAAAACAATTTTCCTCTGGAATATGAAGAAGGACCTTTCTCCAATGGCCCAGGTAAACAATTGGATGACTTTTCTTTACCAATGAGTGAAGACCTAGACCCTTCAGATGAACTGAGGTCCCATTTATTCGAACTTTATTTTACCTGGGAGCAGCCCTGGTACCAAGTGGTTAACGAGAAAATATTCAGAGAAAGTTTACAGCAGAATGGTCGATTCAGCACCCCATTGCTGGTCAACTGCATCCTCGCCATTGCTTCTCGATACTCAGATCGTCTGGAAGTTCGCTCTATTATCGATAATTCTAACTCAGCCGGACAGCGTTTTCTTGAACGGGCAGAAGCCTTGCTGCCTTTCGAACTGAAATGGCCGAATATCACTACACTTCAGTCTCTAGCTATACTGGGTATGGTTTACGTCGTATGTCAGCCCTAGTCAAGGGGCTCATCCTGAAATTGACTGACTCGAATAGGCAATGGGACAAGATGCTGCGGGGTGGCTTCACCAGGGGATGGCGTGCCGTTTAGCTCTTGATATGGGCCTCAATGTCGACTCATCCGCGCTTGCTAGCAAAGTGTCAATGTCCACCGAGGAGGCTGAATTGAGACGGCAAATTTACTGGTCATTATACTGCCATGATAAACTCGCGGCTAGCTACACGGGGCGTGTTTGTACATTGCTGGTATGATTGCTGCTTGACCTTTCCGCCAGCATTCTTGGTCTAACGTACTATAGGAGCCACAAGGGGTCGTTAATTTGCCGTCTCCATCTGGGACTCAACTTGAGTCTCGCGTTGTGTCACTACAACTTGCTAATATTCGCATTTGCCGCATCCTAGAGCGGATATTGCTCTCATTGTACGTTAGTCCTGTTGAGCAAACCCGGTTGATTCTGGCTGATGTTTGAACACTAGGTGGGCACCTAAGCCACTTCTTGGAGGATCCAAAAGATCTGCGTTCTTCGATAAGTGCGTTGTAAAGCTTAGATCATGGTATTACGATCTGCCGTCCGATCTTAAGATCAGCACGGCGAACGTACTGCCTCAGGTGTATACACTTCATATGGTGTACTACACTGTATTTATTCTTCTGAGCAAGCCCTTCCTCACCCAATCCGAGTCTCCCAACAGAGCGAATGCCACTCGCGATGATCAAGAAATCACCAAAAAGGCCAAGCTGCTGTGTGATGAATCAGCACAAAAGATGCGTGCGGTGGCGCAAAAGTATCGGCAAGAGTTCGGCAGCTTTCGATTGAGCCCCATCACCGCAACGCATTGCACTCTTTCTGCGGCCTTGATATCGCTCGAAAATTACACATCTGAAATAAAGGGCACCGAGAACGAACAGCATTCACTGGCCCAGAAATACGAGATCGAGACGTGTTTGCAGACGCTCAAGGAGCTCTCAACATCGTGGTATCCCGCCAAATGCATCAACCTGCATCTGGGCAAATTATATCAGCAGACCCGAGAGAGGCATAATGATAAAACTGTTGCGATGGAGCTAGAGACACCAAATCGTTTAATCTCTCCGGATGTTAACCGATCAAGACCTGGGGATGATCCTGGGAATATTCAACCATTACCCATACCGATGTCCTTTGACATGGACTGGGATATTTTTACTGTCCCTCATATACTAGAGGATCAGACAGTCTTGCCGCAGGACATACATGGCGTCGACATCGAGGGGATCCTCGCCAGTGATTTGAGTCTCTCTTTCCCAGCGCATCTGCCAAGTGACTACAACCTTCCATGATCTCGACAGTCGTGCTGAAGACCCATGCCATAGTATCTTTCTGGCTATCGGTCTTTATAATCCACGGCTCTGGATGATATCTCCTGACAGTCGAATGAGTTCTCAAAATTGAGGTCTTGGACGCCAGGTACCACAGAGATGAAAATTACTCGATCTCTATCCAATTGAGTTTAGCTGTGTATTTTATTTGTATTTGTGGTATGTTTTGGTGGGAAGCTGTTACAATTTTCAAACGGAACCCTTGAAATGGTAATTTACCACTGCAAAATACGACGAACCATATAATGTCCAAACTTTTGTTTCCAAATTCTCAGTCCTCGAGCTTCTTTTCTCTGCGTTCCTTTCCCTCTCCTTGCAATTCTAGTTTCTCCTTCTCCTTCTACCTGTTCTTGTTCTTGTATGGCTTGCGTCTGTGATCTCCTCGCCTTCTTCTCTCCTCGTTTCCGTCCCTGCTGATCCCTCCATTCTTTTACGACCTTCCCCCTCTCTGTCACATGAAAAGCCACATTCCCCCTCCGCGCTCTACTGCTACTACATCCACCTACTCTAGTACATGGCTGGAGTAGTCGTCCTATTCCTCCTTTCTCTACCTTGACAACCTCTATACCTTCGTCACCGCGGAAGAGGAAAATTACCAGATAACAACTTAATTATCCCGCCACTCACCATGCCATCCGCCCAACCCCCTGCATCTCTCGCATCCAGCTCCTCCGAACCCTCATATTCGCCGGTCCCAGCGCCCACGAATTCCCACGATCGCGATCGCGACGACCACGACCGCTCCTCCTCTACGCCTACCGCATCCAAACATGCCGGGGCCGCGTCCTCGTCCAGCGCCGCCCAAGACAAGGACAAGCCGCGGCTGACCGAGCAAGAGAAGAAGAACAACCATATCGCGTCGGAGCAGAAGCGCCGCGCCGCCATCCGTGAGGGCTTCGACCGTCTGACCGAGCTGGTCCCGGGGCTGGAAGGCCAGGGCCGGAGCGAGAGTATCGTGCTGAAGAAGACGGTCGATTTCATCCACCTGCAGCTGCAGGAGCGGCACGAGTTGATTGCGGAGATCGAACGCAGGGGCGGCCGCATTGACGATGCTTTCCGGACGGGGTGACCATCGGACACATCTGACGACTCAATATACTTTCTTCTCGTCGCATTTCTTTCTGCCCTGGCTGTGCGGCCTTCTTCTGGCCGCCGCTGTGGCCGGGACTTTTTTGTTCGCCTTGTCGGCCGGCAAGTTTGGGGGGATTGGGACGTGCCGAGGTCCGATCGGCATAGTTATGGGGATCATTATTTATTATTACTACGATGTTGACGACATGATTTCATTGGTGGTGAATTGGTTTATATATTTGTTTTCGAAAAGGCCCTGGAGAGATATGCTTGGGGCTGCGAAAATCATCCGGTCTGTTTTGTGGCATTTTACATCCTCTACCCCGGCTGTCGGTATCCCACTTTGTCGACGCCATGCCACTATCGATAGTGCATGGCAAGTCGGAAGTGTCGGTTATGATCATACGGGGCCAATTATAACGGAGGAGGTATCTCAGCATGGCGCTGTCTAGCTTGGTGTTCGGGCGTTATTGATTAATCGAGGATTGGTGGGCATGATGGCATGATGGCATTAGGCGATTCGATTCCTATTGTCGGTGATAGTATATAATTTTCGCGATCAGCAAGGACTTTTGAACCTTGCATGGAGTGTGATCACAGGAGCATTATTCGCAATGCATGCTCTTCTGAAGCCTCCGCTATACCGAGGGACTAACTATGTATGGTACATATGTATGATATCACAGACCGATGCTACTATACTAGGTCTAAGAAGGTTTGCAAATGCAACGGTCCAAGACAAAGCGTGCCTCACAATGCGCAACACCCAATCCAGTAGAGAGTCGAGAGACAGGCCCAGGAACCGTACTACCAAGACATTGTGTACAAAGCCACACCGTCCGGGATGTTGCTGCAGAGAAACCCACCCCCCGTCTATCGTTATCGTCAATCTGCCCTGCTCCACCGCCCCTCTTCCTTTCCATGATCGAATCCGCAAAACAGGCTTGACTCATTCACATTGACATCTCAGTGCAGTCACATACCGGCTTCCGTCTACATTCTACGCCCTTCTCTTCTACACCTCCCTCCCTCCCTTTAACAGATCAACCACCTCTCCCACCACAACCCCCCCCCTTCAACCCAACAAACAAAAAATCCATCCAAAATGAGCGACATCAAAAAATCCCTCCTCTCCGAAACCGACACGAGCGAGCGCGCGCCCCTCCCCCGCCCTCCCCCCCTCAGTCTCCCAACGCTCAACTCTCTCCGCGACAAGCGCGTAATCCTGGCCTCCGCATCCCCACGCCGCCGCCAAATCATGTCCCTTCTGGGACTGCCCTCGATCGAAGTAATCCCGTCGAACGCGGCCGAAGACTTCCCGAAGACGATGGAACCATTCGAATACGTGCTCGCGACCGCGACCAAAAAAGCTCAAACGGTGTACGAGATCGAGATCCAAAACGAAGAGAAGGGGGAACCCGCGCTGCTGCTGGCCGCAGACACAGTCGTCGTGGACACAGTGACGGGGTCGATTCTGGAGAAGCCGCGCAGCGAAGCGCAACACGTCGCGATGCTCAAGGCGCTGCGCGACGCCGGGGAACATAAAGTGTACACGGCGCTGGTGGCGATGGCGCCGTTGGCCAGTGCGCGACAGCCTGGGTATGTGCTTGAGACGGCGATCGAGGAGACGACGGTGCGGTTTGGGGCGGACGTGTCGGATGAGTTGATCATGGCGTATGTGCGCACGCGGGAGGGGGTGGATAAGGCCGGGGGGTATGGGTTGCAGGGGATCGGGTCGATTTTGGTGGAGAGCGTGCAGGGGAGTTTTGATAATGTGGTTGGGTTGCCGTTGCGGACGGCGTATAAGCTGATTGAGAAGGTGGTGACGAAGGCGGATGATGAGGATCGGTTGTCGGATTCGGAGAGGGATGGGTTGGATGAGGAGAGTGAGGATGAGGAGTAGAAGGGTGTGTTTGTTTGGATATGGTTTTGGTTGGGGGGATTATGGTTGAGGTATGAGGGCATACGATATATCAGATCAAGTCACACATTTTTCTAGCTCAATACACAAAAAGAAGAGCTCTAATCGCCGGCGTAGCTGGCAGACCGAACACAGATAGAACAGCATATACAGAGGCAAGAAACGCCTGAACAGAAAAGAAATTCCGAGGGAAAGAGGAAGATAAGACAGAAACGAAAAAAAAAGAAACTGGATATCAATGGGGTTCATCTATGCCTTCCACACCCGCTTGATAGCCTCCGTGATACCGACATCATTCGTCTCGAACTCGTACAGACCGACGGCGGTGGTGAGGGTGAAGCCACGGAGCAGCCAGTTCATGAAGGAGGCGGTCTTGGGGACACGGCGGGCGGGGAAGTAGTCAATGATCGAGGCCCTGTGAAGCGTGAGCAATCCAACCATAATATCCCAAGGCGAGAACGAGGGACACATACTGGAATCCGACGTGGGAGTGGACAACGATGAAGGAGCAGAGCACGGCATCCATCACGGGGTTGAAAGTGCCGCCGATGAAGGGAGCGAGGGTGAGAGGGACCAGACCGGCGGCCACGAGTCTAGATCAGAAGTCAACAAACATGCCTCCAGAAGTCCCCCGGCTGAATTGCCCGCGTAAAGTCGACTAACCTCTCGAAGCTCCAGTGGTAGCTACCGTGCGAGGGGTGAGGCTCAGGGATGGGAGCCGGGTCGTTCGCTAGACACAATGTCAACATCACACTATTCTCCGACGCGCAGAAATATTGATGCAGGAAGTTGGAGCGATCCGCGAAGGCGCCTGCGTCGCGTTTCCAACTCCATATCAACCCGCAGGGAACCGGTGGTGGTACGTACTCGATCCGTGGATGACCTCTGTTTCCAACTCGTCAGTATATCAATTCTAACACCCACTCCATGTCCATTCGATCTCGAACAGCCACTTCTTCGTATATTATATAAATCAATCCCGGGCTACTCACGAGGCAACGGAGGCAGGATCTGCTTCTTCGCGGAGGCGTGGAAGGCCACGGCCTGCGAGACATTCTTGGTGGCCAGCGGCGAGCGGAAGGCCGAGAGGCAGGTCTGCCGCAGCAGAGGGGACTGACGCGCGATCGAAGCCATGGTGAGACAGAGGCGAAATCGAAACGGAGAGGGGAGATTTGGCAGGGAGATCAAGACTTCAGAATGCAGAGGAAGTGAGGTGGAATGAATGGAGTTCGCAACCTCGGGAGAGTCATCCTATTACGCCCGTCCTGATTGGCTCGTGACTCTCCGCCCAGCCGAGAATGGCCGACGTTCCCGGCAATACTTTCTTCTTCTTACAACCATCTCATCACTAAGGTGCTGTACGGAGTAGTGGACTCAGGATATCCATCTGTCGCATACTGAACGGATCTTCAAGGATTATACTTCGTCGCAATGTGATACTAATCATCTCCTACTTCCCGAACACTAACCTCGATGACTACCCTGCCATCCAGCCACTCTCGCCCCATCTCCTCCCGGCAAAGACTTCTACCAGGCAATCAACAAGACCCGATCACCACAATGCATACCAGCAATTGATTGAATCCAGAAATCATGGAAACCCAGCTGCTCGCTTGTCCAATTCTTCGGTCAACGCCTTGCACCGACAGATAATTCCGACCGATTCCTCAATGACGTCGTCCGTTTCGGCAGTCGTCAACAACCCTTCGGCTTCCTTGACCCGGCATCTGAATTCCTGCGGATAACTCGGGTCATCGGGGACGTGCCAAAACGACAACGGGGGCGGGAAAGAGGCAAGATACTCATCATCCTCCCCCGGTAACCCCCAGAACTCGGGGCCGGCCTTGACAAGCTGCCGACGTATAAAGCGTCCCCCGTTGAACAACGCCTGGTATAAGACCCACGCGTACGCCAGCAGCCGGTGCGGCTTTTCCTGGATCCGACTCCGGATGTCTTCTCTGATGCGGGTATTGCCAAGTTCCCTGTCGGTGAGATGGGCGATGGCAGGATCCAGCAAGCGAAGACATGCGAGATCTTCCTGGAGCCGCTTCGTGCGGTTCAGGCCGTCCATGCGAACCAGCTCGGACAGCTGCCATACCTTATCTCGATACGCGGCGGCGTTGGTGTCCTGTGAGCTTTCACTGTCCGAGGAGCCGGAAGCATCGATTTCGCGCCAGGCCTCCTCGAAACCAAGGTATATCTCAGCGTAAAACGAGAATCCAACTGCATAGGCGACCAGCGACTTTTTCTCTCCAGTGAGGCACTGCCGGATGCGCTCTGTGTTCATGTGGTTCACCTCTCCATGAGGCACCCTGGGAAACAGTCACTAAACCCTTGCTCTCTATCAAACCGATTTGCGGGATGCGGTGCTTGCAGAAGAACGAAAAGCCACCAACCTAATCGCTTCTTTAATCCGAGCTGTAATGTCAGTCATTGCGAGCAGTTCACTCCGGGGTTCTGGTCTGGTGCTCAGCGTTACAGACATTGTACAAACAGTGGGAATCGTGTGTGGATCATATAGTGTAGAGGGCATCGAGGTGCTCACCGCGTCGTGACGGTGCAAGGGGTGCAATGCAGGGTGAAGGCCACGTCAACACAACACAACACCGCTACATGGAGGGCTCGCCGAGGACCCTACGGCCAACGTAGTGCACAGAGATGAAGGAAATGAATGATTTAATTCTCCTACCTTACGTGAGGAACTAGCTGAGGTAAATACATGAGACATCCGCGGGAGGAGCGGCTCGGAACGTCATAACGCGGGCGGAAAGCGACGGTAGAACGTAACCTATACCTAACGCTCGGTTGTCGAAACATACTTTGTCATACATGGGGGATGTACCTTATACGCTGCTACCGAAAGTAGTAAGAGCTGACAGTACCGAGCTATCTAAGAAAAAAGTATTGGCAGGGTCCATTTAGGCTTAAGAAATTTAGGAATACATAGCTATTGGCCTAAACTTATCTCCTAAATTAATTCATTATTGACTTCACACGCCCTCTACTAGACTTGTGGCCTTATATTAAAGTAAATCAAAGTATGAAATCTAATGTATTGATTATGGTTCATGTCTCATGACAATATATATAAACGAACAATGGAAATGTATCGGAGAAATTAACAGAAAGAGAAAGCTTAGAACTTCAGGACGGCCTTGCCGAGGTTCTTGCCGTAGAAGATACCAATCAGGCCCTCGGGAGCGTTCTCGATACCCTCGGTCTCGTGGAGCAGGGACTTGAAGGATCCCTCCTTGATCCACTGCTGGACGTTCTTCTGGTGCTCCTTGGTGTACTTGTCACCCATGCCAGCGTCGCCGACGATGAAGCCGCGCATGGTCAGACGCTTGGTGAGCACCTTCTGGATGTTGGTGATGGGGTAAGGAGCGTGGTTGTACTGCGAGATCATGCCGCAGACGACGATGCGGCCGAAGTCGTTGATGGCGTTGAGGGCAGCCTCGAGGTGCTCGCCGCCGACGTTCTCGTAGTAGATGTCAATACCGTTGGGGGCCAGGCGCGCCAGCGCGTCAGCGGGCTTCTCGGTCTTGTAGTTGAAGCCGCCGTCGAAGCCCAGGGTGTTGATGATGTAGTCCAGCTTCTGGTCGGAGCCGACGCTACCGATGACCTTGAGGCCCTCGTGCTTGGCCAATTGGCCGACCAGCTGGCCGACGGCACCGCTGGCCGCCGAGACGAAGATGGTCTCGCCCTTCTTGGGCTTGCCGATCTCGTACAGCGACGAGTAGGCAGTCAGACCGGGCATGCCGAGGGCGCCGAGGAAGATGCGGATGTCCTCGATGCCGAGGGGGTTGTCGAGGGGACGGATGCGCACGATCTGCTGGCCGTCCAGGGCGATGTACTGCTGGATGGGCACGTATCCGTAGATCAGGTCGCCCTCCTTGTACTTGTCATTGTTCGAGCGGAGGACCTTGGCGATGGTGGCGCTCTCAATGGGCTTGTTGAGTTCGAAGGGAGCCGAGTAGGACTTAATGGAAGGGTCGCGCATACGACCACGCATGTAGGGGTCGAAGCTGGTGTAGAGCGACTGCAGCACGACACCGTTCTCGGGGGTCGGCACGTTGGCGTCATAGGAGACGGGCTGCACAGCGATGTGCTCACCGGCAACGGGGTATCCCTCAGGGATCTTGGTGAAGTACAGAGCCGAGTTCTGAGACATGGTTGGATATTATATATAGAGAGAGATGGAGACGAATATGTATTAAGAAAGATCTAGTGAGGGTATACAATGCGAAAAAGACGGACGACAGGGATATGCCCGGGTTACATATATAGTCGCTCGAGACGGGGACATGGCGGCAGAACTGATCAACGGTGGATTTGTAATAATGATGGAATACGTCTGCATGATTCTACTCAACGTTCTGAAGCGGGTCTGCAACCGAAAAGTCTCTGAGGAGGGGAGATACAGTTCTGGAAGGGGAGCGAATGGCCGTCGAAACACCAGAATGCCTAGGTAACTGCCGGAAACAGAACCAAGAATTGGAGCACGCAGGGCGGGTCACTCTCGATCCATAGCAGTCTTAGCAGACTCATTGGTGCTCGGGTGGACCGGTGCGAGACGGATTATTCAGAAGACTTGAAGAATCTCGGGAGAAAGCCACGGTTGGGGCAAAGTCACCGGGTGCTCCATTCTGAACTCTCGGAGATGTTGCTGAATCTGAATCGCACCGGAGGCGAGACCAGCCAGACGGAGCGAATTGCAGGAATTAATTCCCTACTCTGAGGGATAAAAATTGGAATAACTCGAATGCTGAATCGGGTAGTTCGAATAATCATTAATCGGCAGTGAAGATGGGAGGCAGTTGCTCCGTTCTCCGCTTGAATTGTGATGGCGTTGAGTGATGAACCCAAAGGTGGACAAGACGATGAAGTCACCACTTTTTTTCTTCTTTCTTTTCGTCTCGAAGAGCCCGCATCCCGTGACTTTGCTGTTTCGGGCCAGGGGTTTTTTTTTTTTCTCTTTGCATAAATTGCACCTTCCTTTTTTGGGAACGGCATAGCTGAGGTCAGCAATGTGTACAAACATATGCCTTATTGGTGTCTGACGGATGCCTCAGGAACACCATGTTAGTCACCTCTATTGCCTGAGGCCCAGTTTTCGCGTTCCTTCGAGAAAACACGGCGAACGCGGAGTAAGTAGAGAGCAACGCGACTCATATAGAACTATACAACTCATAGACATAATACAACTCAGTCCATCAGCGGATCAAAGTCAGCACCTTATCTTCACGTCTCCCCTGGCCATCGCCCCCAAAATCCTTCTCCCCTGAACTGCCAAATTTTCTTCGTCCGGACTATCTTTCCGCCGGCGTTCCTTATCACCTCCGAAGTGTTTTTTCCACCGTCTCCACATCTTCTCTTGTCTGTCATTTGGATTTTTTGTTCATTGTCGGGGATTTGACGTCGGCTTTGATTCTTTTTGTATCTTTATTCTTTGTGTTTGTATCTTGTTCTCGGATTCATTCTTTACCTGTGTCTTCCCTTTCCCTCCCTTTTCTCTCCCATCATGCTTAGCGCCCTACGTCGCTTCGGCGTCAGCCATGCGCTGCGAGCCTCGACGCCTCGCGCTGTATCGTCCGGATTGACTCCCCGAGCTTTGCAATGGCATCCTTCCTCCTCCGCTTCGCTCCAATTTGCGCCGAAGTCCTTATACCATGTTTCTGCTCCCCGTTTCTCTGCAGCTCAGGCGCAGGAACTGAGTGTCGAGGAGAGCGAGGAGGTGGCCAAGTTTTCACAGTTGGCCGACAAGAACCTAGTTGATCGCAAAATCATCCGGACCATCACCGAGAGGATGAACATCACCGACATGACCGATGTCCAAAAGATGACCATCGCAGACACGCTGAAAGGCGGCGACGTGTGAGTTCGCCTTCCAAACGTGTGGGAGCTGAAAATTTCCTTTGCTGATAACCATGCGCACCACAGGTTGGCCCAGGCTAAGACTGGTACCGGAAAGACGCTCGCATTTCTTCTCCCGGTGTTGCAGAGCATACTCAATGATCGCACCCTAGACCTTAGTCGACGCTCCTCCCATTCCTCCACCGACATTCGCTCTATTATCATCTCCCCGACCCGTGAATTGGCGGAACAGATTGCCACTGAGGCGAAACGGATCTCCGCGGGTACTGGTATCCAGGTGCAGACGGCCGTCGGAGGAACGCAGAAACGGATGCACTTGGACTTGATGCGGAGACACGGATGTCATCTGTTGGTTGGCACCCCCGGCCGCCTCCTCGATCTTTTGTCGGATCCTTACAGCCGCGTCCGGGCTCCCCAGTTGTCCTCGTTCGTCTTGGATGAAGCGGATCGTCTGCTCGATGAAGGGTTTTCCGAGGACATTTTCGAGATCCAGTCTCACCTTCCTGCCCCCGAAGAGGTTGACCGACAAACGCTTCTGTTTTCGGCTACCATGCCCTCTGGAGTGATGAAGATGGTTAACCGGATCATGAAGCCCGACTACAAGTTCATCCGGACTATCAAGGAGGATGAAGTTCCCACTCATCTCCGTGTGCCCCAGAAGTTGGTTACCCTGAATGGATTTGAAAATGCCTATCCTGCCATTTTGGAACTGGCCAAGAACTACTTGGCCTCATCAAACGAGCGCCCATTCAAGGCCATCGTCTACTTCAACTCAACCAAGGAGGTCAACCTGGCCTACGAGGTGTTCAACAACATGGTCAACGAACCCGGGGCTGTTCGCAGCGGACACCCCCTCGGCAAAGTACGCAGATACGAGCTGCACTCCCGCCTCACCCAAGCTCGGAGATCTCTCTACGCTGACAAATTCCGTGCCGATAAATCTGCCATCCTCTTCTCGTCCGATGTCACGGCCCGTGGCATGGACTTCCCGGATGTCACGCATGTCATCCAAGTCGGAATCGCTCGCGACCGGGAATCCTACATCCATCGTTTGGGCCGCACCGGGCGTGCCAACAAAACCGGCGAAGGGTGGACTTTCATTCACCAGAATGAGCAAAGGTCTTTGAACCAAAGGCTACACAGCCTGCCGATTGAAAAGGTTGACTCGCTGGCTACAGCCTCCGTTGACATCACCGACGAGGCGGCAGGCGCTCCTGCTGAGGCCGAAGAGACCTTGGAGCAAGTCGCAGACGCCTTGGAACAAGTTCCCGAAGACTTGAGAGTTGAGAGCTGGAAGGCCATGTTCGGCACCTTGGTCGGCACTTTTGATGACCATCGGGTTATGATCCAGAGCATGAAGGATCTGGCTTTGCATGGGTACAAACTCCCTCAGGTGCCGCCTATGCCTAGACAACTTGGCAACTCGAGACGCAGCAGGGGTTCATCTATGTCCGGCGGACAACGCTCCCGGGACCGATTCTCAGGAAGGCAGGGTGATGGTCCGTACAGTCGTGGACCCCGTTTTGAAAGAAATGGCCAGAGGCACCGTCGCGAACCCCGTCGCGACAAGCCCTTCTATGATTTCTAATCCCGCACGTGTCTTGTCTGAGCTTCAAGTCCGAGTGGGAATAAGAACGAACCCCAATGACGGCAACACACGAAAAAAGCGACTTCCCAAGAAATGGGAAGAACAAAACACAAAGAGAACAACCAGACCAAAACTATGATAATTCTCAATTTTGCATTGGGCGGCGTTTCTACTCATCATCTCTTGCTGACAAATGGATTTGATTTCAACGGACATCTCTCTCCTCTGGGTTCGACATTTTCTTTCTTATCCCATGTATTCTTGACACGTTTAATCTTTTCACCTACCTACCTACCTGATCCTGTGTTTTCAATGTCCTACAGGCGGCGACATCTCCCCCCCTCCTTGTCTGACTTGACACTGCGGCTTCGTTCTTATTTCAAACATTTGTCCTCTCCCTTCATCCACCATGTCCATGGAAAAGAAAAGATACACTTATTTGTCTTACGCTGGGCGTCACTGGGACCGGAACTTTTTCTCTTTCTCGTTGTCTTTATGTATGCGGATATGTACTGTACTTGTTTTCCTGTTGCTGTTGCTGTTTGGGGCCGAAGACAGACAGACCAGACCGATGTATGTATTTCTATATGTGTATATGTATATGCCCTCCTCACTACTTTACCTATTTAGATGTGTGTATTTTGATTTTTAGATTGTTCTCTTGTCTGTCTTGGGAGTATCTAGACTAGAGTACTACATAATGTATTGATTGTAGGTGTCCAGATCAGCGAAATCGTGGACTCGGTTAGCCTAGAGTCAATCAATGGAATGGGTTTTCTATCTCTAGAATTGTTTATCAACCTTTCTCCTACCTACCTACCTACTCAACAAGATACTAAATAGACAAAGAAACAAGATAGGAATCATTGCATCGCTAATCTCATAAGAAGTTCATGATTTGAAAAACAGAAGTAAAGTACATAAAGAACAGTCGGAAAGAAAATGAGACAGACTGATGAAATGAAATGAAATCTATTTATTCGTCTGCAAGAATCCCAATCTAGTCCAATCGAATTGAACCAAATCAAATAGATCCACCCCCATCACCATCGTCCCGATACCTACTATCCATCTAGGTATTATCCTATCTAGATATTATCGTCAAAGGAAATAAAAAAAATTTCCACGATCGTCGAGAAAGACCGTTCTATAAAAAAGACCAAAGAACCCAAGCAGAGGACTCAAGATAAAACAGAAAAAAGAATCATATAATCCAACCAGACGTACAGAATCAATAGATGATGATCCAGATCTCAATGGATCAATCATCAAGGATATTGAAACAAAGTTCAACTCAAATCAAATCAAGATAACAGGATATCAAGAATGAAGAATGAAGAAAGAAGAAAGGAAGGAAGGAAGGAAAGGGAGGTAACTAACCAACCTGCCTTGTTTCCCTCCCATTTCTAAAAAGATGTATGCAAGAACTGTAATCCGTTGTTTTCTCTATCCATCTCTTTCTCTCTTTCTTTCTCTCTCTCTCTCGCTCCTTTTACCCTCTACGACAGGAATTTTTAGAATAGAGGGATGATTGATCTTTTTACTCACGAGCGATCATGTCCTCCCGAGCAGGGCCAGTGCCGATCCATTTCACAGGGACACCGCCCAGACCGCGCTCAATGTACTCGATGTAGGAGCGTGCGTTAGCGGGCAGATCCTCGTACTTCTTGACACCCATGGTGTTGCTCTTCCAGCCGGGCAGGGTGACGTATTCCACCTGGACCTTGTCGAGGACGTCGGCGTCGGCGGGGATGGTGTTCTCCGTGCGGGTGCCGTCGGGCAGGATGTAGGCGACACCGACCTTGATCTCGTCGAAGTCGTCCAGGATATCCAGTTTCGTCAGGTTCAAGGCGGTGTAGTGGTTGATGGCGTGAGAGTAGCGGCAGAGGACCAGGTCGAACCAACCGCAGCGGCGACGGCGGCCGGTGGTGACACCGAACTCACGGCCGACTTCCTGCAGCTTCGTACCGACCTCGTTGAGCTGTTCACTGGGGAAGGGACCGGAGCCGACACGGGTGGTGTAGGCTTTCACTACACCGACGATCGACGTGATGCTGGTAGGGTTCAGAGAGAGGGCCTGAACGGCACCGCCCAGACCGGTCGATGAGGAAGTCACATAGGGGTAAGTGCCGTGGTCCAGGTCCAGCATGAGGGCGTTAGCACCTTCGACCAGAGTTTCGGGGGAATCCTTGTATTTCTGCAGGAAGGCCAACTGGTCGACAATGTAGGGACCAAGCTTGGTGCGGTATTCCTGGCAATGGGTCAATATCAGCCGTCAAGACGGCTAGTGCAACAACATCAGAGGGGGAAAAGAAAAATTGCTCCCTCACCTTGAACCGCGCAATCTCATCCTCGACATTGTAGTCGAGCTCACCGAAGCGGGCAGTGTATCCGGCATGCAGAGTCCGCAGCTTGCGCTCAAAGACAGCCTCGTCCAGGATCTCGCCAACGCGAACACCCCGACGGGAAGCCTTGTCACTGTAGCAAGGGCCGATACCCTTACCGGTGGTGCCAACCTTACGGCCACCCAGTTTGGCCTCCTCCAGGCCATCCACAACAGAGTGCAGGTCCAGACAGACGTGAGCACGATCCGAGACAAAGATGCGCTCGCTGGCACCCTTCAGACCCTTCTCCTCGAGGGAGGCCAACTCCTTGAAGAAGCTGGGGACGTGGAAGACGGTTCCCGCGCCGATGAGGTTGATACACGAGGGAGAGACCAGGCCGGAGGGAAGGATGTGGAAGTCGTAAGTCTTCGAGCCGTGAACGATGGTATGACCCGCATCTGGGTACAGTCCAGTCAGTATTTACCTCTCAGCGGGGATATGGCGGGGTGGATAGAGGGGTGACTCACTATGACCGCCAGCGGCACGACAGCAAAGCGTAGCCTGCTGCGAAAGCATATCGGTAATCTTCCCCTTTCCTAAAACCCCCCCAAAGATTCGTAATTAGTGTCCTATTACTTCTCCAGAACGACCGATGCATTCTCCAATGGATCCCGGGTCCCACCTTCATCACCCCACTGGCTACCCAGCACGATTGTGATACCCATATTGGCTATGTAGGTGAAACAGCGACCCGGCTAGATATCTCTGGCGATAGAACAGGATATTCGTCGATAATGACTCTTCAATTGGCAAGCAAACACAGCCAGAAGAACAGAAATCCGAGACTCGAGACGTGGAGGTCCAAAGAGGTTCAAACAGATTGGAAGATCCCGGGGTAAAAGCGCAATCGAAAGGTAGACTTTCAAGCAGAGGAAAGCCACAGCAAATCAATCTAATCACACAAGGGAATGTAGGAAGTAGTCGATGGAGCAGCAGCGAAAAGTTCGCGACCGTCAAAGATCCAAAAGCGGGAAAAGAAACGGAGGGGGGAATCTGCGCAGAGCCAAAGTCATATATGTCCGCGGTGACTCAGCCCCTCCCCGGCTGGTATTTGTCGATACTGTAACCGTACGCCATTTTCCCCGGTGAGGGGCCATTGACAGCGCTGCCCACGCCGGTCTTACCGTTTGGTTCGGTCACGCCGGAGACTTGGCGGGGTCGCGCCCGCATTGGGCAGGTGGCGGCCTAAGGCGGAGGGCTCCGCGATCGGACGGACTAGGGCTTGGGGCTTGGGGTTAGGGTCGTTCAGGGTCACGGAGATTGCGGTTTACGAGGAGGCGCAAACGGATTTGAAAAAAAAAAAAAAAAAAGAAAGAAAATATAATAAATAGATGCGTAGTGGGAATGAATCTATGGTACAAACAAGACACTCGTGTCTCCCTTTTGTGTTTCCCGGGCGTTGTATCTCGTCCGGTCCTGTGTATATTAGAAATCCCTCCAGAGAACGCCAATTCCATGCAAAAATGAAGCGAGTTTGATCAATCAATCTTGACAAACTGACAGACCGAGCGCTCCTCAGAAAAGCCGACTACTGTTCAGAAGCGAATCCCGCAGCTGTCCGTGCGCGAAGATACATTCCATGTGCATCTCCCTCGCCACTTCCCAGTGCTTTTGGGCCTGCCTATCCTGCTCAAGCGCGCGCACGTAGGCGTTGAAACCACACTTGCTGCTTTGGGGGACCTTGGTGTCATCATCGTCGTCCTCCTGCGTTTCCTTGGAGTCTTCCTGGCCATCCCCATTACTGACCTTCACACCGGTCGAGTCGCCCACAGCGCCTAGCCAGTGTGGAGCCATTCCCGTGTCGAGTGTCTCCTGGCGCGCAACGAAGTGGTTCAGCATTTCTTTGTTGAAAGCGCTCCACCGGCGCATGTAGAATTCCATTTCTGCGAGGTGTCGGTCCCAGGCAGCGCGCGACAGCCCGAGTCGCTCGGACCCCAGACTCATGGGCACCAGCGGCGGCGGCTGCGGGCGTTTCGGGGGGTTGGGCAACACGAGCTTGGGAGCACGGATGTCATTCATTGTGGTTCTGGAAGTTTTGGCACGGGATTCGAAAGGTAGACTGGCGTGGATGTCTTGCAGATCGTCAATACCGCCGTGACTTGTAGAGGTGAATGGCGCAGCTTCACGTAGCCCGTCCAGGTTGAAGAGTTTGCTCTCTTTTGAGTTTTCCATTGTACTCGAAGCCGGCTGGGTCTGCGAAGGGGTTTCTTTCCCAGCATCCTTGGCTGGACCTGGCTCTACATTTGCGTTTGTGTCCGCACTCGTGGCCGTGTTCGCGGGAAGTTCATCATCAAGATCCATAGCCTCGGCATCATCCGATCCAGTCTTGGGAGGTTCCGGCTTATCGCTTGCATTAACCGTGGACTCAGCCTCTTCAGCCTCCGTAGCGACGGTAGCCGGCTGCGGTGTCGGCCGTACCTTAGCTCCCGGGCGAGTATTCTGTTTCCGAGGGCTCCTCTGGCGCTGGGTATTGGCAGCTTGCTGTGGGTTCTTAGACTCATCATCCTTTGGCATGGCCCAACCACTGTCACTGAATTTCCGGGCCCAGTCGTCCGCATGGAACTTGCCCTCTGGGAAAGGAGGGTATTTCTGCTGGCTGGTAGATCCTGAACGAGATGAGTCGTGGGTTGATGATGCGTCGGCCGAAGCACTCCCCGGTTTAGGGCTGTTCCTGGTTTCGGTCCGACCTCGACTGCCCGGCCTCGTTGGGGACTGCGCGGGTTCTTGGCCGGGTGGTGCTGGTTTGAAGAAATCGAACCCTCCCCAGCTATCCGCGGAGAAGGGCTTCCTGAGGTCGTCGTGGCTACTGCTTTTGAAAGTTCCAGTATGTGGTATATTGTTGGGTTTGGGTCCTTGGGTGCTGCATAAGATAGTTAGCTACCAGTATTTCCAGGCCATTGTCGGAGGGAACACAGGTTCGTCATACGATTCGAAAGGTGTTTGGGCTCGAGCACCGAACACGTTTCCCGGCGATGCTGTACCATCGAATTCATGGACTGTCAAGTCAGTTCTGCTGCATTCCTAGCGCCCAAAAGGGATAACTCACCATTGGCAGCACCCCCTGGCTGCTGCGTATGAAAACCAGAAAATTTCTGATGAGGACGAAGCCTGCTCTTTGGAACCGCCTTGGGTTTGTGCGCAGGGAAGATATCATCATCGTCGGTCTCACTTGAGCTCGTAGACGAGTAATTCCGGGGCGTGTCCGTTTTGAACTTGGGGCTAGCACTCCGATGCCTGCCTGACTCGGGCGGTGTCGGGCTGGGAGGATTCGTCCGCGAATATGGTTTGGGACTTCCAGTTGAATCGCGAACGCTCGAAGACCGTCCGAAGCCCGTACTCGAAAAGAAAGTCCGCTCGCCTCCGGTGCTGGCATACTGTCTACTGGCGCGCTCGAATTCCGGGGTACGCAGAGTGTCTGCACGACTGGAGAATCCGGCGGCTGCTTTCCTAGCAGTCGGGGAGGGGGCAGTCCCAAAGACATTAGGGGTATGCGAACGCTCGCCGCGATACGCGTTAGAGTAGGAGGACGTGCTAGAGGCCATGGGTTCATCACCACCGGCGGCCGCTCGCGGGGCAAACCCCTGCTTCTTCCTAGCGGATTGCGCGCGCGAAGGGTCCGGGGTCGAGGGTTTCGGGGAGGTTTTGAAATACTCGTAGGCGGACTTGGGTCGTTGCTGGCCCGCAGAAGCTGCAGTAGGTCGAGGCGTAGCCCCCGGGAAGGCCGATCGTCCGGTACGAGGGTCAAATTGGTTCCATCCCGGCATACCATTGCCTTTCATTTCTTGGAACCCACGGTAGGCGTCCGCGCGAGTCTGTCCCTCGTTGCTCGTCTTCTCCCAAGGCTGCTTAGGCGCCGCACGAGCATAACTAGCATACCGCTGCGCGCCGGAGGACGGACCGCTATGATAGGATTGGGGTCGCGCAGAGAAGGGCTGTTTCGCAGTCGGAGGCTTCGGTGAAGGCGTCGAGGCGAAGTTACTCGTGGCCGTCTTCCGCGTAGCGCTTGGTTTAGGCGGGCCGTACAGCTTTCCATACCCAGCGCGTAACCGATCCGTATCATATCTCAACCGTTGTTGCGCATCGCTAAGGATTTCGTGGGCGGCCTGAATCGCCTGGAACTTCGATATAAACTCCAACTCCCGGCCTGGGTTCCTATCGGGGTGATACTTGAGAGCTAGAACAACAGCTGTTAACAAAGACCTCGTACGGCCCAGCCACACCAAGAACCGCCATACCTAGCTTTCGGAACTGCTTCTTGATATCCTCCGACTCGGCACTCGGCGTCAAACCCAAGTCCGCATAGTAATCCCTCCGCACGTCTGCTTTCACCATATTGCGAGAGAACCGTAGCCAGGAGGCTCCGGTCTATTGCCGAAGGAAGATGTCACACTATAGTCGCACCACTTTCTAGTCGTCTCCCACATGACCTGTCACAGGAAGCCGAGAAGACACAATCGCGGGGCTCGGAGGACGATGCGATCGAAAGAACGGCGTAATAAAGGCCGAACGACCCAAACTAGATATAATCCACAAGCGTGAAGTCAAACAGACACTCTAAGCTGAACGAACGACGAACAGACTCCAAAGGGATTTCTTCAACAGATCGGCAAGAATTATGTGCGGCTTCGGATTTAAGCTCGTGGGGATGAACGAGACAGACCCCTCCACCGGTCCAGACAGACGCAAAGTATAGCTTTCAGAGCACCTGCTAACGTATCGAACCTCGTAGTTTATTGCCTCATTTATCGAAGTCTGGCTGCGCGGAGTATTGCTTAACAACCCTGCGGACAAAGGGCGATCTGGTTGAAGGTACGAGAAATAAACATGATCTTCCCAACCGAGGGGCTATGACGAACGAAACAAAGGGCGATATGGTAGGACACGTCGAACGCAGGTATAGTATAAAACCGAGAATGATACGCAAGAAGACAGGGAGGAATTGTCTGTCGAGAATTTGTCAGATCGAGAGCAAGGCCGCAGCTGAATTGAGGAAGGCAGCTGGCTAGGTAGCCTCCAGGCGCAGCGAGAGTTGAACGGACCTTTTTATCTCTGGCGAGATTCTCCAGAGGCGGATACGAAGGAGGGTCAGAATCAGCAGAGAAGGAATAATAAAAAAAATAAATAAAAAAGAAACGAGCGAGAGTAATGCGGTTATCGATAGCCAAGACAGGGTGCGCTGGCCTGCGCCAGATCAAAGATGGGTTTCATCCCGGAGGTTTTTCTTTTTGTTTTGGCGGTTGGCGGTTGCGGGAACAACTCAAGGGCCGATTTGCTGCCCAATGAATACTTCATCCGGGCCTCACCTTCGCTCTTGGATATTCCAAGCAAGGCACTGAGCGCTGTGATGAATCTACGGTCTTCGCAGGGTCGTCAATTGGGTAAAAATAGTGAAATTGTTTTCTCGAATTGCGCGTTTCATGAGCCGCAACAGCTCGGATATCCAAAACAAGCATCGTAGCAACGACAAACAAACAAACAAAAGCAGCAAGTATATCCGCTAGCATGTAGAAAAGCAGGTACATACATGCATACTTATATTAGCATGAAGAGGTATCTTCCAAGTACTCTCGGCCTCAATAGACAAGGAGTACCGAGTCCGAAATAAAAAGTCAAGTAAGTATCAGATCATAACGAAAGAAATGGAAGGAAACTAGAAAATTCGTCGAATCATTTCATCCATCCTTTTGAGAAACCCAAAATGCACGAAGACCTAGGGCAAATAAGAGAATAGGAAACCGAGGCGCCAAAAAAGGGTCTCTGCCCAACAGCCCAGGGTCTACTAGATATGTCAATCCAAGCACTACCCCCACATGTCAAACATGTCGATGATCGCCCTACTGGGCATCCCCAGATGGACCGGCGCCCGATCCACCGAAGAAATAGCCTTCTAAAATGTCGAGATTGGGATTTTCGCTCCAATCATGTTGGAAGTCCACCGCCATGCCAAACCCGAGGTCAATCCCGACGCTATGGCCCACGCCGTGTCCCAATGAGGGCATCGCCTGCAGATTATATTCCGACATTTCGTCGGAACCAAAGTGAACTTGTCCCTCGGCACCCGCAGGATCAAATTCCAAGAAGTCCAGGCTGATTCCAGTTTGGTGTTCTTGATCCATAGCCTGTGGCGGCTGGTGGCCGGAGTGAGCAACAACGCTGCTAGGTGATGCGCTTGGCTGCGGAGAGTTTGCGAAGAAATATTGCTGCTGTTGCTGTTGCTGTTGCTGCGGCGAGACAGGACTCTCGTAGTTACCATAGAACTCTATCGGGGGCGACTGCTGAGGCGGCGGTCGAGTGGCTCGACTGGGGGTAAAATTCGACGTTGACGCTTCGGGGTATTCCGATCGGCCATATGCCTGCACCGGCTTGCGCGGACCACCGGTTTGACGATCCGAAACGGGATCGTTGTCACTAAACAGATCCCCCAGATTCATGTCAAACCTCGGCATTGGACGGGACTGGCGCGTCTGCGCTGGTCGTCGCACGGGCCCATGAGACGGTCCCGGTCTCTGATCCATGGTATATCGCACATGCTGTCTTGACCGGTTATTGTACGAGCCATTCGATGGCATTGAATTGGTTTGCACGCGAGTCAAGTCTACCTGAGAACCAAATCCGGTAGTTGATAAGCACATTTGCACGGTCGCTTTGCTCATCCGCTCGAACGCATCCCGGCATGATTCTGCGGGCGGGCACTTATGCATCAAATCTCCTAGGACGGACGTGGCAGCAAGCACTGTAAAATCCACCTCATCAAGGGTCTGACCGTTCTAGTTAGCTTGGGCCCGAACTGATCTGCAGCGGGACTATGGGGGAACTTACCAAACGGCTTCGGACCAAAGGGGAATGCCAGATCGCGTATAAGAATGAGATGCCTGCCATGAAGATATGATGAGTGGCTAGGTAGGTATAGTTCACCAGTCGTACGCGATGCATTTGACGATATATCCGAATGACTTTCTGACCGGCTTCAGCGACTTTGTAGTAGATATCATCTTCATCCTCGGCCTCATCCACATTGGAGAATGACGGGCTAGACACGTCTTCGGCCGGAGTCATTTCGTCCGCCAACTCCGCGGGAACCGTGAGGCTTTGTTGATACAGCATAATGACTGCTTGCCAGTAATTGAGCTCGAGGAATTCGACGGAGAACTGCACGCCCGTTTCGCGCCGAGTGGGCGCGCTCTGCTGCCACTCGGCTAATCGCCGGTGAACATCTTTCCGCCACGAACGGAAAGAGTCAAAGCCTTGCAGAAACGGAGACGACAGATCCGAGCGCATGAACCGCCGTGCGGCATAGGGTGCCTTTTGCCTAGCAAATCGGGCTTGCTGATACTGTAGCACGTCCTGAATCTCGGACTGCAGCACCCTCAACTTGAAGTAATGATGCGCCGCATGCTTGTAACTTGGCGCACCTTCCGGAGGCGCCAAAATCCCAGACTTGGTGATGTATGAGTCCTCCAATAGTGACGGGAACTCGGTGCTGATGGCCTGATCGCTGATTCCAAAGGGGCGGCCCACGCAACAGCTGACCAAACGATCAAAGCTATAAACACACCACCACAGCCGGCGACGGAGATCCCGGACCCATTCTCGGCGTCCACGCTCACGGTTATCTATGCGCGCCTTGGAGTTATCTTCATCTTTTTTATGCGAGCGGTTTAAGCTTTCGTCGCCATGCGAATCAATGCCAGCGCCGTCCTCATAATGGAGACCAAGATCGACAGCCAGCCGCATGGCGACCCCGACAATGTACCAAAGTCCCGGAGCCACAGGCCGCAACAAGGCGAAACTGGCAAGCAGCAGCACTGCCTGCAGCTCTTCTAATGCGCCAAACCCATCACCCGACGACGACGCCCCCAGGAAAGATTCCAGGTGAATGATGGCCGAGGCATGATATTCTTCCGGTTGGCATTGATGGCTTGACAACCGCGGCCTCTTGGCAGAGGACGACGTGGGCGATTGAGCACGGCCTTCACCTTTATGCTCATTTGATGCTTTATCTTCAAATATGATGCCGGCGCCGATGGCGAATACGATGTTCAGAATGTAAAGGCTGCGAGGGGAACGGCTTTTCTCGTCGACCGCGTAGGTGCGGTCCAGTAAATCCATGAAATCGGCGCGGTGGAGAATGGGCATCTGGGGGTTTGCATGCTCGAAATACAGATGAGCCAGGCGTTCAGCCAGCTCGCGGTCCGGGAACGTTGCACATTTCATCATCGGCCTCGTCTGGAGACCGAAAAAGGAATCTCGCATGGTACTTCCCGCCGTTCCGGTGGCGCTATGGGGTAGCCGCTCGTGAGGCCGCATGGGACCACGGTCCGATACATTGCCTGCGACGGAGCTTTTCACCGCGGCGAACACGACTCGCGCGAAGGAGATTCCCGACGTGGAACCCAAATATCGAGGATCCGACGTGCCTTGGACCGAGACCATACCAATATTCGACACGAGGTTGTGTATGCGCCAGTTGTCTTCGCGTTCGTGATCGCGACTGGCCTCCGGGTCACGTTCATTCTCCGGGTTCCCATCGGGTCGCGCAGCCAGGTTCTCCTTCTCCCCTTTCACTCGCGTCACTCTCCCGTTTGTTGTGTCGGGGGTCGGTACCTCGGCACTTGTCGACGTCTCCGCGTTAACTACTTGAGTCTGAGCAGGATCGTAACCGGCTTCCACTTTGATAGCCTCCTCTTCGTCAAAGGCTACCGGGTCTTTGAATTCAATTTGTTTGTCCATCAACAGCTTCTCTAAATATGCCACGCGGGCCTCGAGGAAATACACATAGCTCCGTGGAATCTCTCGTTTGGTAATGGGGTCATAGCCAACACAGCGCACACTAGCCTTCTCGCAGGACTGACATCGGGGCAGCCGTTGATCGCAACGGTTCTTGCGCAGTCGGCAGCGGTTACACGCGGATACGTTGCGGAACGAGGAATTCGAGGCGGAGGAGGGTGCGAGCGGGCGGTTCATCGGTGCGTCGCGGGAGGAGCGCAGCGGCGGTTGCGCCGACGTGTCCGGCAGGGCCGCAGCGGGCTCTGCAGGCGGGTGCGGTCGTTTCCTCCCTATGGAGGTTGGCGAAACCGGGGACGCAGGGTTCAGCATGGCGGGAACAGTACCTAGACAGGAAGTGCACACATGCGACCACGCCCCAAGAATGGAGGACTGTTGCAGCGAGCCAAGTTAAGCGGGGAGGAGGCCGTATACCGAGGACCCAAAGACGAATCAGCATTCATGTTAAGTCATGCGCTGGGCTGGCGTTGTAGTTGAGTTCGCCTTGTCGGCGCGGTCGAGTTTTCTCGCTTCGATAGCAGGAGGAGGATGATTGACGGGAAACCAACGGAACTCCTCACTTGTAGGTGGTATCCCTATCCGCGGGCTTTCTTAGTCTCCGAGATGATAGTCGGGTAGAGAGGCGAATGGGGTCTGGAGGGCAGGGCACAATCGCAGCCCATGTCGGAAAGGGTCTGCCACCACCACAGTGATCTCGACGGCACAACAGAACCAAGGCGGCGCGATGCAAGTCGATTGAAGAAAAATTGAGAGGCATGGAAGTTCGGATGGGACAAATTGGTGGAGTCCAGACTGACACTGGGGGAGCCGGTACCTAGGCAATTAGTTCGCGGACTAGTAACAAAGAGCTGTATGGGCAGCGTAAGCTAGGTTGGATGAAAAAGCACCGAGCTCAAGTACCGAGGACTGGAGCATGGTGCAACCATCAGTACTGAGGCCAAACAATCCCTCCAGCACCTAGACCTTGGGGGAATTGGGAAAGGTGTTGTAGGAGAGGGCGTCTATTTACTGCCTGCCTAGCAGGTGTAGCAGGTGCATCCATGGACGTCGGTTGAGGCAAACAGCCCAAACACTCCGGCGGTACAATACCGTACCCTTACACGTGACCCGGTAAGCCGGACGGATTGAGGGTGATGATGATTGGCTGCTGATAAGCAATGCGCGTTAGTCAGCAGGACTGCGTGGGGTCGTTCTTTCCTCTTTCAGTTCGCTTCAGCTTCTGGAAGGAACCCCTTTCGTCCAGCCAGCTCCCCTTCAATTCGAGGTACCTCCAGTCCTCGCGATGTTCTCGCTATCCAGAACCACACTCCCTACAGCAGGGCTGGACGCCCTCGCCTATAACGAAAGGGACCCCCCTGGTTCGATTCAGACCCCGCACTACTCGATGACGTGAAAGAGCACCAAGTGGCATGCATGTCAAGTAAGGCTTGGCTCTGCGGCACTGACAGGTATCCATCCTCTTCCCAGGTGGCATGCGGGGGATGTGAGTGGTCCCGTCAGCCCCGTCGTTGGGGGAGTCTATGATTTCCGCGCAAGTTAGGTTCGAGTGGGACAACGGCTGCATAGTATATAGTGATAAGATGAGAAGGTGCGGTGATGACTTCACCTCAGCCTTCCCCCAAATGATATTCGCTCTCAAACGAGTTGGATATAATGATAATGACAAATAACCTCCCAGATGCATATGAAGAAAGGAAAAATCAAGCGTGCCCAACCATGCCCCCGATGAATTCCCAGATGAACAGAAATGAAAAAGACGTCCGACCCTCATGCTTCTTTTTGAATATGCATCCAGTCTAACAAACTGCGCCTTCACCCAATCTTGAATCATGATCTAAAACATTGCGAGAAATAAACAGTAAACAAACCCAATCCGCAGGACAATCCACCCTTGTCAGGAGACAAATGCATAGAAGAGGCCAGTGTATAAAGATTTGGCGAAAGATGGAAATGCGGAAGATGCGAGAAAAGAAAAATAGCATAAGATCGACGAAATGGAGAGCGGGGATCCGGAGGGAAACGGAAACGAGAAAGGGATGCAATGCAAAAAAAAAAAAAAAAAAAAAAAAAAATATAAAAAGAATAAGAATAAGAATAAGAACGGGAAACAAAAAAAAAAAGGTCGAGTATGGTGAGAGTGGCAATGACATCACGTTGAAATTGCCAAATCACTCATGCACGGGTTTGAGCGTGGCTGGGGTCAAGTCCACGTTGGGGATTTCAGCGTCATCAACGCTGGTCCGCGCCGAAGAGAGCAATCTCCGCACCTCTTCTGCAGTGGCATCTTCTTTGCCAGCTGTGAAAGAACCCCGCAGGCCATTTCTGCCCACATTCAAGCGCCCCGCGGGTTCTTTCTCGGCATCCTTGCGCCCCTCGCTCTCTTCCATCCAGAAACTCTGGATGGCTCCGATGATGCACACCAGGCCGCAAGCCCACCACGCGATAACCGAGTATCCACTCTCGAGGCCTTTCGAGTGAAGCAGACCCGTCACGGTTGGGCCGAAGGCGCGGCTCAGACTAGCCGTCGAGGCGGCGGCGCCGTTGATGGAGCCCAGGACTTTGGAAGAAGGGGCAGCGTTGGCGAGCAGGATGGCGGTGGCGGGGAAGGCGATGACATGGAAAGTAATCTTGCAGATTAGAGCGACGTACACGGCGGTCGTCTGGAGCGCCTCGGGCAGGAGAATGAGATAGGGAACCAGCAAGTAGAGGGGTGGCCAGACAAGGAGAACGAAGCGAAAGGTGCGCAGGGTGCCAAAGTGTCGAACGACGAAGGGGAACAGCCAGAGCTGCGCGATCATGGAGTAGACGCCCTGCACCGCCAGCATAAAACCGATCGTCTTGGTGGCCATTCCTAAACCTCCCGTGAACTTGAAGGGAAGTACGACTTCCTCGTCGGATTTCGGGGTGCTCAGGAAGACGGGCATTAGCTGGTCGAAGGAAACGCTATGGCTGTAGGTGATGTCAGTGTTCAAATCCCTCAATTACGCAAGAAGGGGGAAGGAGATGAAACGTACTATGCGAGAATTCCGTAGGCGACGATGTTGAAAATGACCTGCTTCGTAAAGGCCTTTGGCGTCTCCCTCTTCTGCCCTTCAATGTCGTCATCATCGGACAAAGAATCCGACTCTTTCACTGGACCCAAACGAGGCGAAGATTCGGTGCTTCTGTATTCCGGCGGAGGGAGATCGAAGTAATCCGTTCCGGTTGAATCTGTCTTGACGTCCGTGTCCTCGGAAAGCTGGACACGCGATCCTGAGCATTTACCGACCAGCCAATGGCCCAATTCCAACCCGGGGTCACGGCGACATTTCTTCTCGGGATGGGTCTCCTCCAGAAACAACAAACCAACGACGACTCCGAAGACGAGGATGACAACGCAGACCACGTTGGGCAGCAGAAATGGGAAGCTATCGAAGATGGTGCCGCGCTGGAATAACCAGGGATAATTGTCGCAGGGCTGTGCCAGCGCACCACCCATGGCGGGTCCGATGATCGATCCTAAGCACCAGACAAATGGCATAATCGAATAAGCCCGGGGCTGGTGTTCTTTGACGGTCACAATCTCCGCCACGGTGGTCTGGAGAACGCCGATGTTTCCATTCAGCAGACCCCCTAGGGCTCGGGCAACCATCGCGGTTGGCAGGTTGGGAGCGAATCCGAATACAATCATACTGATGGCGGTTCCAATCAGACCCATGACCAAGACCGGTTTCCTGCCAATCTTGTCGCTCATTCGACCCCAAAACATGCCCGCTGAGAACTCCGCAAAGGTAAATGCAGATGTAATCATCCCCGCATAGAGGGCAATCTTCTGGTCGTTATCGGTCACGTGGAACGATTCGACCATTTGATAGACGTAGGGGAAGATGGACATGAACGCAATTGGCTCGCAGATGCGGCATAATGCTTGTCAAACTGTCAGTCTCCATGCTAATTCAACGGTATGCAACGCAGAAGAGCGGTCAAAAATGGGACATAGGAAAAGGGCAAGAAAGGGGTCCGTGGAATTTCGACAAGCGGGCAAAGAGCAGGGGGGAGGACGGAAGGGCAAAAAGGTCAAGAAAAAAAAGAAAAAAACATGACAAACAAATCTTCTCCGCGCACACACTATGCAGTCCAAAGAAATTTTATGACCTTGCACGCAAAGAATTTTCAAAACATACCCAGTACAAAAAGTTGACGGATAGGAAAAGCGGACCAATCACCACCGCCATCGTTATGCCGGCGGCCTTGAATACAGGCCGGTCGTTTGAACATATTGTCGATGTGAACAATCTCTCGAAGTCGACGGATCCAAAGGTCTTCTGAATTTGTTCCTTCGTCTTCCTCAAATAACAAAAAAAAAAAAAGGCACCTCTTCCGTACCCGAAGAAGATGGCAAATTGAGGGCGTGCGTCAAAAGGAATGTGTCGGTTCAGTTGCGAATTCTCCGTTAATCCTGTAGCAGGGAGGGAATGTAATGATAAGATCGTTATATTGAAGGAGGGACGTTATTGTTTTTTTCTTTTTTTCTTTTCAAAGGGGCTGCCGCATTTTATCCCCCTGTTGACGGTTGACCTCAGATCTTTTCTTTGAAATAAAGAGAAAAAAAAAAGATGATCCAGTCGTACTTTGCCCCCTTCTTTGGTTCGCTTTAGGTTTCTGTTCCCGAAAACGGCGACTGCAAGGGAATCGGGATCAACAAATCTTAAACCCGGGTAATGAGAGGTTGAGCAACACCAAGGGAAAGCCGGCGCAAGAGAAAGACAAGGAGTCAATGGAAGATCGGAAGACAATTGAGACAGTCCAGAAAAGGAGTAAGAGTTGAGGTTGGAATGGACCGAAGTAAACCGGAACAGGATCGTTATAGTTTAAGGGTAGTAGTGGTGGTGATGGCAAAGACGGAAGGAGGGACCGGAAGAAAAGCAAGAAGGTTTGCAGTTAAAACAGAATGGATCGAAGAGTTTGGGGAATTTGAAAAGTTAGAAAAGGGAAGGAGGAAAGACCTAAAAGGAGATCCGGACGGGAAGGGGAATTAAAGGATGTATTTGAAGTGGATAGTAGACTGGATATGTGATCAGGCCAAAGACTAAAAGCATCAACGGTTCAACATCTGGGACGACAATAATGGAGCCCATTTCGGTTACAGCTGTACAAAGATGGTGCAGGATGCAGACAGCAAACAGTCGTCGAGGAGTAACAGGATCCACATCCGGTGATGATGATGATGATTTTAAAATATTCATTTATTATTTATTATTTTGGGTTTCGATTTATTCCATTTTGATTTTCGATTTATTTTAATTATTTTTTTTTCAATCGTGTTTTAATTTCTCAGCAGACAGATTCGTACGGAGCGCCTAGTAGTTAGACCGGCATACGCAAAGTGAACGACACTGGTATGGATCGGGGCTATCCGACTGGGCCGTCCAGGCCACTTCCACTCTCCTACTACTCAGTAGGTACGCCGGAAGGGAGGAGCGACACAGGGAAAAAAAAGATTTATCAAAAAAAATAATAAATCAAAAAAAAAAAAAAAAAAAAAATAGAGCGAACCTGAAAGGGGGTGGAGCCAATAGCAGAGCAGAAGGAACAGTCACCAAACCACTCCATACATCATTTTCTAGGTAGGTTACCTAGGTAGGCACATACATCCATCCATCCATCCAAGGCAGGCCAATACCGTTCTTACATACCTGCTGTATGGAAGGGAGAAAATGAAAAACAGTCCGATTACCCATCCGCATAAGAGCGGTATGTCTTTGGATTTCTTACAGGACCAACAAAAAAAAAAAAGATTGAAATTGAAAAATGAAAAGGAAAAAAAATAAAATCAAATAAAATAAGTCAAAGTCAAAAATCCGAAATCCCACTTAATTATCCCCAACTAACAGTAATAACGATCACTAATATTGCTAACTGCTAATGACAATTATTTTCCACCGGCCTTAATGGGAAGATCATATTTCAAGTCATAAATGTATCAATCGACAGACTACTTGTCAGACCACTTTTCCCTCGGCCCCCTTTCATGTACCCATAAGAGGCGCACCGCGGGAGGGGGGGAAACAAAATCAAATAATGAGATAATTAACATGTTAGCTGAGAAATAAAAAGGCGGGAAAGAGAAAAAAAAATGCGAGAGAGAGAGAGAGAGAGAAAGAAAGAGAGAGAAAGGAGCCCCAGTTACAGAGCCGCCGCCGCAGATTGACCGGTAGACCCATAAGACCTTGAGCCCCGGGCTCCGGGGAACAGAGAAAGTTGTGTATCTAGAAGCGCGCTAAATAGGCCCATAAGGCAAGGATGATCGGCTTTCCAGAAGTCTGGTTTAGTGCGACCTTAGTGAGATGATAGATCTAACAGTCCACCCCCCCCAAGCCCACTTTCTCTCTGTCGCTTCCCGCCCCCAACAATCAGGAAAGGGGAGGAAGGATGGAAACTACTGTCGATGTTATCCGGCCGGATTATGGATCCCTCAGCTGGTATGTTCCAGCGGCTACGGAGTACGGAGTACACATACATATGTACTGTACGGTGTACTCCTTCTTTACAGATGCTCCGGATAGTCTATCGCCCAAGGATGCTGGTCCACAACTGGAGAATTCTAGAAAT